TTTAATGGAAAGCCCACACTTGTAACCAAACAGCATATGTAAACCACCAGCTCTCCCCTCTCAGCATCCCGTCAGCAGGAGCCATTCATTCTCATTTGAGATACAAAGGCGGTTATGGCCCCACAGCAAGGATCCGCTGGGCATTGAAGGGATGGAGAGGAGGAGGAAGACTGAGAGAAAACCGGTTGTCAAACAAGACAAAGAGCAGAACGGAGGAGTTAGAGAAGAGTGTTTACAAGCTCCGAGAGTTTTACAAGTGTGTGTGTGTGCTCGCTCACCTCTCGCGTGTTCTTTTGTGTGCCCGCTTGGTAACGTGTGGGTGTATGTGTGTGAACGGGAGACAGAAGAAGGTGGGAAAAGAGATTGAAAGAGAGAGAGAGAGAGAGATATTTCACACAGATAAAGTGCAATCATGAGGCACTGACTCACTCCTGACCTCAGCAGCCGTGCAGCACTGCTGTGTTCACACCCGCAGAGTACAACAGATGGAGCGGAGAAATGAAGCTCAGCCCCGGAGAAGACCCTTCATACTGTATTTACTCTACCCTGACTCGTTATAGTAACTTAAGGAGCCTTTATATTACAAGCAACACCTTTGCATTCTTATAGTATAAAAGTCCAATCAGACAAATCCAACGTGCAAGCCTGCAGATGGAACCCTCCCATGTTTCCTCGCGGCCTAATTTGTGTGTGATCGTGATCGACCTATTGAGCACCTCTGTTACAGATCAACCCCAGAGGTTAAGCATTGTTTTTTTCCCATTTGATTGGTGTTTAATACATAAGCTCTGTGGTAAACACAAATGTATAATACTTGCAGTTATGTTCAGAAAGATAATCTTCATGAACAAACTTATCTGATCTTTGAGCCGGGTATTCAATCAGAAGAAGCAAAAAGATATCATCAGGCCATAGACAAACTACACCACGGACACAATGGAACCTGTACGCACAACAACGATGTCCAGAGCTCAATAGTCTGTATGATGCAGGTTATTTGCCTCATGTAGCTACTGAATGGCCACTGCCCCTTTTTTAAGACACTAAAAAGCTTTGGAATTTACCAGAAGGATATTTACTGACGTCAAGATCTAATAAGTATTTGTTAACCACACCGTATTCAGGCATTTAACCGAAAACCTGCTTAAAAGATGTATAAACTTTAGGAAAAGGGAACCAGAAGTGCAGAAATGCTGACTGCTGGGAACCCATCGTGTCACTCTGCTCATGTGTATAAGTTGCTCCACAAAACGAGGCCGATCAATTGAACAAATTGGTATTTGGAATATATATTAGATGCACTATCCCTTTAGCGACTGAGCTAACAACCCCTTCGGATATTGTGCATGTCTGATATTGTGCATGTTGTGAAGAAAAACACACTGACAATTGTCAGTATCTTGTATTACTCCATATAAAACATGCCTTCATCTCTCTATGGTTAGAGTTCAAAACTCCCGCCAGGTTCACTCGAACCAATATATCAGTTAATCTAAAACTGGAGCCACCCACAGCACTGTGTTCGGATTTGTCAAAATTAGTTGCACCAGTAGAAGCACTTGTACTTAATAATAATTATAATCTACTTAACGTTAAACTCAAAACAATTTAATAAACAAATAGTAAATACAAAGATTTAGTGTAAGCTTGAACTGCCGCCCTTAAATGCAAAATCCAGAGCCTTCATGGATGCGATTCCTCCCGTGATGTTTGATTACCCCTCGTTTACCTCACCGACAGGGTCACCAGTACTTCGTGTTGGTCAGGACAGATTGTCAGGTTCTGGACTAAATGTTCTCTTGGGGATCGCTATATCCAAACTAAAGACAGAATCATAGAATTGAATAACTTCAGTCATCATGTCCTCAAACTCAGAAGATCTTGTAGTTTATATTTAAGTCTGGGAACCAAGACCACGCTGCTGGAGTCATGAGGCGTAAAATGATTGGAGACTTCTATCTGTGGTAATCCAAGTTAAAACAGTTATGAGAGATGTCGATGGCACAAGTTGGTAATTGGAATAAATATTGAGTCATTTCCTAAACAAGCCTCAGCCAAGCAACCCATTTTGATTGTCTGATATTGTGTATGTTACGGAGGAAAACGTCACCAAGTTCTCTGCCCAGGCTGCTCTACCTGATAGACAAACCAAAGCAGTGGCTATCATCTGTTTTGGGCTACTCTAGAAACTGTACAATGCAAAAAAAGTAGAATTGTGACTAGGAACCACTGCTTCAGAACAACGAGTCCATGCTTCGACATTGGAGACTGCAGCAAGGAGAATATTTCATAATACTTTTTTTTAAATTTAGTAGATGCAGCGTATAAAAGGATGCGCTTTTTGGGCCGCATTTAACGGTAGATATGAAAGGCTCATTCTGAGCTAAGGGAATCCATGCGATTCTTAGTTTACAGTGATTACACACTAATGAATACATAGATAAGAATATTTTATTATGCCATTCATCCTCCACATTCCCACATTATGAAAGATTATGAGCCTAATATGTATTATATTTGGCTCATAATTATAGAAGACCTTAACTCAGTGGTCCACAACCTTTTTTTGCTCACGGAACGTTTTCATGTCAGACAATATTTCGCGGACCGGTCGAGAAGGTCTGACGGAGGGGGGAGGGTAGTAGTCGCGCGCTCTGTGTTCGCTGGTGGGCAAAACTGCCGTGCACGGTAAGAGGACAATTGTAAACGTGAAGAAAAACGCCTGGTGACGCGTAGGGAGTATGTCAGAGGGACGAGCGCACATAATTAGAAGAAAATCCGGTCAATTTTCAAAATAAAACATTTTTCAGAAAAAAAAAAAAAATATATATATATATATATATATATAAGCTTTCTGTGGTGCGGTTCGGTACCAAACGGCCGGGTGGTTGGGGACCACTGCCTTAACTCACACTTTAAGCTAACGTTCCTCTGAAGGGAACACAGCAGGAAAGGTTTAAGTTTAACCTAACGTCTTCACAAGCAGTGTCGCAGGTAAGGGGCAAGTTAGCAGCTACTTGTGCTTGAGACAAACACTGGGCTGAAATTGATTTCAGGAGAAGTACACCTGTCCCTCTCGTGATAATGACTGCTAGACCATTTCATAAATAGAGTCCCCGGACTTGTTCATCTGACTACAACAGGATTTGTCCCATGCCATTAACCCGCAACATCTGTGGTTCGATTTGGGACTTGCATGACCCATCACTCTCCCTCTAGATTATCGTGTTCAAAGAAGGTGAGAAATTCCCCCCAAAAATAAGGTTAAAAAGTTTTGGTGATGTGGACCAGTGGGGGTCAAGGAACTGTCTCCATGGCTTTGGGGCCACTGGCAGATCTCTATCTGGCTGGAGTTAAACCATCCCAATTAATAGAAGAAAGCCAGATTGTCTCCATTATGTCTAAAACCACGAAACAGCTGTTAGTGTGCCCTGACTCCTCCACCACGATCGCTATAGTTCATGGCGGCCACGTTCCAATCTTTTTACCTTTGCGGAGTGATCTGCGTTCGTCTGGATGGAAAATAAACAGTGCAGGTTTAATGTCAATTGGCCTAGCTCCAACATCATATATTCAACATGTTATTTTTAGCACCTTTAGCACTTCTTCTTTAAGGGGGGACCGCATGGTTTGGTGGTAATGGTAAATGTACTGTACTTGTATGGCGCTTTTCTAGTCTTCTGACCACTCAAAGCGCTTTAACACTACATGACATCATTAACCCAATCATACACTGATGACAGGGGAACCATACACAGTGACACCTGTCATCAGTAACATTCACACACTGTAGTCGCAGCTACAGGAGCAATGTTGGGTTAAGTGTCGACATGCGGGTTAGCAGGGCCTGGGATCGAACCGACAACTCTCTGATTGGAGGACGACCGTGCTCCCCACTCACCTACAGTGGATGGCAGACAGCCGCTTATTATAGGCGGTCAGAAAGAGGCTCCTCGAAAGATTAATATCAGCCCCCCCCCAAGGGGAGCAGTTGACATTTAGGTTCCATAAACACCATATTTAAATCTAGAAATGTATTTCAGCTCAAATGTCAAAACTCCAATTGGCAAAACGTTAACAATACACCAACACCTCCTCACACCACAGCAATTACCATCCTCTTCCTCTTTACCAGGCCTGGGGTGTAGTTCTGCAGGGAAGCGCACCTTGAGGCAGGTGCAGCACGTTAAAGTCTGGTCACACATTCAGAGATGGAAAAATCCAAATCTGAACTATTTGCTTTAAAGGATAACACCGCCACTGGGAAAATGAAGAATGAAGCTTGTGGATTCTTATATACATAAGGAGCTTCAAAAAGGGGTCTATCAAATATTTAGTAGCTTGTAGATTTTTCTGGTTTGTAGCATAAAACTTAAATTGATAGGAGGATAATAGTTGGATGTCTGAAAAAGCATGTGAATGTCAGAAAAGGTTTATTGAGGTTTCCAATAGTTTCTAATCCAGATATGAGACCTAGTTGCCGAAAGCACCATAGTGTTCTTTTTTGCTGATTGCTCTTGCCAGAAAAGACGACACGTTCACGCATGAGAGGAGGTGCAGAAACAAAAGTAATCAGAATGTTTTTTCTGTTATTTATGTGGAGATTTTGTACTGGATTGTAATGCACGTACACACTTGTCTCACACTCCTGAATGAAGGCAGCCGCAGGGTGCCGGTCCACAAATACTACCGTCAGAGCGTTTCAAATCTTATGTTTCTATACGTTTTGATTGGAAAATCTGTGTGGTGGGAAGTAAACCCCTCGGACGTCAAGTCGAATGAAACCGATTTCAGCAATAATTTCAGCTGGTTTCTATTGCACATTTTCTAACCGTAGCTGCGGTGATTGCGCCATGACTAAAAAAAGGTAATTCTGGAAACAAAATACCAAGCCTAAATATATAGTATTATAAGGCTGTTTTGTACGCAATAAATTAATTGATTCATAACGTTGTCAAACATAAATTATCTCACTGAAGGGAAGAAAACAATGATCTTACTCAGACTGTCGAATTTCCTGATGATGGTGTCCAAGAAGGTGTTCTGCGGAGCCACGTGGCCCCTCCGGACCGGCATTTTCGGAGCGTCTGCCCCACCACCCCCCGAGAGTTTGAAGGAGTTTTAACTGTATTTGCAGCGAGGCTGTGTCCTTCACTACCCGCAGCACGAAGCTCACTGCGCTCCCTGTGCGTGGATACGTGACGCGGACAGGATGGTGGCGGTAATCCGGCGGGTCAAAGTTTTCCCAAGTTGTCGCAATACGGCGGAGGCAGTGCGCAGAGTTCTGGGAACGAGGATCGCTGTGTACGCACGTTGAATCCGGGCCGTTTCCAGCCCCTACTTTCTAAGGTTGAAGAGAGCCGCGTCCTTTTCTGTACCCCCTCCCCCTCCCGAGGGGTAGGGCTGCCAGTCAGGTGATGTTTCCACCCGCGGTCTCACACAGAAGACCTGTCATCCTGCACTACAACGCGCTCCTGAGACGCGACAGACATTGTTCGAGAGATGGAGGCCGGGGAGGGGGTTTGTTTCTCCTCGCCCTTCCTCTTCTAAAATGTCAGCATTTATGTTTGGAAAGACGGAACACAGTGGCGATCAGATGAGAACAGCGGATCTGTTCTTTGAGGTGTTCTGTGTCTTGTCCTCCTCCTGTCCGCTGTGCGCTCTGCCGGATGACTCCAGCTATGCAGCGCCTCTGTTAACCCTTCGCTCATCCGGAGCTCCTTACTTCTGAAGGATGATGGGAAAGTTGATGAGCACCTCAGCTGCCCAAATGTCACACCAGGAGACCATAGTTAGAAGTAGACCTACTCTCGAGTCCCGTGGACCAACTGATCCCAAGATGAATAATAAATGTTATTACAAACGATTTGTTTGTTGAGAACTGACGACGTGAAACGGACGCCCAACGACGGTTGGAGCATCTGTGATAGTATCAGATAAAAAGCTACACCTCCTAAGATGCTGCTGAAGCTCGGTAACGCTCGGCGGTACGTCACACCACCGGGGTTCCCCACTTCCGTTAAGCATGAAGGGGACGGGGTGATGCCTTCACTACCTCCTCGGATGTTATAATTTAAGCTGGAGTACACGGACGGTAGGATACTTTACTGTAACGTCGCACTGGAAATGGCTGAGATTGAAAGAATTACATGTAAAACACAGTCTGACAAATTAGCTAAAAATGCGGACTTTAATGCTCATCGTAATCTTCTTTACTCCCGCTACACATTTTCACACATATATATGTGTGAAAATGTATTGAATAAATACAAACATGCTGGAAGAGGTTAGTACACAATGAATGAAATCAGGGAAACAATTTTCTAGATTACAAATCAATCAAAGGGTTTCTTTGATGAATAAAACAAAACGTGCTGCAGGCAGGTTTTCTTTTTCCGACAGCAAATGAACAGAGCAGAAATTTCCCCTTTAAATTCCAAATAACCTAGGATTTTTGTTGATGTTTATGTCCATCTGAGAGCTGTAGTTTGCTTTGGCTCAGTAACAATTCATTCTTTTCAGTTCAGTCAGATGCCCAAAGCAGCAGGAATGCTAAAAATGCCCTGCATCTGGCTGCATTCATTTGTTCAGTGCTTTAATGATGAATTGCAGCCTTGCAGCCGGACGAGGTCAGAGGAGCCATCTATTAAAAAGTGACAATTCTGCTATAAATGAATAAAATGGATCAGTCCCTGCTCTTGCTACATCCAGCAGTGTTTACTGCAGCAGCTGAGAGAGCAGGAGGAGTAAGGCTTTCTTTCTCAACTCCCTTATTTAGTCAGGAACAGAGAGGGGAGGATGGAGGAGACAGGAGGGGAAGGAGGAAAATAAAGATTGGATTTGCACACACACAGACAAAGAGAGAGAATGAGAGAGAGTTTGATAAAGCTGCTTTAAATTAAATTGACTGAACAGCCAAACTGTTTAAACAATTAAAAATATATAATTTTATATCAGACGCAGAGTGTTTCCAGGGAAACACAGGTATAAATATTCACAACAGTCGTTATTCTTTGCACAAATAAATCATAGACACTGCCCACACAATCCCTTTTTGGAAACTTTTTTCCAAATCTATTAGTATTATTGTCTGGTTTGCATTTTCTTCTGCTTGGAGTTTAAAAACGTTCTACGTTTGTGTAGAATTCAGACTGAAACAATTAAAACTTAGATTTAAATATTCTGGGAAACAGGGAAGGCTGCCACATTCTGATGGTTGGTTATTCAGAGAGAGAGAAAAACGATTCTTAAATAGACAAAAAGCCAACAGTGTTCTCCAAATGTAGAAAACCGTTTATTGAGCAACTGCGATATGTTAAGAATATATAACCAGTTTCATGGTAAACTCCCACTTAAAGAAGACTTCTGTCACATTCTCTTAAAACATATACATATGAAACATATTTAAATGCATAATAAGTCACAGGTCCTTTAATATTACTATAAATACACAGTAGAAAAAGGCTGTACAGGTTTCAGAATGAAGATCTGGAGGAGCGTCATGTGATGATGCAGCACCACAGCAATCTCATTTGTCCTCTCATCCTTCCATGTGCCTTTCAGTGGGGAAATCTCACTGGACTTAGCTTTTACACCTGCCTTGCTTACACTTTCACACTCTCACACACACACAGGTCACACACACACACACACACACACACACACACACACACACACACACACACACATACTCGACACACTCGCTTAGCGTCTGGAAAGGTCACCTCCTGTGAAGACAAATAGTTGACATATGTAATCCATGCCATCTTGTGGCTGTAATGAGTGTGTGTCAGTCAGAGAGGATCAGATGAGAAATTCTGTACTTGCGGTAACAAGTGTGTGTGTGTGCGTGTGCATGTATGTGTGTGTGTGAGTGCGTGAGCGAGATCATAGATCGATCGCCTGGAATACCAAATCCGTCAGACGTGACGTCTATGGGAGTGTAGTGCTGGGAGAGGGAATGGGAGCAGCTTGAGGGGGGGAATGCTCTGAGTCGTATGTGGCTACATCCAATTAACTAACCCAATCAGCCATGTTGATGAATGGATTAGCACATAATTGCTTGAGAGGTGGGATACTTGATTGAATTATTCATGGTGGGCAAAGGCGAACCTATGTCTGGCTTGCATTAGCAAAGTGTGTGTGTGGGTCAGCCACAGCGGTAATGGAAAGTGACTGGGCAATTGTACTGGTGAACAGCCAGCACAAGCTGTGGAATGCACACAGCTTGTCATCAAAGCAAAGAGTAAAGCTGTCAAAATGAAATAAATACTAAAGTTTTATAGGTTGTGTAGGGTTTTATAATACGGGTAGATAAAATCCAGCATTCTGATTGGTTGAGAGTGAGTCACAAGGGGGGCATTATTTAAGCAATAAGGTACGAAAGCTCAATAATGTACACACCCTGTGACTCATTCAACCAATCAGAATGCTGGATTTCATCTACCCGTATTATAATGAGTAATAATGTACAGTTGCTGTTCACATTGACCCGAGCATTCCATATCCATGCGCAATCACAGTAACCGGTTAGATTTTGCGCGGCCGTTAGTTGACATTTTAACTTTTGGCTCGGACTATTGAAATGAGATACACAATGTTTGGTGGCTACAACTATTTTGTGCTGAAAGGCAGCTATTTACGTACTATTTACAATTTTGCTGGTAACCGTATCATAAAAGCAATAAGGTACTTGAGGCAGTACTTTATCTTCAATAATGTAACAGTTCGTGGGTTGCCGTGAACTGTTACATTATTGGACGCAGCGGTTTGATGATCAGGGGGGTGCGGTTAATGCTGGAAGCAGGTAAAGCTTGTGGAAATTCCATTCCAAACAAATTCCATGAGTAAAACAATTTCAGTTTGGGAAAACCCAGAAACATAAGAAAAAGAAACAGATTAAAGGTGATTTGTTGAGTGCCGTTTATGCCATTTCTGAGATTTGGTCATGTTCCATTGCAAATTAACATATTATATTACCACCATATTATATTTAAAAAATGAAGGCAAACTTTACTCTAAGCTTGTTGCCGGAGAATATTTTTGTGGCTCATTAAACATGAGCCTGCTGGGAGCTTAAGATATGTAAACATGCAAACATTTTTTACATGTATTCAAACTGTGGGTTCTCGCTCTGACGTGAGAAATGAGCATGCAATTCCCCCCACAATCCACCTCACCTTGGCAGCTGGTGCACTCACAGCTGTGGATGACAGGCAGGACGACCGGCTCGCTCTCCCCGCTCTCACACTGCAGGCTGAGGAAACGCACTGGGTTGTCCGGGTCCAAACGGTAACTGCAGCACTCACACACTGACTGCAGGTAGGGCTCCTGTGGAGGAGAAGGAGAGGATGAGAGGGAGGACAAGGGGTGAGAGGAGAGCCATAAAGATAAGGTCAAAGGAGCCAATTTGGACAGAAGAAAAGGTAGGAAGGTGGAATGAGTGGAGGAAATATCAAGCAGAAATATTTATATAGAATATATAAAATTAGGGGGTTGGGAAATCAAGAGAGATGGGGAAAAAAGGTGATAAAGGAGATTTAAGTGCTGTCAGAATTAATATAGGAGGAGAAATACATTTTCTATATTAATATAGAATATTAATATATTGAGGTGTGTAGCCCCACAAACTGATGAAGCATTGGAGAGTTCTCATCCAAAAACCATGCAGCTCCAGAGAGCTTTATTTAGCCTCTTTTAGCTAATTGCTTTGATAAACTGGGCTCTCATAATTCTCTTTACAGCCAGCTGTCTTAAGCCACTGAGCTTTCGATGAGCTCACCGTACGCCAATCCCCAAACGGCAGACAGACGTAGTGAGTTGCTGCTAAAACACAGCGGAGCAATTACAGCGGCCAAAGTTCCAGGTGTTTTTTTATCAGCAGTTGTTTTTGAGAGAGGGAATGTGGCGGCCAGGAACGCGCCTACGTGAGAATTCAAACAGCGAGCTTAAAGATGCTTCAAACGCTTCATACAGCAGCGCCGACCTGCAGAGACGGGAACCGTGGACCTATTTTGAAACAAAGCTATTGATTTCTAAACCTTTAAGCTCTTTGTTTATACGTCCATTTGGTGATCTTAAATGATAAGCTAACAGTACTAGTTTGGCTTCTTTTTTTCCTCTAGTTCTTGAAATACAAAAACACAGCCTTGTTGTGTTGCACGATGGAAGATAGCTTCTTGAAAGTCTTCCTTGTGTGTCCAGTTAGTGAAGGCGAAGACCCACAGATTGAAGAGTTCAAAGGGTGGTGGTGATAGATAATAGGAAGAGAAGGAGGAGAAGGATGACCCCTCTGACCTCTCAGTAAAGTAGTTATTAGTGCTTCATAAACTTTCAAAAGTCTGCTGTGTGTGTGTGGATGTGAATCCCGTGAGAGGAAACGTCTCTGAGCCTTCTGTGTCCCACTGGTTACCGTCCCCTTGTTTCCACAGTAACAGGAGGTACTGACAAATTTGGCTGAGCTGATGTTTATTTGTACTAATTTGAGGAACAAAGTCACCATAGTGATAAGGGGATGAGCTCTCCCTCTCAGAAGGCAGAAAAGGTGGATATATAATAATCACTTAAGCTGTTAGCTGTACACTGCTGGTGTCTTGAAATCTATTCTGAAGACGTGGGATTACAGAGGGTGTGACCAGCCGCGTGAGGCTGCGTGTCTGACTTCTTTTTGTTTTGCAAAAACACTTTCAACAGAAATTGTAAAACAGATGGAGCATTTGGCTGCCCAGCGACTGCATACTGTGAGAAATGTTATCATGGTTAGTGACTGTTAGGATTCTGAGAGAATTGCAGCTTTTTGTAAATCCCTAATATATTGCAGACATTTCTAAGTGCTGATACGGTTCTACTTAATTTAACAGAATTACTGTAACTGTTCAGCCCTGATTAGCAATTTGCAAAACAATTATAACTGACAGATTTTTTTCTGCTACAATTCTGGTCCCATTAAATTTACTTTGCTGTCCTTCTAATCCTTATTGTACTACCAGCTGTCACTCATGTTGAAGTCAAAGATTGCCTGTGATAATGATACATTCACAGATGATACGTCTGTTGGCTTGTGTGTGTGTGTGTTTGGCGCACCTCCAGGATGACATTGGTGCTGGACAGACAGCGTCCCCTGCAGGAGCTGACCTCCACGTTGTCAAGCCGACAGTCTCCCTTGGTGATGTTCTTGACCTGCACGTAGCGCCGACACTCTGGCACGGGCTCATCTGGCAAAATAAACGAGAGCAGGGAGGAAAAGAGAAAACAGTAGATTGAAAGGGGTAAACAGATGAAATAGAAGTTGTTGAGTTTTTTGCAGAGGAGGAAAAAGATGATAGAGATGAAAGAGACAGAGGAAGAGAGCTCCTACAGGGCACAGTGACATTGTCATGCTCCTCTGCATGTGACTATTCCCCCTCTGGGAGAGAGATTAAAGCCCAATGTAGGTTAAGTAACGTAATCTCTCACTAATTGGGCTCTGCAGCACTTGGTTTTTAGCCTCCTTTAAAGTATAGGACACTCTAATCAAAGTGGTTTGAAAGTCACAACGTAGAATTCCATCATTGTGAGTCGATTTGAGATTTGCACGTTTTACAACAAGTCGTGTTCAAGTACTCTATTTGTTTTAAATTACCGTGGATGAAAAATTGTTATATGGAAACTAAAACAAAAATGTCTCAATTTTACTAGATCATGTGTCCTCCTGCAATCTGTAGGCAGCACTAACCTGGAAATGGCTTCCTACAGACTGGACAGCAGTTACCTGGCTCCTCCACCTTCACCTCCGCCTGCAGGAGGGATGACAGGATGTAATGTTAATGTTCTTTTCATGGGTCTCCATGTGTATTACAAAAATAATTCTCTGCAACCTGTTTAACATTAACAACTAATTTATTGAACAAAACAACTCAGGTCACTTCACAGCCGACCTGAGTGATCAAACAAAATATTCGCCAACACAGATGTAGAAAAACACATAAAAACCTACGTCCCTACCTTCCAACGGTACTCGCAGGAGTTCATAACACCCAGTCAAAAAATGTCAAGCAAAGAATGAACATAATGCTTATTGTGTCAGTTATCAGATAAAAACAGAGGAAATAGTGTGTCATCACCAAACCAAGCAACATTGTCAGTGGTGCTACATATGTCAACATGCCAAAATGGAAACTCTAAAGAAGCCAGAGACAGATGATGACAAGAATGAACTCCACTATATATGTATATAGTCTATGAAGTCCTGCTTTGGATTGAGTTTCAAAACCCTGTAATATAGAGCATGGTAACTATTTTAATGTTAACGTAAACATTGAAACAAAGAAAGGTTGTTGGGAAAGTCATTAGTTTTGGTCTTAACCCATATCGACACCCACATTCAGTCCAGCACCACTTCTGCTGCAACTCTGCTGTCCCGTTCCATCGGCTCCTCCACAGTCGAGGGACGCAGCCCTCCAGGATTTGGAGTACACACTACCAGTATAAATGTTATATTATAATATATAACATCACATCTTAGTTTATGAAATCACTTACGCTACGTGACGTTTGTAACCGATGTTGTGTTTTTAAATCTTAGTTATAACGTTAACCCTCCCCTCCTCCATATAGCCCCTGACCCAGACTGTCCCCTCACCTGAACCCCCCCGCGCCCACGTACTACTTCTTATGAACATCAATGTACCAACACACATTTATAACAGCTCATGTTAGCGGGGGGCGCTGCGCTGTTAATGGCAGCTTGTCTGTAGTTATTAGTGAAAAGTCACTTCAATTACTTAACTTTCACACTTTAGAGATTGACGCTGTGAGGGTGTTATACATAGTTTATGCTTCATATTATGAACAGAAATGGATTAAAGTGAGCTCAAGTAAACAGAACCTGAAATATCACTAAGTCAGAAACGTTACAGAATAAATACACAGAAGAAGAAACTGAACTTGCTTTGCTCCTTCTGTTTTGTGCTGTGATTATAAACTAACTCAGAAGTCTTAAACAGGGGGTCCGCAGAGGTACTGCAGGGGGCGTCGGGAAACTTTTGGTTGATAATATAATAAAAAAAATTGTCTTTAAATACACATTAACTTGAATCTAACATATTGTAGCGAACTGATAAATTGATGGAGAAGACGTGATCTTTCAGTCTACAGCACACACATTCAGCTTCCCACAGCAGCTCTCACGCTGGGCACCGGTTCACTCACAGCACCTTTCATGCAAATACGACCGCACAGGCACCAGCCAATCAGCCAATCAGATTGCGTTTCTGCCCACGTCTAAAGAGTGCGATGCTCAAAAATAAAAGATGGTGGACCAAACTCCGTAGAATAGGGGGTCCTTGCTCCATCTCACCATCAGTTTGGGGGTCCTTGGCTTGAAAAACGGATTAGGGTTAGACCACTGAACTAACTTTACGTTTACATTCAGCTGCTGTAGGTTGGACATATTCTGTAATATCTTAAGGTTACAGTTAAAATAGCTTATGCAAGAAAAAAATAAAGAGTCTGTGCATACAAGTTAATAAATGTGTTTACCCTTTTTATTGACAACATTGATATGTTGGGGTTTTAAGTAGAAGTGAATGTCTAGTCATAGAATTTGTAGTACGTGTAATGATGTTTAGTGATAGAATTGTAGTTTGTGTGATGTTAGATTAGTTATTACATTAACATGTTAGATGAAGTGAATACAATGTGAATCAAACACAGTTTATAGTCTTTTAAATCGTAGAAACACTCTACACATTTACATTCTGTTACAATGTGATGTTAAAACCTGGGGACGAATGCCAATTGCCGTTCTTTATGGATTTCTTCCAATTTTTTCCCCAAAGAGGGTTTTTTGGGAGTTTTTTCTCCTGTCAGGTAATAAATGAACAACTTAATGCGAGGCAGCCGACTGAGGCAAATGTCTTGAGAATTGAACCACATGAACTGTCTTAGATCTTATGGTGAAGGGTGATGAACGGGGATCATTAATGATGGGTTGTTGTAATTAAAGTGTACTAGTTATAAGATGAAGACTTAAACGATGTATGCTTTGTTAAATTCACTCATACTCATTCACTCATATGCCCCAACTCATACAGTTGGGGCATAAAGCCAACTGTATCTACATTGAGTGCATTGGGATGTGAGGGACAGATAGGACAGAGAGGTTTCAGGTTACAGCTGCAGCTTCACACCTCGACGTGGAAGGGACAATGGAGGAGGTGACCCTTTGGAGAAGAGGCCAATGACATTCAAATGCACCAAGGAAGACACACCTCAAGAGTTTTCAAAGGACCATGGCGGGGGAAAGACTGTTAGATTTTCTCCTGCAGCCGCGTTGATAAGTCACGTTAGACTTGCTCAGAGGATTCTCTATTTCGCGAAATATTCCACTGTTCGCTTAGTATTTCACTTTGTAATTGTAATCCCTATTACGTTGTTTAGTCATTAAATACTTTTTGATTTTTGAATTTAAACGAATTGACTCATTCGTATCCTCGTTTCCGGCCGGAACAAGAACAAGGAGTGAGGCCTCCCTCGAGAGCCTTCCGAAACCCTTAACAGATAGAATCTCATCTTCCTTAACATTGCAATATCCAGAAAATGTTCTTCTCTCAGTCTGAAATATATCATGCTCCTAAATTAGATGAAATAGGAAGATTATCTTCCCTATCCGTTTTTCGGGTTTTAAGGATTTTACTGTCAAGTGCAGCAGGTTGCTAGGCAACAGGAGAAGCAGAGGCTGCTGTCCCCCGTAGGCCAGACCGTCCCATTTCAGAGACCGCTCAGTTCAGACTATTGGGTTGTTCTATTCGGAGGACCCAGCCCAGGTCTACCGAGAAGGCTGGTGAAGGCTGGGGGCTACAAGGATAGCCTAGGCAATTGAGACACAGCTTATGACACATCAGTCCCTGCTGCTTTATATTCTAGCCAATTTAGAACTGATTTAGACCAGGGACATCATGGGTCCTTGAGAGCCAGCCGACAAACAAAAAACAGACGCAAGACACATGCACCAAAAATAGCATGGCAGCGCTGTAAGGACACAAAGGACATAGACAGGCGGAGCGAGACACAAGCAGTGTCCCCTGATGTCCCAGTCTGAGCTACGTTAGCATACAAAGTGTTTCTCTCTCACACACACATGCATGCACGCACGCACGCACACACACACACACACACACACACTCAAACACAAACACACAAAGCCTCAAACTTAACCCAACCAGAGAATTTCTCTGATGCACTCACACGTTTCACCCCAAGGACTTTTTCTTCCACTCTTCACTGCAACGCCACCAGCCTCCCCTCAGCGACAGAGGCAGCCCACACACTCAAAAGGTTAGAGGTCGCAAAGAAGCCCGCTTTAAGTCCCATGAGTTAAGAAACTGTATCTGGGAGGTGGAAAACGTTTAATTTTCAGAGTCTTGGCATTTAATGGAAAGGGTGGTCAAGTATGTGTGTGGTAACGGAGGTCAGATCTGCTAATGTGTCCGGCACAGAAAAGAAGAAATAGGAGGAGTCAGCGGATGAGAGGGAAACAGCCTGATGGCTTTTATCAGCCGTTATGATAACGGGACCTTTAATCGGTTCCCTTGAAAAGAACCTCCCAGCAGAGCAGCAAAGGCATGTTGGGAGATTTCATTTTGTGCTCAACTGGAAGCTGAGTCATAAATAACAGAACACGCTGTCAGTAACCAATTCACATCGTGTCAGGAGAGGGAACACTGTGCATTGAATGACCTTTTCATACTGGCCCGGCATAAGAAGTGCTTTCACTCAGGCATAACTTCATTTTGCGCAGCCTTGGGGAGAAAAGAGAGTTGCACAAGTCAAGACTCCCCAGGGACATGCTGCACCAGCAGAGGGACCGGTGTGCACTGTGTGGAACACTCAGTCCACTGTTCACTTTCTGGTGCTCTCTGTGCAATCAGCCTCTTCCTTTAAACTTGTGGATGTCAGCAGGATTCATTTTTACCTACGGCCTTCATACATCTGCGGTGAGCTATAGGTTTAGTTTGCTCTGTCAAGGATGAGACGGTTGAATTCCTCCTGGGACTTTTCTCAAAGTCATCGCTAACGGGGAGGAAAGCCTTTACAGACTAAGGCATAGATCCATTAGTGGGTCACTTTCCATCTAGGGTTACTTCACCGATATGACAAAAACATAATGTTTCTCTTTGTCCTTTTTTAATGAGGGTCTTATTTAGAGGGCCAGTTCAGGCCAACGACACTAGGCCAATTCGAGGTAGAGCCTCACCCTAAAGTTTGGGAAAGCACTTTCTTGAAGACAACTGAAAAATGTTCAAATCCTCGCTAATGCGGTCATCATGTTAATGAGATAGAAATCAATGATAATTCATGCGTTCCACAATCAAGTTAAATTGATGCTGTCAGTCTAAAACCTGGCTCACTGTTAAGATTCCTGCAAGACCAATGACATCCTTATCAGCTGTAGTTATATAGTGGTGATTAGCACACGGTATACTGCTACAATAATACAATAACTACAATATTAACGTGATGAGCAATACAGCATGCCAGCTTGGTCTTCTGAGCATGTTAGCATGCTGACGTTAGCATTTAGCTCAAAGCACTGCCGTACCTACATGCAGCCACACGATGCTGCTTGTGTGCTTGTTGACCCCTTTTCATGTGTAAGGGTTCATTTTTGTTGATTACCAATGACATATGACACAGTTGAAGCAGAGTACAGAAGACACACTGTAAAAGGATTTGGGAGGAAATACTTTAAGTCCACTGAGTAAAGCCTCAGTGTGATGATACAACTTATATTCAGTGTAACATTGTCAAGCCCTTCTGCTCTATTTCTACCATACGTGTGGTTTACATCTGCTTCAAAATGTATTCATATTTCATGTTTACAGAGAATACATCCGTAATTCAGATCAGCATCTTAGGAGAGATGAGCAGCTGTTAACCACTTCTACAGTATATGGATGATTAAGAGTTATCCGATGAATGAAGGCAGTCCCTTAAAGGGGACATACTATAAACATTCATCCCACACATTGATGAGGGAGCAGAGCATTTACTCTCCTCCCAGTAATGTTTGTGACCAGAGCTGTGTGACCTGATGATGAAGCCCCTTTCCACCTCTCTATGAGAACCTTAACCTCTCACCTACCTGTAATTGGATGCAGTGAGAATAAATTAAATAAAATCAGGATGCCCACAAGTAGTCAGTAGTCTGTAAGGAAAATAGAAGTGACATTTTTTGACGCACGCTCTGTGGGAGGGAATTCCCCCCGTGCGCAGAGATCAGTGAACGTCGAAAAAAATGGACTTTCCTGGCGGGAGGTGGCAGAGGTTAGCTGGCTTATTAGCATTTAGATCTCGAACGGATCGTTGTGAGCAGAGCTGTTTTAGGCACGCTGAAATGGGTGACGTTAATAATTCTCCTGCTGGTATTTTGACCAAAGTATGTTTAAGACATTTCATTCAGACAACAAAGAACGATATCAACTTGTGGTGGTAGGGCATAATATGTCCCCCTTAAAGACTCTATTAGTATCATGACCCAATAATAGTAAATCATAATTCATATCAACTGATTAGAACTCATGGACATCACTCTTTACTGAAGAGTTGGAAGAATACAATACTATTAGCAAAAAACTACTCCCACAAACACTTTCTGCAGAAGTATTTGTGGTTTGAAAGATACCCCCGTGCAACGACAGATGAGAAATCTCGGTGGAAAGCTGCTCTGTTCAGATGACTGTCAAAGTGAACTCAGAAGACAGTTACAGTTAGTTCATATGTCCACAAATAAATGTTAGTCGGTACCCGTTAATGTCTGATGATGGTTGTCACTGACATTAACGGGCATCAGTATTCCTCAGTTTTCCTTCAAACAGCCATGATACATGAGGTGCTCAGATAGGTAAACTAAGGAAGTATATTTGACAAATCACACATATCATCGGAGTCTGGCTTTAGGGCAGAGTTCCAATGCTTTGCACCGTACTACTGTCATATACTGTAAAACAGACATCTTCCTCCTAGAGTCATTCTACCTTCTTACTATTTCTAACATTTGTGGAATCCACATACCAACCTGTGAATAGAAAAAGAGTTGTGAGAGAACAGACATTCCCATTGAATGGCTGAATAATATATGTGAAGGAGGACGGTCAGAGAAGTGGCCATTTTTATTGGCACGGCAGCTGTTACTGGGTCTAACATGACGTGCAGCACAGCAGTGTTGCCTTCCTGTGTGTCAGCAGTAGTGTCACTGCTTAGTGCGACCAACTTCTAGCCCCACTTATGTACAGAGTCACTTTAGCAACACAACACACTCTCCATTTTGTTGTTGATGTTAAACTAATAGAATATTACAACCCTTTACTACTTTTAAATGAGGCCATGTTTCTGTGAGACAATTTTTGTCCGACTGAATTGTCTGCCATGGTTTCCATATAAGGACAGTACACGTAATGTGTTGTCTTGTCTCTTTTGTAACAAATGGCTTCATCTACTATTTAGGATAAACCAAATACGATACACCAATACTACTATAGAAGTCCAAACACCCAGTCAGACAGGTGTCAGTGTGTGAGTGTGTGTGAGTGTGTGTGTGTGTCTCACCTCATCACAGTGGAGTGGCGGACATCTTAACTGGCATAATTTTTTCCCGTTGACGCAACGACACGACTGACAGCCGTCCTCCCACTTTGCTCCCGCCTGGCTCAGTCACACACACACACACACACACACACACACACACACACACACACACACAATTTATTCACTCACTACACTTTGGCTGGTCACTGCTCAGGATCTATATCATTGGCTGCACCCTTAATAATTAAAGAAAACAGATGCCTGTTCGGTTTCTGTAATAATGGCACACTATACAGACTACATTATGTATTTTCTGTGTTTGCTATAGAAATCACCAACAACAGTACAAAGACACTGACTAGGGTGTGCAGTTGTGGCTCACACTGGGCCTAACAGCCACGAGGGAGTTGATTGGAAAAACATGGAGGGTCTTTAGAAGGACCTTCGTTATCCCCAGCAGACACAAAAACAGAGATAGAAACAGTGTGCTGAGGTAGAAATAAAGAAAGACAGACAGATGAAGGGATAAAAAGAAAGAAATCAGAGGGTGTGGATGAAAAGAAAAAGGATGGAGAAAGACAGATTGAACACAAATCCAGTGATGAAAGCAGAAAAGGGGCCGTGAGAGATAAAGCTGAGGTGTGGGATTTAAAAGAAAAGAGAATTAGAGAAGAAGAAGAGATTTAAAGACCCGACGAATAAAGATGAAGGGGGGGATTTGAGCCTCTTGTCAGAATGTGAGTAATTCTTATAATCCTATAATATCCCCTCTTTTCATAAATAATTTCAGGCAGGCTTGCCTAGTTGAGGTTTTCTACAGCTCGTCCTGCATAATTGATGAAGGTGAGGCTGTAACGTGGCCTGCAGGGCATGTCATTCATCTTCTAATAGGCACCTCTTTATGAGTAAATAACACATTGAGAGTGATTGAGAGGGAACGTCAAGCTCTTGGTAAGGTTCACAGGCACTGCACAATGAGGCAGGGACAATGGGTACAGGCTGCAGTCAGATGGGCAGCAGATGTATGTTGATTTTGTATGCAAGCCATTGAGTGTATTTGTGTGTGTGTGTGTGTGTGTACCTCCCGCTGGATGCCCTGGTCATGGCAAGGACAGAGGGCGGCGATGACACAAACGCCCCCCGGGTTGCGGTAAAGCCCCTCCCGACACACACATCCCTCACTGGAGCGGCTGCAGTTGACAAGAGAGGAGGAGTAAATGTCCCAGCAGCTCCGCTCGCACAGCGTCAGCTCATCCAACGTGCTCCTCCCCCACTGCTCGCTGTCAGGACACGCTGCAGGAAGAGGAAGAGGCGGAGGGGAGGGGCGAAGGGATCAGAGACCATAGGAGAGGATAAAAAGAAACTGGTTGAATATAGGAATCTGCACGTTAAACAGTCAAATATGAAACATGAATAATAACAGTTGGATTTTCTGCTTTTCCTTGTCATACCTCTAACAGATTATTGGATGTCTATGGATTTTAGATGCTTTTCAATGCTACATTTAAACAGCGAGAATGCAGAAAGCACTAGGCATTATGATCGATAATAGGATGAAGTAAAAAAGCTCCTCCTCTTTCTTTTGTGTAATTTCCAATTGCCCATGCGGACAAATAAGTACAATATTCGCATGTGAGTGGCTGAGCTGCAGTTTATTCCCCACGAAAATCAACAAAATGTCCTCAGGTCCACTTTTGTCACTCACCACAGTCGGGGGCCGGGCAGGTCTTGGTGCGGTGCTCGGGGCCCTCGCACGGGGCCCCTCCGTACCGGCTGGGCTGCAGGATGACTCTGGTGGAGCTTTGTTGCCCCGTGCCACAGCTCGCTGAGCAGGTGGTCCACTGGGACCAGCTGGACCACTCGCAGTCCACTGGAGGGAGTGAGAAGAACATCATCACACTTAGCTCAGTGTTAGATTTCACAGTCAGCAGCAGTAAGCAGCACATGGAAAATCACACATATTATCCCCACGTTGCTTTTTATGACAGCCGTCTATTAACTGCACTAAAGTCTAGAAATGATGCTAAAATAGGCAAAAAACATTACGTAGACATACACGTTTTTTCATTCATGTGTAAACATTCTTGACAAAAAGACTCAAAGGCATATTTTGAGATTTGGATTGAGGAGTCCCTTTTAGAAAATATCAAAGGGAGAAAAAAGATGTCAGTTCTACTCTTAAAAAGGAGACAGAACTTGTGAAAAGGTTAAAAGACCCTTATATCCAGACTGACAGAATGTGTATTTATTTAGCACATATGCACTCTAGAAAAGTAGTACCAAATATGGGAAAAAAGTTCATGTCAGTAAGTTTTTCTATTTCAAAATCAAGCACAAACTGTGGACTATTTAACAAACACATAATATCTGCTCCTAACTACTCCTCAACGGTCACACTGCTCCCTACAACAGATGCCAGGATTACCAGGAAACCTGCAAACTCATGAGGGGTGAAAAGGGTGACACCATTTAGAGGGGGGGCAATAAAGAACAAATCACGACAAATTCATGATACTTATTTTGGTTTAATAAAATCATTTTAATAATAAGAATTTTATTTTATTCATCTATTTAATTATATGTATGTTATGTTTGTACATTTTCACTGGTCTCTGTTGACTTTTGGATGTCAATCCTCTTCCACCTCCTCGATCCACCATCGCTGATTAGTACTTTACTTGCTACTTTCATGCATTGAAACCCTCTGCCACAACTTTCCGTGATGAGGCGCTGGGTGAGACTCATGTTAAAAAAAAAAACACATCCTTGATATCAAACTCCCCCATGAGCTGCTATTACCACAGGCACTTATTGTTTTCTGACCTACATTTAAGTTCTATTGAAAGCTGCGGGAGGCAACAATCAACAGTGTTTCTCCAATATCCAACATGGAGGTGTTGAGAAAAACACGATAAATATTTTTTTTAAATGTCAACTTCTATTCAGGAGGACCTTATCCAGAGCACAGGAAAACACGTTCAGGTCTCTCGGGAGGATGTGAGAGGTTGCACTTTGCGACACTTTGCTCTCATTCATCTTTCATCGTCCAAGATGATATACCATGTTTACCTAATGGAAACCCAGTAAGGGCCTTTGTGGGTTGATGTGACCGTCGCTCAGATATTTGAGCCAACTGTTGCAGCAGCTGTTACCAGCTATAGATAGGTTGACACATCCATCCGGGCCCTGACAGTTCCACCACAGAATAGATTTGTTGTTGCCGGTGCTTACGGGGGTCCAATAATGTGAGAAACATTCGTTTGAGTGAGAACAGCCGGTACGGAGCATCACTCACCATCACAGAGCTCTGAGGTGCAGTTGAACACTCCTCCTTGGCACACGCTGAAGAGAGGGGAATCACGGGAGGCAGGCTCAGATTATTGAACATTAATATTTCCAAGCAATCATCACGTCACATATGTAATCAGCAGCTGACATATTGAATGAGTATCAAACCCCCGGTGAGCAGGATGAGATGACTTACAGCAGATATCACAGTACCAAACTGGATTGGTGTTGACTGTACATATCAAATTTAACTTGATATTCCACAGCACTTTCCAACGTTCACTCAAAGGATTTAAGTGGAATTTAAGTGGTAGTTGCGGTACATTTACCACAGAACAACAGTAGTGCTTGGGCCGAGCATCACATTCTCACTTCTACTATCAACTGAATACGAACGTCATAACTATTTATTTAGGCTTAGTATAGAGGCGATGCTTGAGTTAAACTAATATGTTGTTTTTACGTACCTTTGATGTGCTTTATGTAATAAAGGTACTGTGAATAAGTCAACGTGGACTGGTTTGACACAAAAGACAAACAAAGGTCTCCCAAATGAACGTCATGAGAACGTTTCTCGCTCTCCATACTACGCCCGCTGATCTGACATCGAACCACGAGGCCGCTGGGTTTACATTGGAGTTAGTTGATAGTTTTGTGCTAAGACAGATGCCGAAGCCTTGTTATTTAAAGAGCTGAGGAAGATAAAGCGTTGCTCTGGCTCAAATTCAAATTCAAACATCACAATCCATGAAGCCCTCAAACCAAGACCTAGATTATGAGATAAAGAGACAGACCCCATTGTACAGACACAAGTGTTACCACATTACCCTCTTGTAAAGTGATGAAAACCAAAGTCATGGGGAGACTGGGAGAATTAGATTAACAGCCATTGTCACCAATGAGCCGATTCAAGCAAAGAAACACAGTTTGAAGGACATAAGAGAGAAGAAGCACTAGTTCACCCACCTCAGGACAAATGTCTCAATGAAACATTTATAACAATATATAAATCAGTATGGTGCATTAGTCCACACGTTCAAGTTAACTTAACATAAATCCATAACCACTGAGTTTGGTGATGGACAACACTTATTTTAACATTGTGTTCCCTGCAGTAAGATGTTAATGGAGTCGGGTTTAATGTTGGTTTCTCTCCTCCCTACAACAAACTTTTGATCTTGATGTTTTGCTATATTTGAAGCTGAGGCAAAACACAAATGGCCTCACGGTGTGAATCATAAAGATGAACACAGTTTGATATTGTTTACAGCCAGAATATGTTGCACTGATTAGATATCAACAAGACTTGTTTCAATTGTGTTTTAATTATTTTGTTACAATTTGTATGCAATCTAAATTAAACATGTCCTTAAAATATTTGACTAGACGGTGAAGGCTCAGTCCCTGAAGACCCTGAAGGACCCTCTTCCATATCATCCAGAGGGTACAGGCTTTGCACTGGGACACTCAAAGCTAGGCCATGATTCTACAAACCTGCTAGTTTATAAAATGGTTAAATCGGTAAATGAATGAATGCGCCGTATTACCATGTGTTGCACAAGTGCTGAACGGCCGTTCCAGGTGGCAGCCAAGTTTCTGTCATCTCCTCAGTGCTTATATTCCAGAGCAGGTGACCCGGCGGCAGAGAAAGCGTGGAACAGGGACAGTCGGCGTGGGGCCGACAGGAGCCTTCATACAACACCTACAGTGTGAGACCAGAACGCATCACATCTTAACAGGGTTAAATTAAATACCGTCACTTATTACAGCTCTATGTGTCCAGACCTGTCCAGGAGAGCAGCTGCACCCTGGGGTGCAAGGTCCAGGTAAACACTGAGTGTGTGGCCACAGGTCCTCACAGGTATACGGACAGGAACCTGAACAGTCATTAAACACCTGCCCGCTAGGGCACTCTGCAACACACAGACAAATAAACACACAGTGAATTACATTGTGTGTCATATTGTATTTTAATATGCAGACGTGCAGCGATTCTCCTCTCTGCACAAGCTCCAGACCATGCCTTCTTCATAGAATGTCTCAGCCACAACTGAGGTCACACCTATGATTGCATAATGCTGCGACTAAACTAACTTAAAATACCACTCATTAAGGTCCGTATAAGTTGCTTGGCAACAAATCAATTATAAGAGAATTCAGGAATTTAACTATTTGGTAGAAATATATTCAGTGTGTGTGTGTTTACCCGGCAGGCAGCTGTTGGTGTTGCACACTGTGTGCTGTTCAACTGGTCCAACACAGGCCGCCCCACCGGGCTCTGGCTCTCTGAGGACCGTCTTGTTACGTACAGTCAACCCGCCGCCACAGGTGGCGCTGCACTCGGTCCACGAGGACCACTCATTCAACAAACATCCCGCTGGAGAGAGGGAGAGAGAGGTAGGACACAGATGGAGAACTGATGACACAGATAGCTTACATGTGCCCTTTCAACACTGAGTTGAATTCGTGTGGGTACAAACCTGGACATGATGGCAGATCGCAGCTCTCCCTCTGCGTGGTGTCAGCACAGGAAGGGCTGCCCTCCGTGTCCTGGCAAAGACGTGTCCTTGTCATCTGGCCGTGTCCACAGGAGGCTGAGCAGGAGCTCCATGGGCTCCAGGGCTCATAAACCGGGCACTGAAGCTTGGTGCACGCCAAAGTGCCGTTCTCACACACACTGCAGATGAAGGGGTGTTTGGAGAGTTGAAATAAAGACTCTAAAGGATTTTTAAGTCTAATATTCTGCTCTTAATGTGAGACATTGTCTCTTTATATTACATCTAAAAATAAAATTGACACATAGCTGTTCCCACCAGGTGTTACAGTCAATAGAAATCTCCTCTTTAGGGTCGAACTCCAGCGTGCCGTTGCCTGATGGGATACCACAGCGACACTCTGTCACTGGCACGCAGAGGCCGTCCTGCAGCAACTGTCCCTTCGGACACCGACAACCTGAGAAATGGAGAATGTGAAAAATGGAGAAAGATGTCTGATCCAGCCAGCTAAATATTCCCCAATAAGCTACTGTTACTGTTAGAAGACAAAGATTACCTGAGTGACATGCTCCCTGCAGACACTGCACATGCTCCCATAAGTCCGTGCAGCTACGAGGACATTGATTGGCACAGCTCTCTTGGTAAGTCCGCCCCCTATCCTCACAGCGCTCACCTGCAAGTCACAAAAATATATATCCGTCTGACTTTTCGTCAATTATGAGAGAAGCAAGTACAAAAAGAGGTGACCTTTTAGCACGTTTTGTCATAGTTACAGAGGGATTGGAAAGATTTGATTGGCATGAAAAAAGGGACAAAGGATCTGAGCCCACAACATCCTCTTTATGAGCGTGTTTGGGATGGCATGTAACGTAGATTCGAACTCTAGTGAGTTGGAGAAGCTATACCTGGACAGAGTCCTGTGTTGCAGCTCTGGCTCTGTGTCTGTTGACTCCGACAGAGGGGTCCTGGAGGAGAGACCAGGGGCCGTCTGTAGCGCTGCCTGACTCCCCCGCTGCAAGGCTCCGCGCAGGCTGTCCAAGCGCTCCAGGCACTCCACTGACACATATCTGAAAAGAGTGGACTGATTATCATCAGCTACCATCAACTTTGCTCAGATCTAATTAAAATTACTATAATTGCGCTGACTTCTGTAATGGCCATAATTATTGTAATCACCATCCGTGATAACAAAAGCGGGGTTACTGCTTTATGGACGTATATACAGGCTTACTTGAGCCAATGAGATGTCTGATTTATATCTTTTGGATTGTTTGTTCTTTCAGCGGCTTAAGATATCTGGACTAACTATGATGAAGATGATAGATGTTTAACATGCAAAAGACACCTACGGTTTGTTGGGCATGGGGGTAATTCAGAGACCTTTAACATTCATATCCAAAGGGGAGGGGCCAGAGAAGATGATGATGATCAGTTCATTCTTTGCACACTCAACACTAAATCCCATCAACTGTACACCATGTGTCCCCACAGAGATATTGACAAGCAACGCTTCTTTCCTAACATTTTTCCGTTTGAAAACTGAAAGGGAAATAATGACAATATGATGCAGATTGTCATTCTTCCCTGTGAATACCAATAGCAAGCTCCAAAACTGCTGACTATTAATCTTGACAGCAGTGAATTGACACAATACATATTCACATATTCAAACTATCCCCACAATATTGATTGTTTTAAATTAGGGGTGTACAATAGGGCGATCGACCAGTCGATTGTGAAGGCAATGCCAGTAGATTGCCCGTCATTGATAAAAAAAAAATCACCTCACATCACGCATGCGTGGTGGAAAAGTAGCTTGCGAGGAAAATATTTTGCACTCTGGGAGTTTCTGGCACTTTCCTAATCTGGTAAGAATCTTACTTGCAGGATGGACACTATTTTGTGTTGGTCTGTAATTTCCCATGTGAGTGAACCAAAGGACATGTTCGCCAAGGCTCAACCGCTACTATAACAACTCTGCTCTACTAACAACTCCCACGCACAGATTTACATGACTTCATCACCAGGTCATCAAGCAACTGTAGGGTTGTGTCAAGAATGAGAGTACTTACGTTTCAGCAGGAGTTAGAAGTACCTCTGCATGTTATCTTTCAAAAGGCACAGCGAATCTCTCTCATGTCTTTCTAATTGAATTATATGTCTAATATGAGTTTGTTAATCCAGGGATGTAATGGCTCTCTTTTGCTTAGTCTGTTTAACTTCTAACTTCTGTTTCATTTTTCAAAATCTTTCTATAGCAGCTTGTGTCTCTGATAAAACTTTTCTGTTTTATGGTCGTTTTGGACAAACACTGTTACCTCTGCAGAGGTTAGAATCTGGACAGAGCCTCTCCTCCACCAGAGGTCCTGGACATTGGCTTTCCTCCTCCTCTTTAGAGACTGGGACACCCGAATACAAGTCCAAACAGGCCCGGAAACGCCGCTGGGTTGAGAGCATCTGACTGGCACTGATGACCCCTGCCGTGGAGTGGCTGAGTTGCAGGGAGGAAGATGGTACGCAGGGAGAACAGGGAGTCCACTCGGACCACTCGCTGAGTATGACTAAACAGAGGAAAGGAAAAGCAGGATGGTGCCATCATTCGACCAGGAGTTTATATACATTACTGTCGTTGCCCTGCTTTCTTACCTTCACAGTCTCTCGTGTCACACTGCAAAGTTCCGTCATGGCAAAGGCTGGAGGACAGAACCAGAATACCACAATATGTCAATCTGAGTCATAGATCCCACACAGCGTTTCTCAATCGATCCGTCTTATCAAAGTGGAAAACCACTTTTGTGTCACAGGGGGACTAACAAAGAAAACACTAGTCCCTCTGCCACAGCTCCATATGTTTTTAACAGCCAGGGCCTAACCAGGAACTGCAGCCTATGGTGATCATGGCCCCTAGAGGTACAGTGACAGGTGTGGGCGGGTGGCCTGAGGGTTGCTGCTGGAGGTGGATGCAGCCACACTGTTCTGCCGGAACACAGCTACCATTCTGCTGCAGGAGGCCCTGCAAGGGAAAACATGCCAATTTCAAACAGGTTCTGAGGCAGTTTCTATCACACATACAGAATACAGTTGTGGTCAAAACTTTACGTACACTTGTAAAGAACATAATGTCATGGCTCTCTTATTTATTTCTACAACTCAGATTTGTCTCTGATAGAGTGATTGGAACAGATAGTTCTTTGTCACCAAAAACATCCATGAAGTTTGGTTCTTTTCTGACTTTATTATGGGTTAACAGAAGTGATCAATGTATATGTGTGTATACATAGATACATAAATACATACATACATATATACATACATACATACATATTGAGGCAGGTAGTGCAGGAGTTGTTGCATATTAAATTCTAACGAGCTAAAATAGAGCAAATATTGGTTTTACGCACTACGGATGGACATAAACACATCTCCAAATGAACATTTTCACTTCACTGGAAGTATAATAATTCACCATACATAATACTAATAATATTTTCCATGTCAACCTTGTGGGACCATGACTTATTTTCACTGCCATGGTAAACCTAATCCACGGTTGTGAGGTACTCATGGTACCCACACTTCTGGTGATCTGCTTTCTGCTCCATGTCTCATTATCGCTCCTCCCTACTGCTGTATGTGGATATCATTAGTCTATCAGAGAGGACTTTGGAATAATTTAAAGCTAGGTGCTCTCAAACTGGACCAAGTAACATTGTCATTATGACTGATATCAGATGTATTAAAAACGGTATGTAGCATAGCATATTTCACTTTCCAAACCTTCAAAGGAAGTCTCATATAGATACACAGACAGCTCATCAGTACTCAGCAATATTTACATGCAAACTGCTAGTAGTAGGTTGGAAATGTTTGTCACTTGCTCTACTTTGCAAATATAGTTTGCTATAAGGAAAAGGAACAGAACGTTTTGTCTAGACAACGTGTTAGACTTTTTTCACATGATTGGTTGATGATTTTTGCTCTATTGCAAGTTAAACGGTATGAGTGTGCATGTGTATTTGGACAGTGGTGAATGAAATTATCACCTGTGGGCAATAGCAGCCAGGTGTACACTCACGGACACCTCCACACTGATCCCTGCGGCCCTGCAGGGCACAGTGCTTCTCACACGGCACGCCGCATGCAGAGTACACAAAAGGGGCTTTGCAATCTACAAGCGTGAGAAAGAAACAAACATGAAGTAGACTATGAGCATTGAGGAGAAAATGTTTTACCAGAATAAATAAAGTAAAAAAATGTTTTAAAGCACTCATATTCATCTCAATTGACTCTAAACACAAGGTATGTGTGTTGTTGGTAAGTTATCTAAACCGGAGAATAGAAAAACATGCTTTTAGTCCTATTTAGAAGATGGGATAGTCGTGCACCTCAGGATCTTGTGAACAAAACATAGAAAGAATATATTCTTAGAACTCTACATCTGTTATTTGGTTCGTCTTTCTCCCCATGCCAATCTGTATCTGTAAAGGATCATAAACTCATTGAAACGTTCACAAACTGACTTTCTTTGTCATACAGATTTATATTCGCACACACACACACACATGCACACGCTTCTTATTGTTTTGCTTTACTGTTGCCTCACCATCACACGGATTGAGACTGCATGTCCTGCTCTGTGTTTCAACAGGAGTGCACTGCTGCCCCCTGATGGCTGGAGAGAGAGCTACACGGTAGCGCAGCTGCCTCTGAGATGCACAGGAGCACTCAGACCAGATGCTCCAATCCGACATGGGGCAGCCTGCAAAGGGGGAGCACAATCAACCAGGGCTACCTACACGCAGGTTCTAACGAGCCCTTCACGTCATTTGTGATGCACTTGGAATCTGTGAAGCACCACTTGGACTTGTGCTCTGTTGGACCGTGTGAGTCTCCTGCTAAGGGAATCAGCATATAACAGATCTATTTTTACACCAAGCATTAGGAGCTCATCTTTTATAATTGGTATAAAGCTGTATCACTGGTTTCAACTCCTTGAGTACAGCAGAAACCCAATCAGCAACCACTTTTGTTCCGTAATATCAAATCATGTATTGCATTGATCATTTGCTCAATTTAACTACAACCAGGGTTAGAATTGTTTATTTTTATTTAATTATAGAATAGAAAACAAAAATGAATCTACTCATCACAATCTCCAACATAATATTTAGCTTTTTAAATTCACTAAGAACAGGGACCAAATCTTACCAAAATATAAACTCAGCAGTCAGTCATTAAACAGGACAATGTCTATTACATTATTTATCAACGGAACAATGATTTTGACATCATTGACCATCATCTGTTACGCTGAGTACCTCATGTTTGTTCACGTCTTGTATTCCATTGTTAAGACGATGGGTCCTCTCTTTGAACAGGTTTATGCCAATAATACATAATGTGTGTGTGATTCAATCATGGATGTGGATGTAAGTAAGGATCAGCCTGGGACTCACACCTGAGAGACATCATATAGATACATCTTTAAAGTGATTATTTTTACCAATGAAATATAGTGACCATTTACAACTGTTAACATCGGCAGTAACTTAATTTATGAATCCGTTAAAATCCTCTTTAATAATTTCTGTTGTCCAGAGGGATCGAGCACAAACGGGACAAGTGCAGACGTGAGAGTTAAGTGTGTACCTGAACAGGGCTGCTTGTAACACAGCTGCGTCTCCTCTCTGTTCCTCTCCCCCTCGATCTCAGCGGTACACGCTGTGTCTCCTCCCTCCTCGCACAAACACGCCCTGCGCCGCACCACAGACCCGGCGCCGCAGCTCCGAGAACACGGTGACCATGGCGACCAGGGGCAAAGGTCGTCTGTGGATGAGAGAGTCACTATGACGATGCGGATGGGCATGAATGAACGAATGGACGGACATAGCTGTGGCTCGTCTGAACAAACCCAGACAGGGAGCAGGGAGACAGTCCTGTGTCTCTTGCTCCGGCCCTCCGCACTGAGACCCGTTGTTACGCGGAGGGGGGTCGATGCAGGCTCGGGTTCGGACTTGTGTTCCCCGTCCGCAGGTCACTGAGCAGTCGGACCAAACTGACCAAGGGGTCCAACCACCGTCCACTGGACAGAGCACACAGCACATGTTGTGTTAAGTTTCTTTTAAGGTCAAATGGAAATTGCTTCCAAGACAATGCACACATTTTCTTTCATTAGAAGCCAGCTAATAATGTATGCTAAGTATATAGTCTACTCAACCATGTTTAGTCTTGACTCACCTGTGCAATCAATGTCTTGGCAGTAATCTCCCTCTGGGGTGCATGTGCTAAGAGTATAAAAACACACACACACACACACACAAAGCACGGGCCTTTCAATAGATTTTTCTTTCTAGACACTGCAAACCTTTATATTAGCAAAAAGGGCATCCATCCATCTCACCACTGTTTACACTCCCCCTGCAGCCAGGTGTCCCCCACTCCAAGCTCCCGGTCGTCATGGACACAGAGAGGTGGACAGGGTCCTGGGTCGCAGGGTTTGTGCTGGACTTCTTCAAACTGGCAATCTGCTCCTTCCGTGTCCGGGACCAGAGACCTGGCAGACACCAGTTTGCTTTGGGTTTACTCTACACTTTACATTTCATTTCAAAGAACTTCACGAGAGTGAGTGGGTATTTCAATGAAGAAAACCTTCACTCGTGATTTTGTCCTCACCTGTATCTGGTTCTCTGGCCCGTCCCACAGGAGACGCTGCACAGCGCCCAGCTGGACCAGGAGCTCCAGAGGCAGGTGGCCTGGCAGCTCTGATTGGTGCACACGAGCTGTCCGTCGGAGCAGCTGCAGTTGTTACAGTCTGCTTGATGTGAACTGCCGGCCGCCCACACATGTCCCAGTGAGTCCACGCAGTCACACTGCCACTGCTGCACACATACCCCGTCTTGCTGCAGCTGGCCTGAACACACACATCAGTCATTTCAAACGTGAACTGTGTTAGTTAATAAGGAGACACATGGGTTTTATTAGGCCCAACTGCAGCAGTTGCATTTGAGTTTCATTTTTTTTAAAACACACAAAAATACATATTTTACCTACCTCTAGCCACGTTTGTTTTGATTTTGATATATCATGAACAACTGACGTCATGATTTAAACATCTCACAAATGTAAAGGTCAAGAGGAGAAAACCTCTCTGCAGACACACACACACTCTATGGTGCTTATCCTTTCTCCAACATGTTGTTCGAGAACAATCCCTCTCACACACACACACACACACACACACACACACACACAAACACACACACACACACACACACACACACACACACTTATCTATCAACAAAATGAAGGCAGCTTTATTGCCTTTAGGGCAGCGACAGCCAGGCTGACATTCGGTGTTCCCCTGGCACTCGATGCCCTGCTGGAGGTCAGAGCAGCGCTGTGGACACTCATTGGCACACGGCACCGACACCTGGCCCGGCGGGCATCCTCTCTCGTCTGACAAAACACAAACAGAGGGTCGTGAATTTTCATCTGACCTTTGAATAAGAATTGGAGGCTTTGCTGACTGACTCAAAACAAAGCCTTGCCCCGAAAAATAACCATACGCTGAATTAATGAGCGTAGCTCTTTGCACAGGACAAAAAATCATTGGGGTCATAACAATCTAGACTGCATGAGTGTGTGTGTGTGTGTGTGTGCGTGTGTGAAAAAGTTGGGTCAGTCTCACCACAGGGTTTGGTGTTGCAGGGTTTGAGGTGGTTCTTCTCTCCTACACATTTCTTCCCTCCGTTCTTGGGCGGAGGGCTGGAGCAGGAGCGAGTGCGTATGGAGCGCCCGCCGCCACAGTGCTTATCACAGCGAGACCAGGGACTCCAGCGGGACCAGCCTCCATCCACTACATCCACCCGCAGACACACATGAACACGAGCATAAAGAACGCCTGTGTTTTTGCAATAATTTCCGTTCACCACAACTTGGCACTTATTTCACCATCATTCCTTTAACTTAATGGATAAGACTGTATATTATTAGAGATTGCAATAATGACCAAAGCGGGAAAAAAAGACGTGGACTGGACACACTGGAGACATTTAAATTAATTTGCCTAATCTAAACTTTTAGGCATCAAGGCTTCCCAGCAAGTCACATCCAAATTATTACCTCATCTCAAGAGTTTAAATCAGTTTTTAAAACATTTATGCTGAATGGGGTTATGACTAACCAATTATGCATTTCCAATTCATACAAAATCATTGCAAATTGTGTGTGGGGCATTTGAAGAGTGGTCACTATAGGCCCATTAATGTGAATAAATGTTCCCTTTCACATTCATTGCACATGCTTAAAGGTCAACCCTCTGAACAGTGTGCAGATGGACACCACGGGATCAAGAGTAGGCTGACCTCGGCAGGGTTTGATGTTACAGAAACGATGGTCCAGGTGTCCTCCCAAGATGTCCTCACACCACGACCCGTTGGTCCGCGGGCTGAGGAAGGTGCGAATCCTCTGCTGCTGACCCACTCCGCAGGACCGCGAGCAGGACCCCCAGGCCCCCCACTCTGTCCACGAGCAGTTCCTCGTGGTACAGTCTGCCCCCACACACACCTCGTCTCCATCTGGGAATGTGTACCACAAGAGACCAGAGTTGGATATCCGTGTAAAGTAATTTAATTTAGTCTTAATTGCTGGTATCTCAGCGTTTTTTATTCACCTGTTGCTACAGTTCCCTGCACTTATAAAATATTTGTCTACAATATTTATTCATTAGCGTCAAAAAGGTACAAAGAGCGTCTTTTAAAACGTATCCAATGAGCCGTTTACTGAGTTAAGGCAGAAAAATGTTTTCTCTTAACAGTAAAGCCGGGTATAATAATTGTTTTGGTGGATCGTATTTCCATTCGTTTCTTTAACCCCACTGTTCCTATATTCACTATATTCACTCCCGAATATGCAAATGCAATGTAAGTCGCTTTGGATCAAAGAGTCAGCTAAAATGACCTGTAATGTAATGGCTCTTATCTACAGCAAGTTGTAAATCAGCTTATTTGATGAAATTGCACTTTCTTGTTCTTCTGGGTTTGCATCCTTGTGGTTAAAATATTGTAAGTCACTTTGGATAAAAGCGTCAGGTAAATGAGATATAATGTAATGGGAGCTCTTCCTTGTTTAATGTTCAGTTCACCGAGCCGCCTCATCCACAACCAGGAAATAAAATGCTCCACTATCAGCTATGTTCCTGTCCTAAATATAACTGAATCCCACGGACAGTGAGCAGATGGTATATGAAGTTCATGTTTGACACCAGTCATAGACCCAGACAGACCTGGACACTGAGGCAGGTTACAAGCCTTCTCCTGGTGAGAGCTTCCAAAGCAGGGGGGCCTGACACACTGCCGATGACGTGATTTTCTCACTGGGCTAAGGACATCAGTGCAGGGCCTGGTGCAGGGACTCCATGAGGACCATGGTGAGAAGCCAGCATCCTCATCTGGAGAAGATCGAGGAGCTAAAATTGTTATTTAGATTCCTCAAGAAGGAAAAGATTTTAGCAGACAGGTTTTGAAATAGATACACAAAAGTAATTAAGTAAAAACTGTATATAAACAACAGTCACTAGTATTAAACTTATACTTTACCTGGTAAAGCTGGTTCTTCTGTAGGGCCGACAATCACTGCCAACACCAAGCAACAATTCATCATCAGTACCAGCTCCACATTAGCATTAGGATTGTGCTCAAACAAGCAGTTGGTAGTATATTCTGTATGTTATTTAGCATGGATACGAATGAAGATTATACGAATTATAATACGGGTAGATGAAATCCAGCATTCTGATTAATTGAGAGGGAGTCACGGGAGTCCATTGTGCATTATTGAGCGATAATGTTCAGTACCTGTTCACACTGACCCGATCGTTCCATATCACTGCCCACGTAAAGTAACAGGTTTGATTTTGCATGACCATTAGTTGACCTTTTAGCTTTTAGCTCGGTGTTAATCGGCGAAAAAAATTATCGGTTTCGGGCAATGCAAGCTTTCGCAATCGGACAATTAAGGTGGACGTCATGAGTGATGTGAATGAATGAGATGCTGCAAGATCTTGCAAGGAGACCCAATGCAGTTTGTTAGGCCCTCCGCTGGGCCAAACTAACCGCAAATCTCCCCTGCGCGTCGGGCCTAACAACACCCCGAACTGTTACATTATTGACGATAAAGTACAGCCTCTGTACTTATTGCTTTAGTAATACATAAATGTACAGTTATCAATGACTTGTAGTCAAAGTTTAAAGAAAGTGTCTTTGTTTAGACAGGCAGACGGTCCGCCAGCAGAGATCCATGCGGACCTTCCTGCTCCGTTCTCTGGGGACGGTAGCCATCGTTTCCTCGGCTGGATGAGACATTCCGTTACAGTAGTCTTCTCAAAGCATCTAAAATAATAAACTCATTGAGGGTTATGAAGACCATGAGACACACACACATTTCAACCAGTTCACACGCCACATCTTGAGAAGACGTCTCGGACACCGTACGTTCGTTACTAAGCAAGATATACGCGCAAGCACACGTGACATGTGGGGGCTTTTGATACAACTGCTCAGTGCAAGTGGAGGATATAGTGACACATAGCAGTTGGTGGAGAACCCGGAGAACAGACACACAAGAGAAAACCTGGTCATGAAACCAAAAATGAATTGCATTTGTTTTCAAACAGAGGCAGCTCTACACACTTCAAGAGCTGAAGATTTGGTGACTGTATATATACATTTTATAGGCCTTGTTTGAATGTTTACAAGCGTCATTTACATTTGAAAGGATTAATAGTTCTTCAAGTAAATTGTAGCAACTCAAGCAAATCAATTAATGTAGATAATAAAGAAGTTCAAGTGAGGTAATTGGTTTGGGCGCAGATCTCAGATGTTTCCATGATGTTTGATTAGTCATGTTACGACAATTGTTGTATTGTTCAGGTTCGTGAAATTTGTTAAATTGCCCTACAAATAAATGCTTTAAATAAATAAATTAGTCCCTTTTACGGTGGTGGTCCGTTAATTATTTATTTTGTGAATTATCTTAGTGATCATTAAGAATTCTATTAATGTCAATGATTTAATTTTACACTTGCTATTAATCAAAACAATGCCCCTACATCGTGCACAACAGATATCTATAATTACATGCAATGCAGACATTATCTCCCGCAAGTCATTCTAGTCAAACTAGCTCCTGTACCTGGGCACTCAGGCGCCTGGCAGTAGGTGGTCTCCTGGCGTGGCCCCTGGCAGTTTCTTCCACCATGGGCCGGGGCTGGCTGTGTGCAGCTCTTGGAGCGAGTCTTCAGTCCCAGACCACCACAGGACAGCGAGCAGGGGCTCCACGAGCCCCAGGGGGACAGACCTCCGTTGACCTGGCAATGTGCCAGGGAACAGTTCCACCTGCCATGCTTGCAGCCGCTACAGCACATACAGGGGTGGGGTGTGAGCCAGGGGCTAGTGGTCTGTGGAGTTTAACCTCTATTTGCCCTGCAGTAATGGCAGTGTGTGTAGTAGGCTGCCAGGGGCGTATGAGAGACGACTGGAAGATTTATTGCTCACCAGGTGCTGCATTCGTGGGTCAGTGCGGCTTCAGACTGAACCTCTACCCCCTCAGAGATGTTATGGAGGAGCAGAGATGAGACCGGCGTCACAGAAACACTCTGCAGGGAGCCCATGAAGTCTTTGTCCACCAAACAAGGACACTCCTGTGACATACATATCAGAACCATGGTTTAATGTGAAATAACAGTTTCTGTGGTTCATTCATTTTATCCCTGTGATTCTATTGAAGAACTTAAAGTAATCCTAACATTTTTGGTAAAAAGATGCAAACTTTTTATGTTGAGAGGTTTAATTTCAGCGTGTTTTAGGAGCCACAACACCACGAGTCATCGATGACGGGGAACCCACCTGCATGCAGATGCCGCGGTGCTGGTAGGTGTGAGGGGGACAGTGGCAGCCTTCCTCGCAGCCATCCGAGTAGCAGCCCTCTCTTCCGCTGACCTGAGCGCAGCTGAACGGACAGCCTTCGCCTCGTTCACACTCCCGGTACAACCTACCTGGGGGACAGCCCACTTCTGCACAACGACGAGGGACAGATGAAGAACCGCACAAGCTTTTTGTTATTACCCAGTTCCCCTGGGCCTTAGTTAGCTATAGAAGTCGTGCAGGGAGCCGGGCTTACCGAGGCAGACCTGGGTGTTGCACGTCTTGCTCTGGCGGCTGGGGCCGCTGCAGGGTGGCGAGCTGCAGAGACGAGAGCGAGACTGCTGCCCTCCACCACAGCTGACTGAGCATTCAGACCACGGAGACCAGGGGAGCCAGGGGCCCACAGAGTCTGGGAGCAGAAACATAAGAAGAAGTGACACAACTCACAGAACAACATATGATTCTGTCAGCATTAGCAAGGTTCTCTATAAAGGATTATCTCCTTTTGCATTATAGTCCATAGTAATACATACATGTACAGTTACCAAAGACTCTGTAGTTCAAAGTTTAGAGAAAGCATCTTTTTTTTAAAAGGGCAATGTATGAAATCAGCTCCTTGTTTAGATTTCAGTCTAAAGATATGTCCCTCTTTAAGTGGCCTTGGCCGGCCATGACTACCTGTGCACAGGTGCATGTTGCAGCTCATCTGCTGTTCAGCGACTCCCAGGCAGCCCCTCCCGCTGCTCTGGGGAGATGGGTTATCGCACTGGCGTCTCCTGAATTTGACCCCTCCTCCGCAAGAGAGCGAGCAATCAGTCCAGGCCCCCCATTGGCTCCAGCCACCGTCAACATAGCAACCGGGGACGGATTTACACTGCAGAACCCCGGCTTTGCAAGAGCTGAGAGAAATTGGGAGAGAAATGTAATTCAATATTATTATGTAGAAAGACTTCATTTTATTAAGAATCTAAATGTTGTGGAGCTATTCGCTTGTACTGTACCAGTTTCTGCAGTCACTGATGATGCTGTCTCCTGGATTTGCAAACTGCCAATCAAATCCACCTGGCCATACCCATGATGCATTGCTGGAATCTAGACCGCTGAATCTCATTACTATATCAGAGACAAACACCTACCAATTACACTGATCTCTGCATGCTCCAACACAGTTTACCAAAACAATGCAAACACTTCCATTAGAAATCTTCACACAAACAGATCTGACCAGAAGCAGAGCTGTTGTGGTATTTGCAGCGACACTCCTCTCTGACCACGCACACGCCGTCCTGTAGAACCATGTCACCCGGACAACCGCAGGTATGTTTGCACGCAGGGGAGTCCACACACTCTGTGTCGCCATGGAGATCCGAACAGGAGCGGGGACAGGGCTTCCCACAAGGCCGTTCTTCCTGGCCTCCAGCACAGCCTGCAGAAGTCAGCAAACTTGACACTAGCCAGCATTGACTTTTTTTCTAAAAGCTTCAGGATGAGACTTTGTTTTATTTTATGGCCTTTCTTGCTTTCCTTTCCCATGTGCATCCAGCATCCTCCCTTTAAACAATTTCAAAGGAATACCCAATTAATAGACCATCTCTAAAGCTGCTGACCTGAGCAGACGGTGATGTTGTCATGGCAACCGCGAATCTGCCTGCTCTCTCCGAGACAGGGCAGCCCGCCGAACCTGGCAGGAGGACTGTTACATTTCCTGGTGCGTGTGGACGACCCGGCACACGCGTCACAAACCGACCACGCTGACCAGGGACTCCACGAACCGTGGACTAGAGGCAGAGATGGACAGAGGGACACAAGCTAAGGACGTGTGATGGTACATACTGTTGGTCTACCTGTATAGAACCTGAGAGATATGTAGGTACAAATAATTGAAGCCAGAGAGAATCAAACAGAGATATCAAGAGTAATGTGAGAAGAGTTACAACAAAGAAAAATATTATCTTGAGTAATGATCTGGAAGTTTTTTGTTCTCCAGTGAAAGAAAATGTGAATTCCTCCATTCAAATTTTGAATGGGTTAGCATAGCGGAGGAACTAGTGATACCTGGACAGAAGGTGATGACAGGGCAGGGCTGTCTTTGGATTTGAGCTCCGACCCCATTGTGTGTTTCCTGTTCACCAACGCAGAGCGCTCCTCCAGACTTAGGCTCAGGACAGCCACAGCTCCTATAGCGGGACACCGACTCCGCCCCACAGGTCCTCGAGCACGGAGTCCACTCTGACCACTCACACCAGCCGCCTGACACTGGGAACACACGGGAGGATGCAAAATATAAATGTATTCTTCCCCAGCCTGGACTGCATGTTCCTTCTCTTCATCATGAAGTCAGAAAGAAAAAAAAGAAAAAGTTTGTACTTTGATCATGAATAAGTTCCATTAACATATAGACTTACAGACTTACTGGTCTTACTCACCTGGACAGGGGTGTCTTGTGCAGTTGAGCCTCCCGCCCTGACAGGTGCTGAAACAAAGAGGAAACGCCAACATTTTTATGCTTCTATCCCTTCTTCCTGGCTGTTTCTGTGCTAAATGTAAAAGTGGTACACTGTAACAAATTGCTGTAAATTTACGGTGCATTTCTAACGGTATCTTACAGTATGTCATAATAACTGTAACATACAGTTAAATTTCCATCCCTTGCTTGTAAATGAACGGCCAATGTCATGAATAAACAGTTAAAGCTGTCAATTTACAATAATAGCAGACTACCGTAATTCAACTGAATGTTACATATATTTTATGAAGTGGTGGAAATACACATACAAGTGCAGTGAATCACAATCCATCTAAATCTGTTGTAGGTTAATGTACGGAAGCCCATGTCAGCCACTGAAAAACAGGTCCTGTAAGTCATCATAATGAGATAGTATCTCATGAGATACGATGATGACTTTGACTTACAGGACATTACTATGCATGCAGCTGTCACTTTTATCCAAAACACCCATGGTTTGACATAATTTTATGTGGAGTAATTGGGGTTTAGGTGTCTTGCTCAGGGACACTTCGACTTGGCACAGGGAGCAGCCAGGATTCAAACTGCCAACCTTGTGCTGCACAGCACACCCTCCCTATCCCATGCGCCACCTTCACTGTCATTTCAGTGGCTGGAATGTAAAGATTATAAATATTCGTATTATTCAAAGTGTTCATTGCCTAAAAGTGATTTGAGTGTTAATTGTGACCGACTGCTCCTGAACGTGACATCAGACACGTAATCTCAGTTCATCCAGAACACCTGCAGTGCAGTTCAACATCCAAGTAACGTTGGTAAGTGTAATTTGCCTAGCATGATTAACATTCTCTTTCCTTACATCTTGTTGTCTTCCTCATCTTTGTAATTTTAATATTTTCCAATGACAGTTTTTCTAAATATTTTATTTTGGTTTGTTTTACAGAGGCTCTGGATTAAGCAAGCCAGCCACTTGCTGCGGTCAATTGAAAGTGTTCCATAGCGTATTGTTGCAGTTAGTTTACCTTGTTCCTAATAACTTTACGATTCATTTTTTTATTATTGTATACATGTGGCATATTTTATGTTTTGTTCTTGGTTACAAATGCCTAATATTTTTGTATTAAAGGCATCTAATAAACTCCAACCACTATGACCGAAATGAGTTTGGTTGTCTTTCTTTAATTAGTGGGGAAGTAAATGCAAAAGTATACGGTAACATTCTGGTATTTATAACACAAAAACAGTAATCGTATGGTAACAAACTAATCCAAACTAATACGACAACATAACGCATATTACGGTAGGGCACTGTAAATAAAACAGTAAGTTACTAGCGTCGACTGACAGTAAATGGCAGTTAATTCACAGTAAAATTGGTTCAAGTTTACGGTAACATACAGTAATCCATTTTACGGAGTGTATACATGCATGTGTGGCATGTGCTCCATTATTCTGACCAGTTGTTACATCCATCAAGGGATTCGGTGGTCTCCCCTGGCTGCAGCCTGTGTCCGGTGCTAAGGTCCATGCAGGGGCACTCTTCTTTCTCTACGCAGGCTGTCCCGTGATCAGACAGGACCTTCCCCCCCGTACAGTAGCATCCGGGCTCACATTGCCACTCACAGTGCTGAGGGACAGGAAGAAGATCACCGCCATCATTCTTGTAGTTAAACCAGGAGCAATGGTGGAAAGAGGAGATACTCACGGCCAGATCGTCACAGGAGCGCGGGCAGGACGGACCACAACTGCTGAACACGGTGCCTGGCACCCGCGAGCATGGCGCCACTGCCAACACACACATGGTGACACAGTGCACCGGCTGCTTCGTGAACAAAGTGCAAAGGTGGAGGCACACACATTCACTGTGAGCGTACCTGGACAGTGATCAGTGTTACAGGCTGTGAATGCGGTTCCCAGACCCTCGCAGTAGTTCCCCTTTCCCTCTGGACTTGGGCTGTTACACTCTCTCCTCCGGCTTCGAACCCCTCCGCCGCATGATTTCGTACACTCTGTCCAGTTGGTCCACGGCCCCCAGCCTGCGTCACCTGGAAAGAGCAGACACATCACTATGAAGTAATTTTCAACTGTAGTATTCATTTATTCAAGCAATCATTTTGTTTGGACTCATCCAGATCACTTGGGCTTTTTGGGGGGGATTAAACACTAAAAACAACCACAACTTTTAGCTCCATGCTCCGTGTTTTTCTTTATCAATTTGTGTATTATTATGAATGCTACAGTAAAAGGTTTTCTGGATACAATACAGTCAGAATAAGGAGTGGAAAATGAAATACCAACATAACAGAGAAATATAAAATAGAATGTCGGTTGACACAAATTAACGGAAAACAAACTAACGGTCACACAGAACGGTGATGCAGACTTGGTCCTCTCTGTGAGGGCCCAGACACGGCAGGCCCCTGCCAGAGCGCTGGGGACTGGAACAGAACCGGTACCGAGACTGGAGACCCGGTCCACACGAAGTCGAACACTGACCCCAGGGAGTCCACTCTGACCATTGCCCATCAACTGGAGAGAGTGAGAGTGTGGAGGAACGGATTGAAAAAGATACACACTGGACCAATGACAGGACTAATTACATCCTGTTGTAAATATTGTTATTATGAGAGGATTTTGCGTCACCGCGGCTTGACTTTCAGTCATTTTTGGCATACAAACTTTTCTAACTGTTGTGGTTGTTTGACAATACAAGAATAGAAATGCACAAAAAGATCACGGCTTTCTACTTACCATTGCAGGTGACTTGAGAGCAGTTAACCAGCCTCCCCGCTTCACATGTGCTGAAATATAAACCCACACAAGAAGATGAATCATCGCTTCATTTCCTCTCTACGTATGGGTGAATGGAGGCGCATGCTGGTTGAATAAAACTCATTATTATTATTATTAGAAAGAGTTTTACTTGCCAATTGTTGCAGTCTGTGGGGACGACGTCTCCTGGTTTGTACTGTTCTCCGTCGAAGTGACAGAGGCAGTCAGACTCTCTCACACACGCGCCCTCCTGGAGATATGAAGAAACTATCAACAATATGTCCGTGATGACAGTCTATTGATTTGTATTGAGCTGCCCCCCATCACCTGTTGGATAGTCCCGTGTGGACACTGACAGCCCGGCGTGCAGTTTCTGCTGAGCTCCATTGTGAGGTCTGCACATGACACTGCTCCCCTCACACACTGCTTCCACTGCTGGCCGGGAGGACACACTCCGCCGTCTCCTGACACAGCAACCAGGAGCCAGAGCAGAGATTTAAAAAAAATTCTCTGTGTAGTCAAAACAAATCTGAATGCAGACCAATCTGTTTTATCTGATATTTATTAGAACCTGATGTTGTCCTATATAACAACAGCTCCTTAATGCACTGCAATGGCACATTGTTTTGGTGAATTTAAAACGTTTTAATCAATCAGTATGGAGTTCCACCTGAATGGTGTTGACACAAACAATCACAAACTGGACATTGACCAAAGAAATTCTTGTTCGGCTAACTCGTATTTTTGATTGTGATGATTAGTTGGTATGTAATATCATGGTTGGTATATGTAAAACTGAGTTCCTTTAAAAATAATCATACAAAAACACAACTTTGAAGGTGTACCAGAGACGTGTCCATTGCTCATTCAGTGTGAAAATAAGAAACTACTAGTCAGGGTCGACGTGGGGGAGGGGCAGAGAGGAGAGGATATGCCAGGAACCGCAAGGTTGGCAGTTCGAGTCCCGGCTGCTCCATGTCCCATGTCCCATGTCGAAGTGTCCCTGAGCAAGACACTTAACCCCTAATTGCTCCTTGGGCAAAAATGTAAAAGCCATGGGTTAAAATGCAATGGAAGTCGCTATGGATAAAAGTGTCAGCTAAATTACATGTAATATACTAAAGATATCGCCTGAAGTTGGCTGGGATAGACTCCAGCCCCCCTGCGACCCTGTGTGCAGGGTAAGTGGTTTGCAGATGGATAGATGGATGGTATTACTAAAGAAATTTATAAAACAAGACTAACATGAAGGTCTAGTTGACGAGGATGGGACAGCTCTACAGTTTATGCAGACATGCCGTGTGCCTTCTTTTTTCTGTCCTTTTTAAACACTTTTCAAATATACCCAAGTAATTGTGAGCTAGGATGGGAAGGGCTGCCTCTAAGGAAGTCAGGTTACTTAAAAAACTTCAATTAAGATCCAAACCAGAATCTTTTCCTAAACCAAATCAATTAATTTTGTAGCATAAACAGCTTCAGCACAGAAGGGGCATACACTTGCTGGATTTCGCAAGGGAATGAAAAAAAAATTATACTTGAAGACATTCAAAGTGTTGATTTAACGTATTGGAATAGACATTCCCTTTTTTTCCTTTGTAGTTACCTATGACAACATTGAAATAAGACATCCACTCCGTTTGAGCACCTTGAATTGTTTTCCTTCCTTACTGCAAAAACATGATTTAATGCAGTGGTTCCCCAAAGGGGGCGCAGCCTCATCACCACACAGCCACAACGGAACAAAACAACAAAAGCTAAACCGACACGAGGACGGTGAGTTGTGTTCGAACCACGCCCCCCAAAGAGGCTCAGGGTACGAGCAGACGAGCGCAGCACAGAGAAAGAGAGAGCGAGAGAAAGAGGGAGACAAGCAAAAACTTTTTAAACAATTTAATATTAAAGTAAAGTAATAATACTAATACAATTATGTAAATTTACTTAAAATATGTTTAGAAAAAAAAAAAAAAACTTTTAAGTGGGTGCGACTGTGGGTGAGTGGGGAGCACGGTTGTCCTCCAGTCAGAGGGTTGTCGGTTCGATCCCAGGCCCGGCTAACCCGCATGTCGTTGTGTCCTTGGGCAAGACACTTAACCCAACATTGCTCCTGTAGCTGTGACTACAGTGTGTGGATGTTAGTTACTGATGGCAGGTGTCACTGTGTGTGGTTCTCCTGCCATCAGTGTATGAATGGGTGAATGATGTCATATAGTGTTAAAGCGCTTTGAGTGGTTGGAAGACTAGAAAAGCGCTATACAAGTACAGTCCAGTTTTTTATAGAATGTATATATTATATTAATTGAAAACAAAGGAGGAACAAAGAAGGAACCACATCGGAATGGTTGGTGGGGTCTCACAATGTCTTACGTTGTCCTTATATTCTCAAATGGGGCCCTGACAGAAAATGTTTGGGAACCATTGATTTAATGCAATAAATATGACCAATGTTGTATCATACAGTATGTTGTCAAGGGTTAAGGTTGGCTTTACCACAGGGCTGCAGGTTACAGGCGCTGAACTGCTGAGCAGTGCCGTGGATTCGGATGGGTCCCCGGGTTCGGGTCCTGTACCCTCCTCCACACGTCACAGAGCACTCAGACCACGCAACCCATGGCTCCCTCACACCTTCAGACACATCACACACAAATCAACCTCCCTTTTGCCGTTTTTGTGCCGTTTTATTTAAATGCACACAGGAGTTCATGAAAAGGAATACTTTTCATTGGTGCTTCTCCTCACCAATGCAGGGCTTAATGCTGCAGCTGTCGATCCCTACTCTGTCTCCTTTGCAGGGACGGCCGCCTGAAGCTGGGGGAGGATTGGTTCCCGAACGATAGCGTCTTCTCACACCAACGTCGCATGTTCGACTGCAAGTGCTCCATTGGGTCCAGCTGCTCCAGCCACAGTCCACTGAGCCCCCCCCCACACACACACACACAGGATAAAATCAGAGAGAATCGGAGACGGTGAGAAAAGGAAAAATCCCTTTAAATCACCCACCAACGCAGGGAGCTGCTCCGCACAGCATCTCTCCATTAGTGCAGGTACTGTTTGAGACAAACAAAGCAAGTGACGGCCAAAATAATAACAATATAAAAATCAAAACAGACCTGCAATATAGTCTACTTCACAATAAAAGAAGCCTCGGACACAAGCCGGCAGTACCAGTTATTGCAGGCATCCACCGGCAGCGCGGCACCGGCTGGATACAACTCCCCCTGGTGGTAACACGGGCACCGGCCCAGGGGCACGCAGCGGCCCTTCAGCAGGTAGAGGCCCGGGGAGCAGTAGCAGCCGTTGTAACAGGCGGTGACACACTGCACCTCTCCGGCGGTCATGTCCAGACACACGCGCGGACACGCGGCGCCTCGAGCCTCGCACTCTGCTGATGTCATATGCACCATGCCCTCTGGACACACACCTGTGTGGAGAGGAAATGAGGACTGAATGCTGCACACTGGAATTTGGTCAATGAGGTGAAAGAAATAACTGGAGAGAACACACAAGAAGAGAATTCCATTGGACAAAACAAATTACACCAACACAATGGTATTTTTTTGTCACAGTATTCACACATATTACACCTGAACAGGGATGTGAGTTACAGTCTCCTGTCTGTATGTGCGGCCCGGGGCAGTTGCTACCCCCATGCTGTGGGGTGGGTGAACTGCATAACCTCTCTCTCGTTTGGACGCCGGAGTCGCACTCTGACGAACATTGAGACCAGGATGACCACGCTGACCAGCCGCCGTTCACTGGAAACACACAGCTGGAAAGTCAGCATTTCAGTCTTCCTTCTGACACTTTTTCGTTGTTTTTGTGGAGAGAACAGGGAAGTTGTGGTTTCCATGTGTGCGTCTACATCTGCAATACCTGGACAGTGGACAGTGTTACAAGGCTCTTGATCCTCGCCGTCTCCATCACAGGCCGAGTCCTCCACCGTGCCGTTAAAGGCTGTGAGCGTGTGGTTGCAGCTGCGGAATCGTAGCCTGATTCCAACATCATCTACGTGGTTGAAACACGTCTTGCTGCACTCTGACCAACTGGTCCATTTGCCCCAAACTCCATCTGGCAGCACTGCACAAAAGAACAAAGTCCTCGAGGGATTTACAAGACTATCTTACAGGCCGGAGACTTACATTTCAGTATATTTGAATAAAGGCTTCATGGTTATTGGTTATTGTTGCTCAGGAAGTAGTTCTCACATTTACTCTTTATTACGGTATACTACAAAGTCAACTACAATATAACTTTCACCATATGTACTGAACTGAAAAAATGCAGGATAAGCAAGGTTATGAGATTATTACATTGATTTCAATGAAAGAATCCGCATTTCAGTCCACAGTATTTTGTTGGTTTGTAAATCTCATGCTACATTTGAATACGGTTGGTTTACCAGGGAAACAGGAGCCGGAGCAGCGGCGGGCCTCCGAGGAGTCTCCTGCACAGGGCTGGATTCTTATGGCTCCAGCTGGGTTCAATGGCGACCTGAAGAGAACAGATGACACAGCAGTGATAATTGAGATAATATTGCATTTCATTTCTGATACTGTACACTGTTCACCAAATTTGTAGTGTGTAAAAGACAGCAAAGTAAGTAAGCGTAAATACAAATCTAAATACAAGTACAGAATTATCATTATTATCATCTCAAAATATCACTTCACTTTGTGACGCTCCCTTTTTTTTAACTTAACAGGCTCACCTGTAGCGTTGCTGGAGTCCCAGACCACAGGTTACATCACAAGGTGACCATGACGACCAGGCTGACCATTGACAGGTGGCCACACAAAGGGAGGTGTCACAGGTAACTTGCCCGTCCATGCACACGCTGATGACAAATACATTTAACATAAGCGTTTTTACATCACACTAAAAGGAGCCTCGGACACAAGCTATTAAAAATGAGAAATAATAAATATTGTTATTTAGCATTTTGGTACAGGGTGGAAACCAGGCTCGCTTTCAAAGTTGGAATATAGAAAATAAATAATTGTGACTGCCTTTCACCATATGGCACACTGGTCCTTGCTGACTGTCTCTCCTGGCTGTAGCGTTTGACCGTCCCAGAGACAGACGCATTGGCTGCCATTCACACATCGGCCCTCCTGAAGGTAGAGACCATCGGCACATCGGCACCCTGGAGAAGACAGGATGCATCTTCATTTCAGCCAGCAGTGAGCTGGAATATCAATAATGCTTCAATAGAGGTGGCAATCAGATAACACAACATTATATTTAATCCAACTGGAACAGTAAATGATTTAGTGCTTATGTTTCAACGATTGAAAATGTACCTTATAATACAAAACAGAATGATGTCTGGCATTATGGACACTGAAAACTGAATTGACGTTGGTCGGCACACCGTCACTTCCTGCTTGTCCTACCTGGTATACATGCTGCAGTGCAGTTGCTAGTCATGCTGAGATGTGAGCAGGTAGGAGGACACGGCTGGACCCCACCGGCTGTGCAGTCCCTCTCAGTCACCAGAACCATGCCGTTGACACAGCCTGAACAACCAATCAGTGTGCAGACGTAACTCGAATTAGAAAAGACTAATTAACTAAATAGCAACCACAGAATCTACCGTTGGACAGAGTGCGGACCACCTGTCTGCGTCTCGGACTCTTCGGTGCAGGGCTTGCTGTTGCAGCTCTGGCTCTGCAGGGTCATGCCCTCACAGTCCCGCCCACCGTTCTTGGGGGGAGGAGCAGAGCAGGTTCTGTTCCTCCTTCTGACACCGCCTCCACACTGAGTGTCACAAAGCGACCACTCGGTCCACTGGGACCAGTGACCATCGACTAAGGGGAGACAGGAGAGAATTATTATATCGTACCAAGACCGGGCGCATATGACAGGCATTTCCGATTGGACTGCCGACGAGAGAACACACCTGGACAAGCTCGAGGGAAACAGGCTCGACTGTCAAACTGAGCTCCACCGCAGCTCCCTCCGGGCAGAGCCTCCCTCAGTATGTCCCTCTGCCGAAACAAGGAGCCCAGACCACAGGACACACTGCATGCGCTCCATGCTGTCCAAGGGGACATGATGCAGTCCACTAGAGAAGAGGATGTTGAAGAAAATAAATACAGAAATCAGCATTTTGTTTCATCATTTTCAGTTTTGATGTCTTTTTATCACTTTTAAGTGGTGGGGTCGTATTTTACCACAATCTCTCTCGTCCGATCCGTCCACACAGTCCTTCTGCAGGTCACATCTGCGGTCGAGGTGAACGCACTCACCACTATCACAAGAGAACTGCTTGGGAGAGCAGGGGCTGGGTACATGGGGGGTGGTGCCTTATAACAAAATGGGGATACAATAACAGCATCGTGTTCAACTTCATTCCAGGAATTAAACCTTGCTTTATTCTAAGGGTTTTTCTTTTCTTTTCACATCCTTTTTCGTGTTTGAAGTCCATTATGACACAATGTATAACATGCAAATATCAACATCAGTTTCTATATTTTTATGGTATTTATGGTATTCTATTTCTATTCTTGTCTTCCCGCTGACAGAATGTCAATGCATACCACAGTGTTCCTCGTCCGACCCGTCCAAACAGTCCCGTCCGCCATCACACACCTGTACCAAGTTGATACAGCCAAATGTTCGGCACGCAAACTGGCCCTCCACGCAAAGCACTCGGGGTCGGCCTCCGTCATACGGAGTTGTAGCGTCTCGCAGGGCTGTAGATTAAATAAAAATAATGGTTACAATATGTGTCTATTCTGTATCAAGTGTTGAGGTAAAACCAGCAGGGGTGTCTTGCCTGGAGTGGTTTGCAACCCAGGTTTTCCAGAATGACGGGTTGTGGTGGGATGAAGTCCTGGTTGACCTGTAGTGACCCCTGCATATGGTTTGAAATTTAAAAAAGGACTTGCACACCAACACACCCTATAAAGGGGGGAACACTTGGAAAGCAGATATCATCATCAGCAACATTTACCTGTACTTGAGGTCATTGTCTTTTGGGGTGAAGTTTGACCTGTGACTCCGGGGGTAGCCATGCGGGGAAGGCCGCCTTGAGACCTGATGGTCTGGAGGGCCTGAGGCGCCTGTAGATACCGGTACCATGAAAACCTGCTCCCCCCCGTGGTCTGATTTTGCAGCCCAGGAAAACCTGGAGAGAAGAAAGATACTCATAAAGAAACACATGGTAGAGCAAGAAAGTATCATATATATTTGGATGTTGCAGCGAGACTCAAAGGAAGATAAAAAGATATACTGTATTTGTAGTTGAAAATGACTCAGCCCCTTACCACAGTTGATTTCATCAGAGTAATCCTTGCAGTCCGCCCGACCATCACAAAGCTTGGTATCTGAGACACACTCTTCACTTTGCTGGCATGCAAACAGGCCTGGGCCACAGCGCTGCACCGTCACTTTCCCGCCAGCAGAGGGGGACATGGTCAGGCTGCTCGGGGTCACCAGCTCATCTGCAAGGATGTGAGGAAAGGTTCCTTCATTATTAACACCAAATATGAATTAGGCTCACTAGTTCTGTAAAGCTAAGATGAGCTGGTGGAATTGGGAACTGAGAATTACGAGTTCCTCACCTGCTCTGCAGCCGAGGATCTCCACACGCAGGTAGAAGGTGTGTCTGAACTCCACAGGGATGATTCGCAGGTAGCGAGCACTGACCATCCGACCGAGCCAGCGGGTCACTGGGATCCTGCCTGCCATCCGTACCTCAAAAACCTACACCACAGCCAATAGAGAGGCCAAACCCACATATATGAACATTTTTTTATTTTTCTCCTCCACATATGGACACATTCCTATTCCTAAAGATACCATTTGATGCTAAAGAAGATAGTAAATGTCCAAATGAGTACATTTACCTTAGCAGGGCCGCCAGGGTTCCTATTGTCGGTATAGTCTGTGAAGAGGCTGCTGTGCAGGGCAAAGGCCAGGCGGTATTTGGTGAGGTAACCCCACATGCGCTCCCCGCCCTGGGTCACCACCCCTGACACCCACGTGGGCTCCAAGAAGTCCACCTGGAAAAAGGGCTGAGGATCTGCAGGTAAGGGGCTCCATCCAGGCTCCATAACCTGACTGCAGAGAGGATAATGTGGTTTCGGATTATTTCCTGCTTTATATTACCTTCACCTTCGTCAAAGGATTTTAGGCAAATGCGAAAAAACACATGGAATGTTGAGGGAGGCAACTTTGAATCAAAGATCTGGACACTCACACGTTAGGGACGATGTTCAGTCGTCCAGCATCAGCAGGATTGTTCTCGCGGTGCGAGGACGACGTCAGCTGACCGTATCGAATTCTCCCATCCTCCAATCCGAGCGGAGAGGAGCAGATGGCTGCAGAATACAATCAGAGGCTATCACCGTCCAACCAAAAGCATGTCTGGCCAACTGAACGCTTCAAAACACAGAAACATTTGGTCCAGAGATTTGATATGTTTTAGAGGCTGCGGCTCTCAAAACATCAAAAATATAAACAGCATTTAACACTCACCACGATATCCTGGGGTACCAACCTGTGAATACATTAGAAAATAATATAATATAAGAATAAGAATAATATAATAAGTATAGATTGAAGTGATCCTATGTGCATCTGACTATTTGGGTATTCTAGTTCTCTCTGCAAACATGAGAGCAAAGAGCAAAGATGAGAATGAAAAAATGCCAGGCATGTCTTGTGTGCATTTCCAAAATAGATTCCACAGACAATAAATAAATGGAAATGTTATTTGGAGAGTATTTACTGAATTTTACGAAATTCTATGAATTGTTGTCTCACCATTGATGTGGCTGTGACAGCAGTCTTAGGTGGTGTCCTGAGGGGTGCAGGGGTGGGTGTGTATAGTCTGTAAATAACCATACAACAATGACAAGGAGGAAATACTTAACAACACCACGAGAAGATGAAGACGGGACTGTATGAAAAAAGACGATATAACAAAACAATAGTAATAGTAAAGAGCAGAATACAGAGCTGGATTGATAACTGTATTTATCAATTATCACAATTGCTATTACTACAGCAGAAATTATAGCAATCCCCTGTACCTGTCTGACTCGGTGGTGATGTCATGGCATCCAGTTTCATCCTCCCCTTTTGGACAGTGGGGGATTCCATCACAGCGGAGCCCTGCGTTGATGCAGCCCCCTGGTGGGGGGCAGGAGAACTGACCATATGGGCAGCGGCGTGGACTGATGGTTGTAGTTGATGGTTGTTTACCTGCATGTGGGTAATGGTTTGATTTAGTAAAAGAGTGTTTCCCATTTTACACATAAAAAAAGAGTAGCATTGAAGTATTTACAGACCATCCCCGCAGCCCATAATCTCAAGTCGGAGGTAGATGCCATTCTGGAAGTCATGTGGCAGCAGGCGGACAAATTGAGCCACCACCGTCCTGTCCAGTCGGATCTCTGCCACCCCCCCGTCATCATGGTTACCATAAAAAACCTTGAGATAAAATGGTTATACATCAATTGAAAGCTAGAAAAAGATTGTTTAAGATAACTATATGAAGTTTCTGGGTGTGATGTCTAACCTTGGCTCTGGGCCGGGCGTCAGTAATAAGCTCTTTGTAGGTGTACCATTGTCTGCCATCCCGGCTAAACTGGAGGTAGAAGCTGGAGACAAATGTGCCGAACGCACCACCACCCTGGGTAAGGACACCTGCCGGAGGGATAGAATACATTCTACTTATGCTACTGCTACATAACTCACATCCATGCTTGTTCCAATGCACCTGCCTGTTCACCTGTGATGTTGTATGCCTTCAGCAGGTCCATCTGTAGGTATGGGCTCTGGGTGTTGCTTGTCTGTGCCTCGGGGCTCCGCTGTGGTAGGTCCTTATACTCGTCTGGTTCTGGACTCCAACCCTGCAGATAAACGGTTTGCAGATTATATCATGTTTGTGTTGCTGCAGCATGAACAATTTTAAAGACTGGAAAACATGAATGTCATCAAATAAGTGGCAAGTAGAGCGCTAGTAATGTGCAGGTCTCTGACACTATAATACCATAACCGTTCAGTTTGGGGCTAATGAAAATGATCGGTTGTTTAGTCCGATTCAGAAAACACAGAGTAATGTCCCAGGATTACCATAGAGGCTCATATCCATCCCCAAGGTTCCTTAAATGTCTGTACCACACTCCAATAGTTCTCCAACCAATAACAATGGGAATATATCTATACTTGACGTATACTAGACTTACTAACCTGGAGGTCTCTATGGGGGTCCCTCCAATGCAGCCGGCCTACCTGCGGGGGGTGACCAGGCTGCTGTGATGAGGCACTGAAACTGGAGTCTGGGAGAGTCTGGACACCCAGAGGATACCAACAGTCACCTGAACATCAGAGATTCCAAGAAAATTTGTGAGTGGAAGTAGATCAAATTGTGGATACCTTTGCCTCCTAGGATATTTTTCGGATAAAAAGCATTACTGTCGAACTACTTGGTTTATCTGAACAATTTGTTTCTGTAAGGATAAATGGGAACCCCTGTCAGTGTTCTGATGTGTATAAATCAGTTTATATGTTACTGGTAAAGAAAAAAATATATTATAACACGCTAAAACACCTTCACATTTTGAGAATCGCCTGAAAACTCTAATTGGGTATCCAGCCCTATAACATGGAGATACTAGGCTAAAACCATAACCTATATGTGTGGACAGTAATCATTAAAGGTGTCTCGTTGATAGAGGGAAACTGAACTATAGAGGAGGCTCTATTGCAGGCCTCACAGATGACAAATGGCAGGAGTGAAAATCTAGATGTCTTTCTAAGTCCGGCTGTGGTTGGCCAAATTTCATGTATCAACCACTTTTAGAAATTCTCTGATCCTATTGGATCCGACTAGGCTGTGGCTGTCTCAACCGGCGCGTGCCATGAGAGCCACCCTGCGACCATCGGAAAGGAGATGGCGTAAATATAAACAACCTGATGACCTGCTTGTGTTTCAATCTCTCCTCTCCTCTTTTCTGCTTCTATCTCTGCTGCTAAAAGCTCTTTCTACCAATGTAGAATTGAATCTTCATTTTCTAACCCCAAAAAACTATTTTCTATCTTCTCCAACCTCCTTAAACCCCCTAGTCATCCTCCCCCCTCCACCCTTCTTCCGTGAGACTTTGTCAACTACTTTACCAAAAAAATAGCTTGACATACGCTCCTCCTTCTCAAACCCACCTCCTACTACAACTCGTGTCCCACCGAATTCAACTCTATCGCCCTCACTTTCCCCTTTCACCCCCCTTTCTCCAAAACCAAATTCTTACCCTAGTAACCTCTGCCCGTCTGACCACGTGCCCTCTTGACCACATTCCATCCATATTCTACAATCTATCGCTCCTGACATTCTTCCTGTCCTCACCTGGATCATCAACAATGCTCTGTTATCTCTCTGTTTTCCCAGACCTGTACACCACTACTCCTGGATATATAGGTGGGGTAAGGTAAGATAAGGTGGATGGCTGGATGTTAACCCACTCCTGAAGAAACCCACCCTCAACCCTTCTGAAGATAACAACTAGAGACGGTCTCTCCTCTTCCCCTTTTGTCCAAAACTCTTGAACGTGCGATCTTTAACCAACTCTCCTCCTATCTCCACCGTAACAACCTCCTTGACCCCCACCAGTCAGGCTTCAAGGCAGGCCATTCCACAGAGACTGCTCTCCTTGCTGTCTCAGAGCAACTCCACACTGCTAGAGCCGCCTCTCTCTCCTCTCCTCATCCTTCTGGACCTCTCTGCTGCATTTGACACATTTGTCAACCAGATCCTTATTTCCTCCCTTCAGGAACTTGGTGTCACAGGCTCTGCTCTCTCCCTCTCATTCAACCTTGACGGCCACACCTACCGGGTAACCTGGCGAGGATCTTTGTCGGAACCTTGTCCTCTTACTATTGGAGTTCCTCAGGGTTCCGTCCTTGGTCCCCTCCTCTTCTTGTTCTAACTCTCTCGGCTCAGTCATTCTCTCGCATGGCTTCTCCTACCACAACTATGCCGACGGCACCCAACTAATTTTCTCCTTCCCTCCCTCGGACACTCAAGTGGCGGCACGGATCTCTGCCTGTCTAACTGACATCTCTCAGTGGATGTCCGCTCACCATCTGGAAATCAACCTCGACAAGACTAAACTACTTCTCTTTGCGGGAAAATACTCTCCAACCCAGGACCTGACAGTTAACTTTTGCAACTCCGTGTTAACGCCCACTTTGACTGCTAGGACAGCCTGATCTCCAAAACCTGTTTGGGAAAATGTATACGAAAATCTTGAACATATTCGTAGTGATACATACGAAATAAATACGGACTGCAACTGATGACGTCACCCTATTCAAAGTGAATGGGGACCTGCACCCCGTAAACACACTTTGTGAAGTCTAACGATGTAAAATAAACGTGTTATGATTGCATTTTTAACGAGAAATCAATGTTAACTTGTAAGAATAGAATACTAAGCCTAACCCCCTCAAAAAATCCAACATGGCGGAGAGACGTTCACTCAAGAATCCGACATGGTCCGCCATGTTGTTCACTCAAGGGGCGTGGTTAACCACCGCCAGTTCGTATGTATTGTTACGAATTTCTATGTTCAAGATTTTCGTATACATTTTTACAAACAGGTTTTGGAGATCACGTTGGCTAGGAACCTCGGCGTGACACTCGACAGCCAACTCTCCCTGACTCCCAACATCACTGCGACAACACGATCCTGTAGATACACGCTCTACAACATCAGGAGAATACGTCCTCTTCTCAGAAGGCAGCGCAGGTACAGATTCAGGCTCTTGTCATCTCCCGCCTGTACTACTGCAACTCTCTCCTGCAGGTCTCCCTGCTACCGGCATTCCACCTCTGCAGCTCATCCAGAATGCAGCAGCTCGACTGGTCTTCAACCTTCTGAAATTATCCCACACTACTCCACTCCTCCGCTCTCTTCACTGGTACCGGTGGCTGCCCGCATCCAGTTCAAAACACTGGTGCTCACGTACCATGCTGTTAATGGATCGGGTCCAGCTTACATCCAGGACATGGTCAAACCCTACATCCCGACCCGCACTCTCCGCTCTGCATCTGCGAAACTGCTTGTTCATCCCTCACTGAGAGCAAAACACTTGACAAGATCACAACTCTTTGCTGTCCTTGCTCCCCCGAAATGGTGGAACGATGACACCAGGACCACAGAGAGCCTTCACATCAGCCGCATACTAAAGACACACCTCAGACTCTACCTTGACTAAAAGACTAACAAATTGTAGCACTTAAATTGTACTTATAATACCACTTATCTATAGCAAATTGTAAATTGGCTTATTAGATGAAATTGCACTTTCTTGCTCTTCTGAGTTTGTATCCCTATGGTTAAATGCACTTATTGTAAGCCGCTTTGGATAAAAGCGTCAGCTAAATGACATGTAATGTAATGTAATGATGGGCAAAAGAGCGACAGTGCCCTTAGCCACAAAAATGAGTAGAGCATTACATGAGCCTCAGGGGTTCCCCTCTCTAGCCTGAATTAGCAGAATTTGTGACTTTTTAATAAATTAAGGAATAGAAAGGAGGACACATATATGGATAATCCCCCTTGGGGGAAAAAACGGGTGGTCAGTTAAACTAAAAGTGCAGTTAGTTGTTAGGCAAGCGATTGTATTCATCATTAAATGGGAAGTACAGATAAGGGGAACAACAGCTCTGATTTTACCTTGGCAGTAGCAACACCTGTCTCCTTCTACATGCACCAGACTTTGGCCCTGCACAAACAAAGTGACATTCAACGTTTGCCTCTGTCACACATGTGGCAGAGCTGCTATGGAACACAACTATGTGGAGGCAGGCCAAAGGATGCAGAGGAGGTAGAGCTGTGGATTATGACGGGTTTATGCCAGATACGATAGCAACACAAACCTGTTTAAGCATACAGTTACATGCTCAATTAAATGTGCAAATGTAACGACTTTACTGCGTCATATTTCCATGACACATACCCGAGCAGCAAATACAGTAAGTGCACATTCATCAAACCCCAAAAATCGTACCTGTGGACATCCACTGACAGCGTGGGGACAGTAGAGGGAACACTGCACTGTCGAGTTGGGCAGACAGTGACAAACCTGGCAGTGGTCTGACCTCCATCTGTCTCCGACAGCATGGGACCGACCTTGGTACTCACACTCATTACAGGGGTTGGTCTGGCACCTGCACACAGATATGGTGTTAAATAATAAGACAACAATGAAGGAAACCTCAGGGTGGAGTAAAAACATAGAGGTAATTTATCCACTTGTAGTTGCTATGAGTTCAGCTTTGACACTGGCAGGCACTGTGTGCCTCAGGCCTGGTGCTGTGATGGGGAAACAGATACAGTTTGTCTGCCTCAACAGCTTTTTAAATCGTTGAGGGATCGGGATATACAATAAATATTGCAATACTTTAATTTTGATGTCTGATAATGACTCTATTATATAAACCAGTTTATTTGCAAAACAAAATCAGCCGTCAAAACTGTACGGAGCGAGGATGCTGCTTCAGGACTGCTTTGAAACAAAAACTGTTTGCACAGGGGGCTGACCTGAAGGAGTACACCTCAGATGTCCTACCCTTCTGCACTGAGACGGTAATGACCACCAAAACCATCAAAGAGTTTCCAAATCAAAAACCCTGGCTGGACAGAAACGTGCAGTTACTGCTTGGAGCTTCAGGTCTTGACATTCCGGCCTGCAAAAGCGCCCGTAGGGACCTTAACACGGGCATCAGAGAGGCTGGATGTTTTTTTTACAATGACAAAAAACATCCAGCCATCCACCTTATCTTACCTTACCGTACCTATATATCCAGGAGTAGTGGTGTACAGGTTGAGTAATAGAAAGAGTCCCATGAGGACAGTGCTACATACCGGCGGGCTTTCCTGTATATTCCCCTGCACGCTCTCCCGTCGCCATGCTTGATTGGGTTGTTTGGGCTCCGGAAGGACCACTGGACACTCTGAACCCCGCAGGGCCCCAAACACTCTCCCCACTCAGTCCATGACGACCAGCCACAGTGCACTGCGGTTGCAAAAAACTGACTGTATAGGATGGCTCAGACTTTGATAAGGCAAGTTCACAGCAGATCTAAAGTGTTTGACGGACTCACCTGAGCAGTCTGGGTTAGGCTGGCACCTTTGCGTCCTTCCTCTCTCACAGACACAAATCTCACAATCTATCTTGATCTGCTGGCCCGGCCAGTAGCGCACGCCTGCAGCCTCACACACACACTCCTCTGGTGACACACACTGTTGCGTATGACTCATCACCTGGCCCTCCGGACACCAGCAACCTGAAATCAGATACAACTTGATTATGAGAAAAACAATTTAGCTGTTTTAAAAGGATAAGAATCAACAATGTATTACAATTTCCTTTCCTGTTGACTGACCTGAGTAGCAGGGGGCCTTTGCATCACAGCTCGTCCCACTGCTGATGTGGGCACAAGACACTGGGCAGGGAGCACAGCTGTGTCTCACCAGCCCAGTGGGACAGGTGGTGTTGGCACATCCATCATCAGGACAGGGCTCTAGAGAGGGATATTTTAAGAACTCTCTGAGCATTCCAATTTTCATTTGCGACCTTTTAGCGCAATCAACCTGTTTTTCATTTCTTTTCTTTCATTTTGAAAGAAGTGCAAGACTACAACAACCTTTAAGAGGAGCTTCATTTATAATGCATTTGGATACATATGTGTGTAGTTGTAGCTGTGAACAACAAAACATTTCTTGTGAAAACAATCAACAGCAGGTTGCAACTTTTTGTGCTTTTGGGGTGAACACATCTTTCCTCCACAAGTATTGTATTGTAACAATTAGAACCTTACTGATCTCTGTAGGCAGGTTGGACGGCCCGGGGAGCTGGAAACAGTCTCGGCCCCCGTAGAGGGGGGGGATGCAGCCTCTGTGTCGGACCTGCACGCCACCGCAACCGCTGGAGCAGTTGGCCCAGCTCACCCACGGCAGCCACAGACCATCCACTGGAGAGAGCATCACATTTTAGAAACAAATACGGAACATTTTTTTATTTAAAACTCTTCTCAAACCTATTTTATTTCATGTCCCCATTCTTACCAGGACAGGTGGTGTTGAAGCACTGCTGCCTCTGGGATTCCTGTCCCTTACAGTGACTCAGCGGATCTCCTGCGGGACAGGTTCTCTGCCGGCTCCTGGAGCCTGTACCACAGGAGGTGCTGCAGGGGGTCCACAGACCCCAGGAGCTCCAGGTTCTACAGCCCTGCTCATCAGTGGGGCCTCCAAGTGGTGATTGTGAGGAGTTTGGGCAGTCTACCACACCATTACACACCTAGGTAACGGGAATGTAAGTGATGGGCTGCTTTCGTGAATTTTAAAAATGAAATAATAATTAATAAATATATTTCTATGAATTATATAGAATTCCTTAATATTTCATATGATCCATGCTTATGATGGATAACCAAGGTGATTGCTAATCAAACCATATCAACACAATCAATCAGATTCACGATTAGTAACTATTAGTAACCATTTCGATTTAATAAAAAAGGAACTTGGATAATATCGATATGTAAGATTTCTACAAACTTTTCAAAGAAAACTCTGTCTACATCAAAGATTTAAAAAGTGCAAGCAAAAGATTTCTTAGCTACATTGTCCTTGGTGCAAAAGATAATTTTATAATTCTTTTTGGTATTCAATTACCCTCCACCACTTAAATAAATCCCTGCCTGTATTGCTGGTGGCAAATGTACCCGTATATACTATATGGATGTACAGTATATCAGTCTGAAGCGTACCATATTAAAGGGGACACAGGATCCGTCCGTACAGGTAAATTCAGGGCAGATGAGAGTGGTGTTCCTACTGCCAGGGAGTTCTGGTGAGACGGTTTTATCTGGACAGAGCAAGATTTCAAAAGTATCATTAAACAAACCAAACGATCACAAAATCCATCAACTGTGAATATAAGAAACTAGGATGCCCACTGCCTCTAACTTTCCTTCCATCCATCCTTCTTTCCCTTTTTTTCCTATCAGGAGGTCCTTCAAACACAATAATGTATATTTTGTTGCTCCATCTCATCTCATCTATCGTTTCTTCTTATCTCATGAGAACTCACCACACACAAACTCATCTTCACCCTGTGGACAGTCCTGAACGCCGTTGCACACTTGTGACATGTTCACACAGGTGCGGTTGTCGCACAGGAAGCTGCCTGGGCATGGCGGTATCCGAATAGAACCTAGCATGGGGACAGATTTACTGCCAAAGGTTTTTTCTGTGGCTTGGATGACATAGACGCTTGTTTTTTTTCTTAAGGCTCAAATACCATAATAATCCCATTTGTATTTGCAACGGCTCACCACAGTTGTCGATGCTTTCGTCTGAGGCATCCCTGCAGTGTAGGATCCCATCACATAGCTGCTGGTAGTCTACACACTGGTCCCCGCTGAGACAGGGCACCAGGACAGGGCCACAGGGGGCCGTGCACTGCTGCTCGTCGCTACCGTCCATACAGTCTGTTTCCCCATCACAGCGCCAGGCCTGAGGCACACACTGGCCACCAGTGGCACAGCTTAACTCATAGGACCTACAGGCTGGAGAAACACGAGTGTGTAAGAGGAACACAGATTTCTCAAAACCAATATCTTGTATGATCAAATGAGTACCTGAAGTGGGAGTAGTCCAGGAGACGGGGGAGGGTGACGGGGTTATGTAGCAGTTGGTTCTGTTCTCATCTTCTCCGCCTCCACAGTCCAACGTTCCATCACACACTTTAGTAGTGGCCACACATGTTCCATCACTACAGGCAAACTGGTCGGGAGCGCAGGTCACTGCAACACACAAAAAGGATTCCAACCCACGCAAAAAAATGTGTTGCACTTATGGCTATCAAATAACGCTGCATTAGTAGAATTACCTCTACTAGGACAGATAGCTTCGTCTGTTCCAGAGGGGCAGTCTCTGTGTCCATCACATACTGTGTCTACAGGGACACACTGATCCCCAGGGCACTGAAACTCCCCAGCTGCACACACACACCTATAAGCAGAAAAAAGATATGATGACATTGTGTGGTGCAATCTATTAGTAAGTGGACAAATGCTGCTCAGAACAAAACAAAAAGAAAGCACAATCTGTATGGCTGAAGAATATTTGCAAATTATTCCAATTATTCAACATAACTTTATCAATTTTGTAGGATATATTGATTTGGTGGACTTCACCTAGTAAAATAAAGATTAGAAAAATTATAAAATACAACAAAGTACTATTGCAAGGCTGGGATATTTGCAGCTTCGAGCTGATGTCAGGTGGATATTTCTGAGGACGGGCGAGATTTGAAACATTGCATTTTTTGCAAAAGGCCAGTCTATTTCAGCACCGGCAATCCCAAATAGCAAATAGGTGGCTGAATACACACCCTCTCTCGTCACTGAGGTCTCCGCAGTCATCGTGTCCGTCGCAGCGGTGGAGGTACAGAATGCAACGTCCTCCAGAACACAGGAATTCCCCCTCATCACAGACCACACTGCAGTCTGGAGCCAGGAAAGCACAGTTCATCAAAGTCACTATCATAAATTACAGCACAGTAAAAACAAGACAGTAGATGTCTACAAGAAACACCATCTTTCTCAACATAATAATATTCTTTAGATAAAGCCTCATTCTTGATAAAGTGTTGATGTGACTTGTGTAGTTTGTATGAGGAATTGCATATTGTTTATTGATTACCCTGCTCGTCAGAACCGTCAGCAAAGCCACAGTCCAGACGCCCGTCACACACTCGGCTGGCTGGCAGACACTTTCCATTGGCACACTGAAATTCCCCGGGCGGGCACAGGGGTGTGGGGGTGGTAGGGCCGCAGAACTCCTCATCTGATTGGTCAGAACAGTCTGGGTGTCCGTCACAACGCAGAGCCAGGTTCAGACATGGTCCACTGTAAGGGGTGGTGTCAATTGACTTTATTCACTTCTGTATCTGCTTAGTCGTAGCAAAGAGTGAAACAAAACTTCTTCTGAGGTTAATGTGTCGTTGGATGATTAGCAAATAGAAATCTCGAGTGTAGCTTGCGTGTATTGAATTGAGTTAAAGTCTAAACTTTGTTCATTACGTCTGGGTGAGGCCTTTAGGAACGTATCTGTAACATTACAGATTATGCACCATTGTGCTTTCTGGAATATTTCAAACCAACCATCAACAAACTGCTGCATTACGTGCTAGCTATACCCATGTTGGCACATTACATATTGCATTTGAGGTGACATAAAATGATTTCAACATTTAGCATATCATTGTAATATTCTAAGCACATAGTTGAGTGATTTCAATCAGTATTCTTACAGGCATACTGTAATAAACTCAACAAAATGTTGGTGGCACAAGATGAAAAGTACAGTGGCCGGGCATGTCTCTACGATTCATCCTCTGGTGACCATGAGAATATTCCATTTGATTGAAAGTGATTCTAACAATGTTCTGTATACTAGTACTGACCGATGAAGGCTTGATGTCAGTGCTTGAATCTGTTATCGTCCTAGTTTTCACACATATAAACTGTGCATGCTTATAAGAGATTTTGGATTCACCTCGGCGTGCTGGTACATTGGAAGTTGTCTGGGGGGCAGGTGGACGGGCAGATCTCATCCGAACCATCGCCACAATCTTCCTCGTTGTCACACACCCACTGGATGGGGATGCAGCGCCCCCCAGCACAGGTATACTCTGAATCTAGACAGGGAGGGGGCGCGGGAGGGCAGGCCACACCCCTGCACTGCCACACGCCAACCTCACAAGAACTGAAACAAAAGTGACACAAAATATTTTATATTTTGATTTTCTGAGTGGAAAAACGTGAGATATGCTTTCGTAAGCATTTCGGTTTTACCGACCAGTTTTGGCAGTGTTGAGTGATGACTGTTCCAGGTGGAAACATGGAGCCCTCCCACTCACATGGACACTGGATGATAACTACACAGCTGTCCCCTGTAGAGCAGATAACATTTTAAATATTATTATATTTACAAGTTTATACTGAAGGTGGCACAAGATTAAAGTTTTTCTTCTTGGGCTATCATGTTTGGATATTTTACAATTTGTAAAGAGTTTGTAAAAGAGTAGGATGAACTCAAGGTATATGATGTGTCCAAAACAGACAGGGTCCATATAGTAGGATATACAGAGGAGCAATGCAACAGCTTCATTGATCATTTGATTTCTTATGTCCAGCTCTAGATCTCTGCTTTCCTCTGAATACCTTATATGCGAGTGGGCTGTCTCCTTCACATCTCGCTGAGGTTAAGGAGAGCCGTGTTGAGGAAAAATGAAATCCTGTGCACCGAGGAAAGTTTCATCTATAACAGATGTTTTTGCAGTCTCGGGTGTGCCTTTGTGCTACTATTTTGAGTGTAAGACTTGCATAACTGTTATTACTTGAATTATTAAATAGCCAGATGAGCTCATTTTTAGTTTCATGTAAGATTCTGTTGCAGCTTAATGCAGAGTTCATCCGCAATACCACAATCCACCTGGTTTCACCTGGATCATTTCTCCAGCTAACTGAAGACTTTCGAAAAGAAGGAAGGACAGCAGGACACAGTATCAGCAGATCATGGCAGCCATTGATCAGGTGTGTGTTTCTCACTTTAAAGCTGACCCTTCAGATTGTAACTCTAAACATAATCAAATACTACTACTACTATAAAAGCATGAACCCATGAACATATAACACAATTTTAAATTATATTTAATTCATCTCTATCTATTTCTCAGTTTATGTCACTCTAATGTTAAAAATGTAAATCTAAAAGCATTGATTATTTTACAAAAGTTGATTTTGGTCCAAGCAGAATCCAAGCATTGAAGTAAAGCAGTACTAAAAGCATTATGCTTCTACTTAAATGAAGAGCCCGACAAACTTGTTAAGAAGTACACGGTAAGTTATGACACTGTTGATACTGTTAACACAACCACTAACAAAAAAGAATAGGGTAAACTATTTTTGTCTCCCCTCTATATTTGATTTCTTTCTAAATATATACATGTCTATATATAAATATACACATAAATAAATATTATTTCTTCGCTACCAAAATATGGTAATGAGTGTAGAATTTCTAAGACACCGTTCAAGTTAACAATAGTTCCTGTAATTAAAAATAAATATGAAGCTCCTGTATATGCTTCAATTATTAGTTTTTGAAGCTGTTTCTACACACCATGGTACGATGAGTTCTGTGGCACAAGCCAAGTTTATCCTAATAGGATTATTTAGATTCCTTGTGTATCTTTACAGTTTTCAGATTTCTTCACAAGAAAAACACAACTACCACTCATATTCTCTAAAGATACTTGAAAATATCCATTCATAATACAGATGTTTGTTTAATACTGTTGCTTTCTGCCATTTTGAGGATGCCGATTTTCCTGGAATGGAGATCTATGTTGTGGAACATGAAGGACACGAGGCAACAGATGCACCTGAGGATGTCGGCATCCTCGTTGGAGGAGGTACAGTGCTGCAAGACCGGAGAGATGTGGCAAACGGCTGCACAGCCCTGTTAGGCCTGATCTACAGTTTGAACTTGATCTATCCCAAGGACCTGCGATACACTTTTGAGTTTCCTCAGAAAGTTTGAATGGGAACAACCTCTCCACTAAGTTGAAGGTCCTCAAACAAACTGCATGAGTAAAAATTCCATCAAGACTGTAGATAAGAACTGTGTTGAATTTCTGTTCATCCTCACACAAGGAAAAACAGAGTGCTTTTGAACTGTGGACTGATGCTGAACACAACTGTTATGTTTCAGGACATTATTTGTTGGTCTGTTATTGTGTTATTTGACACTGTCACTAGTGGTACATGTTTTACAGAAGTGATTAAGTTGGACGCAGTGCAGCTATGATTAGCACAAATACGGTTGTAATTGTAAAAAGTTTTACCGTGTCGGACGGTGCCGGCTGGGCAAAAGCAGCCCTCCACGCAGGAGAGAGCGCCACACTGGGAGTGTGGACTCGGCTGAACACTGGGACATGAGTGAGAGCAAGCTGGACCACAGGGGTCGTACACCAGCCCGTTATCACACTGCATAGCTGAAAGAAGGGGGGAAACAGAGAGAATTAAAAAGAGAAAGGCAGGACCAGGTCAGAAGATCCGAGTGGATAAGCGTGAACGGTGCATCGAGGGTCTTTGACATACGACAGAGTTCTTGGGACCTCCAGCGGATGTAGACCCCTCTGTGGTTACACTCTTCGGCATAGGCCGCAATGGCTGTGCAGAGACACTCACAGTCCCCACCTGAGTCACAGCTAGAACACACAAAACAATGACATGACAAACAACAGGAACATGGTATCCTTTCTTTTCCCGAGTTGTGTTGTGTTTGTGTATCAACACGCCTACGAATAAGCCACATGCACGGAGAAATACACACTACTGATTGAAGGCAGATTCCTATTTGTTTTTGTAAATAAAAGCGCAATCCAAGCTTGACATCTAACAATGCATGTTTCAAAACCTATACAGTATTTATTTTTAATGGTATCATTTTTTCCTACCCTAATAAAATAACAAAACCATTGCTGAATGTGAATGAGTTTTGAGTGTGGTTTCAGTGTTGAACAATGCTTGTTAGCAATTGAAAAAAACTAAGCAATCGAGAAAAATGAATACGTATTGTTCATAGTAGATTTGATTCGAGAAGATAATTTCAAGTTGCTCAGTGCCGCCACTCACCCACAAGCATCGTAGACACACCAGTCGTAGTACTGCTGGAAGGGCACCTCGGGGTGGCACTGAGAAAAGAGCTCCTGAGTCAGGACTGCACACCTTTTCCTGGCCCAGGGCACCCTGTGGGTGTTAATCTGAGCAAGACAAAGAAGGAGCTTTTACTTTTACATCTGTGCGTATGAGAAACATGTTATTTGTTGTCATTATATTAACCTTTTACTGTCTCCCGTAAGAGATTTGTCTTGGACATTCAAGAGAGTACAGGTCACATAGCAGCTCATAGTCTCTCATAATACCTTTTAAGCTATCTGTATACAGGTACAATTAAATGTATTACCATTATTTATTACCATTAAATTACCATTGGCATCAATCCCAGAACATAAACACTGATATTACACTGATGTCCTGTACTTACTGGTATTTCTCAAGTATGTTCAATGTTTCTGCAAGAGTCCCTGTGTGTGTGTGTGTGTGTGTGTGTGTGTGTGTGTGTGTATTGAACTCACAGCACAAGGGTCCCGGAGGTCCTGGTCTGCCACGTCAGGGCAGGAGGGGCTGACCTTCCAGGAGTTACCAAACAGCTCGGCGGTTGACTCCGCGATGCCCTGCCGGGTAGTGAAGTCGTTCTCTGTGTCCCCATCAAAGTTACCACATAGGCCCCTGACCCTGCCCCGCAGGTGGGCCGCCAGCCGCACGTACACGCGCATACCTTGGTACAACAATTGGATACAGCAGACAACAGCATTACCATTAATATGTTTGTTGACCAGCATCTACAGCGACAGACATTGGTAATGCTCAAAGAACTGTTTGTCTCAACAAACAATAAATTAAGTTTGAAAATGCTATAACCTTTTCTAAATGTAACAAACTCTCACACAACCCTTGCAGTACGACCCAAGTATCTTTTATCCAGGCACATGCTAACCACCCAAATACATGCATCTCTGTAAAAACCTTGCAATTTAAAGACATTTATCAGACGAATACATTTATACCTTCAATAATTGCCCACTACTCGCTGCGCACGGCAGTTCCGTCCACCAGGGAGAACGTGCGACTCCACCTACGCCCTCGGTCATTTCATTGTGTTTATCCGCCACACAAGATCCGCGAAATATTGTCTAACATAAAAACGGTCCGCGAGGTAAAAAAGGTTGGGGACCCCTGGTATAGATGTATGTTTTGATATAATCATGCTCTGGTGTAACCCCCCCCCCCCCCAGCTAATTTATTAATATAATAAAATTTGAAAAATAAAGTATTAAATTGTGTTAAGTTTGATGTGTGTGAGTCCTACCTCCATCCCATAGCAGAGTGACCCCTAGTTGGGAGGAAAGGGAGACAAACAGGCCGACTCTCTCCAAAGTCAGACCACTGCCACTGTAGGACTTTGGTAGACTAACTGGCATCCCATTTACTGCCACAGCTTTACCTAAAGGAGAGAGCAAAGACAAGCCTACCTCAAGCAAGCTTCATAAAACAGGGTGGGCAATCCTCATAAAACAGGGTGGGCTTCGGACCCCATTCCTCGTACCTCTCAGCAGATGTATGACAGTATTTCCCAGGCTGAGGGTCACTGACTTTGTGCAGGTGACCCCGGTGCTGCCGCATGGCACGTTTTCTGCCATCACGCTGAACAAACCGTTGGTCTCCTCCGCCAGCACGTACTGGCAGTCGCCCAGGAAAGAGTAACAGCGGCCATCAAACGTGACGTAATGCGGGTCGCCCGTCGCCACGCACACACCGGTGCAGGCCGACTGGCTGCAGTGCCAGCGCCGCTCCTTACACACACTGCAGGGAAGGAATGGTGCATCGTTTAGGAGATTTCACGGAGCGAGGAGGGGAGGGGATGCGATGCGGAGACATGCATGCGGTACCATGTGTTGCAGTCTTTGGTAATGGTCTCGTTGCTGAAGTAAAGCCGACCATTGTGGTGACACGGGCAGTCCTCTGGAAGAACACAGCGATCATCCTAGAAGACATAACCATGGTCAAATTCAGCCATATCACCAGTAAAGATATTGTGATGTTTCTACCTTATTGATCCATAACAAGACATTTGTACAGTACTCCTTATAACTTTAAATGTAAGAATTAAGTGATTTTAATTATATCACTGATACAACACCAGGCTTTTATTTTAAACTAATATGTAACCAATGTTAGGAAGGTCGCTTTTTAAATTTAACAGGTTTATGATTATTACTTACAATGCAAAAGATGTATTAGATAACTCTTTTAACTCTTGCATTACACCTATTACATTACATTACTTATTATTTTCACAAAAATATATAAACTGGGCAATTGAATTGATTTAACCAGGCAGTCTAGACCTCAAAACAATACTCAAGACTCAAGATTTCAAAACAATATGACCTCAAGCTTTTGTACTGGAACGGATTTAATGGGATGTAATCCCTAACATTTTGATTAGTACTGTATATGCATATATTAGGACTGGCGCAAATCAACGTGTTAATCTATGCCCTTAATGTGTCCGAGTTTAATGCGGTAAAATATTTTAAATTAGATAACACAGTGGTTAACATTTCAGGCCATGGACCCCCAAATTGATGGCGAGATGGAGCAGGGACCCCCTATTCTACGGAGTTTGGTCCGCCATCTTTTATTTTTGAGCTTCGCGCTCTTTAGATGTGAGCATAAACGAGAGCTGATTGGCTGGTGCCTGTGCGGTCGTATTTGCATGAAAGGTGCCGTGAGGGAACTGGTGCCCAGCTTGAGAGCTGCTGTGGGAAGCTGAATGTGTGTACTGTGGACTAAAAGATAACATCTTCTCCATCAATTTATCCATTTGCTACAATATGTTGGATTCATGTTAATGTGTATTTAAAGACAATAAATACAATTCTGATTCTGAAGACCCCAAAAAAAAAAAATTGGTTGAATTATTTTTTTTTTTATTAAAGAACAAATTTGTCTTATCAACCAAAAATTTTGCGACCCCCCCCTGCAGTACCTTCGCGGACCCCCTGTTGAAGCTCTCCGTTGTAGGCCATGCATCCCCTTCTACATCCCAACTGGGTTCATGCCCCCCCACTTCCCGCACTTAAAAATAAAAAGGTTATTTATAGCTAATTGGACCAATGACAGAACAGTTTGCTCACGTGTGATGTTTGTTTACAATATTCAGTCTGCTGTTTCATGTTGCAGTGCGAACACAGACTGAACAGAAGGGGCAACTGCAACATTGTGTCATATTAATTCTGAATCGCGCAAAGCAAAAAAACTACATAAATACCCTGATAAACTCCAGTTACGTCACTTTAAAGGAGCCATAAGGACGAGGACACACGCACAGGCTCAGAGGAAGATTGCATCATATTCCATTTACAATTAACCGTACACAACAGCTAAATTATTTACAATTAAAATTGCAAAGTTACACATCACAACTGATCATCGGAGGGAAGGGAATTTGAAATGACTTAAACACAGCAAACCACAAAAAGAACAAATAGTGGTACATGCATAGCGCAGGGGGTGAGAGAGAGAGATAGAAGGGTAACCTTAGCGAGGAGGAGACGTAAGTATTAACTCCGTTTCTATCGCCTCGGATTCCTCCGTTTCTCTGTCCCTCTCTTCTCTCGCGACCGATTGCATCAGATGTCCACCGGACAGTTTTCTGATTTTAGCCAGTTCAGCATGTTTTATAAATGTTGCTGAAAAAGTTAGCCGTTAGCTGATGTTAGCTGCACAAACTAGGCTTACGTGTGTACGTAAAAGGAGGAGCTGAAGTGTATTTATTTTTTCTTAATTTCTTAATTCTTAATTTTACAAATTAAGGCTGTGCTCCAGGAGTGCAGTCGGGGGAAATAAAGGACCCACATTAAAAATATATTTATCTTAGTGTCCTGTCTCATCATTTTAATCAGGCTAAATTCATTTTAATTGTAATCTTGCAAAGGGTAGATTTATAACTCATGTTTCTATTTTGTGTACATTTTTTATCATTACATTTTTCCACCATTACATGTTTCCTTTCGCGCACCCTCTAAAGGCCGCTCGCACCAGCAGGGGTGCCCGCACCACACTTGAGTTGAGTTAAGTTGAGTTAATGTTAATGTTTACATTTGTTCTTCCGGTGTGCCGGAAGTAAACAAAGTTGACCACAGAAACAAAACCACCGCTAGCTGCCGTCAGTAAGATAGTTGAAGTTGAAGATGGAGAGCTTTTTGCATTGGTGCAGAGGAATTCCTCGACTTGTCAAACACAAGGGGGTGAGTGGCAAACGGACCACCTAGGTAGGTAGGTTTGTGTTTAAAATACTATCAACAATTAAACTGTCTAAAAAACATGCTTTCTAAAGTGATTACTAATTACTTGTAAAGTTTAGTCTTTAAAAGAAAAACAAACTTTTAATCGTGATTAATTTTTTTGCGAATAATTAGTTATAGATATACATATAAATATCTACATATATATATATATATATATATATATATATATTTATAGGTATACATTTATGTATGTATAGTGTATCTTTACAACTGACATTGATTACTAATGTATTCTTTACTTCTTCTTATTTATTTTACATTTGATTATGTAACTCTGATATGTAACTTGATACTCCACAACATAACACAGTGAAGGAAAGCAGACAAGTTTGCAACTAATGTTAGCAAACTTAGTTGCTAGTGAACATAGTGGAGCATTTAACAGTTAGCATTAAAAAATGAAGTTATTTTTACAATTGGGAACTGTGGAGACCAAAACTGAGTAATAAAGAAAGTAAGATAAATCCTGGATTTGCATCAGCCAGGTTGAAAGAACAGCACCTTAATGGATGGTAATAGTGCTCTGTATGTCAAACCTCAGATGAGCCATTTCTCTGCTTTTCCCCATGAGGCCCTAATAATGATAAGCTATCCATCCATTGTCAAATCCTGCACACAGGGGCGCTGGAGTCTATCCCAGACAATTTCAGGCTAAACCCTGGATTGGTCGCCAGACAATCACAGGGCTAAAAGAGAGACAAATGACCATTCACACTCACATTCACAAGCCTACAGGCAATTTAGAGTCCATAGATCCCCAGAGCATGTCTTTGGACTGTGGGAGGAAGCCAGAGAATCCAGAGAGAACCCACACATACACGAGGAGAACATGCAGACTCCACACAGAAAGGCCACTGGGCAGAGTCGAACACAGGACCTCCTTGCTGTGAGGCGACAGTGCTAACCACCACGCCACCGTGCCACCCCGAGCAATGATAATGCAGGTTGTAATTATAAAATTGTAAAATGTTTGTACTTGGTAAGCGCTTTCTGGTCTTCTGACCACTCAAAGTGCTTTAACAATACGTGTCATAAGTCACCCATTGACCACACAATGACAAGAGCTACCATACATGGCCATATGTAAGCCCAAGGTAACATTGAGATGGCCGCTAGCAGAGCTGGGAATTAAACCCCTGAACCTCTGATTGAAGAATGGCCCTGCTCTCAACTGGGCCACAGTCACTCTTTTTTCATAAAAGTAATCTTAGCTTAACCAACTACATGGTCAGGTATAGTGCATGTGCCTCTCTAAGTCCCACTAGAACACTGACTGAACGGAGCCATTTCCTAATTATATTAATCACACCTGTGTTTGTCAAAATATATGCAGTGAGAAATATAGTCTTAACATTTCCCATTTATATAAAACAGTGTTTATTCTACAGCCACTCAGAATACAGAGGTTTGAGTTTTCACTCACTAGCAGCACAGTTCCCCGGGGACAGACGCAGGCGGACAGGGCCTCTCTGCAGCTCTCATGTGCCACACCCGACCCCTGCTGTTGATCCAGGCTGGAGCAGGTGGGGAGGCAGGAGCGTGGAGAGTAGACTAGATGGCCTGGGCACCGGGTCACCTCCTCACAGCGCTCCTGAGTGCAGTTAAACAACCCGCGCTCACACACACTGTGGATGGAGAGATTACAATCAGAACTGACATTGGCTGATAGGAATTTTATTTTGTCCATGAATTGTCAAGTGAATAAAATCATGGTCGACGAAGGTAAGACACAGATCATTATTTAATATTCAATTCCCTGGCTAATAGAAAGAGTCTCTGTATAAAGCCAGCGAAAACGTAAAATAATTGGAAGTAGTCATTGTCATTGTGATGTCCTGTCCATGTTCTGTAATTGCCGTAGACATTTTGAAATACAGCCATCAATAGCCTGTCAATCATAGCAACTCTACCCTAAGGCGTACCGCGCTTTATGATGTGTAATTCATGTCACATTTTAAAAGAGATCTTTCTTTTACAAAATAACATGCCATGAGGGATCCCGACAGATGTGTGACTTTTCCTATCTGTTGTTAATCATTTATTCTTTAATAAATCATTATATAAAATCTATACAGAGATGTTGACCCAGCAAGACTTAATCTCTGGGGCCTCAAGAGAGTTTCCTCTCAGATACAATCAGTATCACCAGATCCCAGGTCAGCAGTTGATGCAGGTCATGGGACAAATCAGTTTCCACACCATGAAAACGAGAAACACAGCGACGATCAGAAGCAGTCTAGTCATTCGGCCACTAAGATATGGCTCTATGACCGATAAATTGATAGACACTGTGGTTATGTAGTGAAGAGAAGTGATGAAATCAACCTATCCTGTATCAGAGAGCAGGAACATAGAGCAATTTCACCAGAGCTCTTGCACCACCAGGAACCCCCTGTGGATTGTCTCACAAAAGCCAGTTCCAAAACAAGAAAACATGGCAACAATAATATCAACAAGTTTGTCCTATGGGAACAGCACTTAGAATAAACAACATTCAAAATCATGTACGTGAAAGTTCATCTTAAAGCTACATAGTACAGACTTTTCATGGTTTTACAGCAGCAGCATAAACCTAGATACTAGTGGAGCCTGGATAATATACCTGTTATAATGAAACAACAATACATAAAAACTGTCACAATGACCCCCATCGTCCTCAGAGAAAAACACAGAAAGATTTGTTAATGCTTAACTTTATCTTCACTAAACCTGTCTATATCAGGGATTGGAGATCTTATTCCAATGTAAGTTACCAGAACCATAAATTAAAACTGGGCCAATGTTTTATTATAGCTGCAGCTCCACTGACAATGGAGACAACATACTTACACCCTCTGATTCTTTATCACCACTAACATGATAGAAGCAGCACACTGGCGCACATGAAAGAGAACGTTTTTTATAACGCATTATAAAATATATAAATATAATCTATGCAACTGGGTCAGTGTGGTCTGCCATAATATCTACTGGCCGTAATAGCTGCAATGCCACATCCATACAGCAATGTTAAATATAACTTTTAACCAATATAAGACAGAAAATGTTTGTTTAGGATTTAAATTTCAAGCCCAAAAAAAAGTTTTGTTCATACTTGTCTTTTGACTGTACCAATTACATGTTTAGCAAACCCTAATCCCACATTTGCTTAAAACATATCGTCCCATCATCAAAAGAGACGTATTGAGACGTTGAGTATCTTCCAAGGACTACAGCACCTGAACTAAACAACATTAGTGGAACCCCAGCCAAGTAGTTGCTCCCTACACTGCACATACCAGGTGTTACAGTTGTTCTGGATCCGGGCCCCAGGCTGGTATGTCTTGTCTCCTTCCACACAGGGGCACATATTGATGGGCACACACTGGCCCTGGTGGTCCTGCACTAGCCCGAGTGGGCACTGGCAACCCGGAACACACAGCCTGAGACCCGTCCCCCCGCCAGCAGCATCGCAGCTCCTTGAGTCGAAACAGGAGCCACCGCATGTGCCACCACATTCCTGGTACACTTGACCTCCTGAACACTGGACCGCTGGGTAAACGGATGGGCGATAAAGATTACTGATTACTTTAGAAGTTTCTACCGACTCCGCAATGTCAACCAATGGACATCCTGAAAGAAACCCTCCAACCTGCCTGCCCCACTTACCGCAGAATGTTTGATTGCGCCAGTGTACTGTGACACCCTCCTGAGCGCATTGTCGGCCGTAGGCAGTGAGGATGGTGCAGTGACAGGACCTCTGCGGAGTACAGCTACAAACCTCCGAAAGACAGAGACGGAAAAAGGGCTCCCTCTCCACCATGTCATGACACGCCTGCAAAAACACGGACGGGAAGCATGTGTGAATAAAACAGACCAAAATTAACTCATCCTACAGAGAGTAGGAGATTTAACCTGGAAGCTGCACCTGAAAGACGGGGCTGTGTATGACGGAGCACACTGTCTCCGCATACTGCCTCCTCTGGGTGAACGTGGTGCAGGGGTCAGGTAGAGCCCCTCTAGGTGGAGCACAATGCTCTGTCGTGAATTTGCTCGCAAACAACGACACACTGTTCTCCACATCTCCTTGCGGGGTAAGGAAGTCATCGTGCTGGTTCCAGGTAAGCGTTCCACAAAGGCCGCGAACCTTATGATTGAAAACCAAAATGAACATCAAAAGTGCAGGGTTTGTGGCTAGCATTGGTTTAGGGACTCCAACGGACAAAAGTAATAACAAAGGAGGTGGAAAGGAGGTCACCTTGTTTGCAAAGCCAGGCTGCAGGGTGATGAGGGCCAAAGGTCCATCTAAGTGCCACAGCAGCTGAGCCCCGAAAGCCTGGATGAGGAGAAATGAGGAGGAGACCCTACGCACAACCAGGTCCCCCGTGATGACAGGCAGTGGTTCCCTCAGGCCATTCAGCATCACCGTACCTGGGCGGAACAACAACGACAAGCAATCAGGAGGTGGCAAACCACCACAATACAGAATTGCAAGCCAGTGAATAAAGTAGAATTAATAATGATACATTAATAAAATGAATAAACATAAATAATTAAAATAAATGAATATAAAAAATAAAATATTGTGTGTATTGAATTTGAAAATACAGTAGACTAACCCACCGGTGTCTGTGATGGTGACAGTGGTGCGGAGTGCTGTGACTGACATCTCCCTTAGACAACCAAGACCTCCTCCCCCACCTCCTCCTCCCGCTGTACACAGCCCGCAGCGCACACTCACCACCAGCTTCCTGTCAATGAAGTCCTGGACGCACACAGGACGTAAGCTCAAAGGAGAAGTGTCTCAGATTGTGTGTGTAGCCGTTTGCGTGGTCACATGTGATGAATCTCACCTCCACAGCAGTGTAGGAACAGTCTCCTCCCTGCAGTGAGTACCTTTTTTTGTCAAACGTGGTCACCTGTAGCGCCCCTATCAGGCTACACTGAGCTGCACACTTCTCTCCAGTACACTGCCATTGGCCTGCTCTGCACAGACTGGAAGGATTGTGGGTAAAAAAACAGTAAACAATAGGATGGATAGTCAGAAAAAGAGGAAGAGACAAACATATGTATATTTGGCTAACCAGGTGTTGCATCTCTGCTGTATCCTTTCCCCTGACTGGTAGGTGCGTCTTCGATGGAAACATGGACATTTGTCTCTTGTTAAACAGAGGCCCTGGTGGAGGTAAAGGTCTCGGGGACACTCGCAGCCACCCACACACTCCTCCCTGCACTGGCCCATGGCTGCAGCTGGCCCGGGTGGCTGGGGAGACGCACAGCTGGGGGAACAGGAGGACACACAGTCTGAGAACACCTGACCTCTGGGACAGACGCGACCTGGGAGTACAAAGAAAAGAAGGAGCGAACAGTTAAGTAAGGAGTTAAGGACCGCCCCGGTTTTGCATGTGTTTGTGTTATGGGCTCTACTGTTGGCTTACCACACAGCGTGTTTGTCCTCCACACTATGATGACATGTAGCTGAGCACACTCTCGGGCGTAGCTGGCCAGGGTGTCGCACACTGCTGAATCCCGGTCCTTGGGTGGGAGGCTGCAGTACAGGTAGAGACAAGTGTCCATATACGCTGCTGGCTCCAACTAATAGACAAAAAGACACAGAGGTATCACATGTGGATTGTTCAACAGTTCAACATGTGTCAAGTAGCATGCAGAAAAAAATGACTACCCTGAGGAGTATGGAATATTTGATCTTTTGAAAAACAATTGTGAACCTGAAAGTTTTGGTCTTGAACATTGAAAAATACAACAATGTATTCAAAATAAAAAATAAATGGCCAAAAAATATTTTGAGGTTGAATATAGTTTTGAGTCAGTCCTATATTGTTATATTTTCAGATTAAAATCGTATATTTTCCAGATTTAAATCTGTATTTCACTTTTGGTATTCAATGATCAAAACTTTTGGCCCGGATTTGGAAAATAGAATGTAAAATAATTACATTAACAGCATATTCAAACGTGCATATTATGCAGTACCATGTGCTAACATAAATGCAAAGAGTGTACCAATATTTAGAGAGTAAAAGTCGTAGAGAGGTCGTCATCTTAAATTCATAAATTATACAACAGAATTTGAAATCCTCTCAGGCAAACAGGTGATTTATTATTTCAAAATGAATTTAATTGAATTTCAGTTTCCATGTCTTGCCTAAAGCAGTCATAATATCATAGCCGTCAGACGTCTCGCATCGATCTCTCCAGTTTTTTGGAACCACTGGCGCTCGATAAAACATTGGCCATGGTGAGTGTGTGTTTAGGTATCAATAGTGTCTGACCCGCTGGTGGCAGTGTGTGAAGGGGTCTTCCAGCAGGCGTCGACACACTGACTCCGCCCGCCCTTGTAGGACCTCGTCTCCCGAGACGTCGCAGCTGTGGCCGAGCTCGGCCGCGTCGCTGCAGCCCTGAGGGAAGAGGCTCCATCACTGAGGGCGCTGCCCATTGTGAGCACAGCAGCGATGTCACAACGTGCACGTATGTTTAGAGAGCTCAGACATCACATACTGGTATCTCATGGAGAAAAACAATAGTGTAAAAAACTATTTGTGCAAGAAAAAGTGATATACTCATTAAAGTACTTCGTTTTGCTGGTCTGGAACTTTCCACGAGTTGCCGAAGCTGGCGGCGAACTGGGACACAGCTCCGCCCATCGTGGTGAAGTCGTCTGCGGCAGGTAACAAGTAAGTGTTAACATTAAAACATGAGTTGACTCAGGTGAATCTAGCTGGCGCGTTCCCCACCGTCGGCGCTGTTGTCGTAGACTCCACACAGGCCCCTGGTGGCTGCCAGGTGCTCGCCGGTCACCGTCAGGTAGACGGTGTTGGTCAGGTCAAACTTCACTCTTACTCCAAGGCCGCTCTCCACAAACACAAAGTCCCCCAGCCAGTGAACACTCACTCCTGAGAGAAGTTAAACGTTTACAAGACAATCAACATTGTCAGCATTTGGGTTTTAATGGCGCCATCTCACAATACGTACATTTATTATGCTTCTTACTTAGTTACTGAATAAGAACCCAAAATAAACATGGAGAAATTGTAAAAATGCAGCAATTATTAAAAATACACATTTATGAAGACTGCATTTATACAACTACTGTACTTAAGTACTGTACGTAAGTTAAGTACTGTAAAATTGAGGTACTTAACTTATGTCCCCATACTAATACTATGTCTCTTCATTTACATGATGACTAGTTTTGGAAAAAGGGCCATTCTACATATTTAGTTTTTTTGTTGTCATTTTGGACCTAAGACATGCTAACATGCAGTGACAAAAAGCAGCAGCTTTTTGTATTCGTACTGAAGTAAACCGAAGTAAGTTACTTTCTTAACTTACTTTCTTTACTGTAGTACCACTACTTTTACTTTAGTACAAAATTGGAGGACTGCTTCCTTCACTGCATATACATATAAAACCCCCAGTGTAGATTATTATTATATACCTTAAACATATTGTATTTTACACGGTAATCTTGAATAGATGTGCAATCTGTATTATCTGTGAGATATTACAGCATATTTTGTACTGATAGTTTTACAGAAACCGACCAGAATGATGTAAAACGACATTTTAAATATTGATTTCTAAAACTAAAAATGTTGTTTTGACCTATTTATTTTTATTAAGGTACACTTGGTTCGGTTGGTTCAGTTTGTTTGTTTTTTGAACGTGTCATGATTTAAAAATGAGCCAGAGAGGAGTATTCTTTTATTCTAACCCTGACTCGTGTCAGATTAGACAAGAAACAAGGACTAACTAACAGCAGAAAGTACTTTACCATTTTCAAAGAGTGCTTTTCCATTTGGAACACTGAGGCTGTTCAGCGTTAAGTTCTTGTGTTGAATTGAAACCAAATCGAGACCAAACATCATCCTCAAAGCCTGAGAGCAGAGGACCACAGATGCGTTAGAAAACCAGTTAAAAGCGGCCATTTCCATTGCTGCTTTCCCAACAAACCACAGGCCTGAGGTGTTTGTCACTGGCACCCAGCTATGTCCCTCTCGGAACATGTCTCAGGTCTTAGCGCCTTATAAAATGTTTCCCACCTTGCTGCAGTCTCCTCTCCCGTCACAGACCGTAGTGATGTAGACTGCCCAGGTGCCGTCAGTGGATGAGGCCAGCAGGTAAGTGCAGCTGCCCTGGAAGTGGAAGTGCTTCCTGTCAAAAGTGCGGTAGTGGGCTCCACCCCAGGACATGCATGTGGCCGAGCTCTGAGGTGCCCTGACGCTCCCCAGCAGCCCGCCGCGCACCAAAGGGGAGGACTGGGAGTCTGGAGGGGAAAGGTGTGGTGTGAGTTATTCATGAGCTATTGTTGTATGAAATACAAGCAGCCGCTGAAGGCTTCTCGGTAGATTATCAAAAAAGATAAATAAATCCAGAGGACTTCACAAATGAATGCATAGGATGGTATAGTTAGGTCTGGGGTGTGTATGTGCATTTGTGTACACCTACACTCACCTAAAGTATTATTAGGAACACTATACTAATACTGTGTTTGACCCCCTTTCGAACACATTGTCATGTTCAAGAAACCAATTTGAAATTATTCAAGCTTTGTGACATGGTGCATTATCCTGCTAGAAGTAGCCATCAGAGGATGGGTACATGGTGGCCATAAAGTGATGGACATGGTCAGAAACAATGCTCAGGTAGGCCGTGGCATTTAAACAATGCCCAATTGGCACTAAGGAGCCTAAAACATCCCCCACACCATTACACCACCACCACCAGCCTGCGCAGTGGTAACAAGGCATGATGGATACATGTTCTCATTCTGTTTACGCCAAATTCTGACTCTACCATCTGAATGTCTCAACAGAAATCGAGACTCATCAGACCAGGCAACATTTCTCCAGTCTTCAACTGTCCAAATTTGGTGAGCTCCTGCAAATTGTAGCCACTTTTTCCTATTTGTAGTGGAGATGAGTGGTACCCGGTGGGGTCTTCTTCTGTTATGCCCCATCCGCCTCAAGGTTGTGTGTGTTGTGGCTTCACAAATGCTTTGCTGCATACCTCGGTTCTAACGAGTGGTTATTTCAGTCCAACAGACCCCAGTCTGTTGGGGTAGAGAACCACACCTCCTCAACCCTCATCCTGAACACCGGCGTGCCACAGGGCTGTGTGCTAAGACGACACAACGGTGATTGGCCTCATCAGTGACAACAATGAGTCGGCCTACAGAGAGGAGGTCCAGCACCTGGCGGTGTGGTGCGCCGACAACAACCTGGCTCTCAACACCAAGAAGACCAAAGAGCTAATTGTGGACTTCCGGAAGAAAACTGGCACACACATCCCCATCCATATCAACGGGACGGAGGTTGAGCGTGTCGCCAGCTTCAAGTTCCTGGGTCTCCACATCTCTGAGGACCTCTCTTGGACCCTTAACACCTCATCCCTGGTAAAGAAAGCACACCAGCGTCTCTTCTTAGGAGACTGAAGAAGGCCCATCTGTCTCCTCAGATTCTAGAGAATTTCTACCGCTGTACCATAGAGAGCATCCTTACAAAATGCATCTCAGTATGGTATGGCAGCTGCTCTGTCGCGGACCGTAAATCACTGCAGAGGGTGGTGAAAACTGCCCAACGCATCACCGGTTCCTCACTCCCCACCATTGAGGCTGTCCAGAGCAAGAGATGTCTGCAGGGGGGAACGCAGCATCGAAAAGGACAGCTCTCACCCCAGCCACAGACTGTTTGCCCTCCTCCACTCTGGGAGGCGCTACAGGGTGCTCCGTTCCCGGACAGCTTCATCCCTGCGGCTGTCACTCTATTGAACTCTGCCCTCCCTGAACTCTGAACTCTGCCCCCCACCCCCACACACACACATCTCCCTCAGTGACTGTACTTCCCCCTCCACCCTGGCTTGACTGCCACACACCTTCCTCCAGCCACTGAACATTTGCACTGTTATTGTATATCCATTTCTTACTGTTCATATTGCACAACTATTTCTTACTGTACATATCTATTTATTCACTTATTACACTTTACATATGCACATACTCTGCACTTTTTGCTATTTTGGCACTTCTGGTTGGATGTTAAACTGCATTTCGTTGCCTCAGTACTTGTATCCTGTGCAATGACAATAAAGTTGAATCTAATCTAATCTAATCAAAGTTGCTCTTCTATCAGCTTCAGTTGGCCCATTCTCCTCTGACCTCTAGCATCAACCAGGCATTTTCGCCCACAGGACTGCCGCATACTGGATGTTTTTCCCTTTTCACACCATTCTTTGTAAACCCTAGAAATGGTTGTGCGTGAAAATCCCAACAAGGGAGCAGATTGTGAGATACCGGCCCATCTGGCACCAAAAACCATGCCACGCTCAAAATTGCTTAAATCACCTTTCTTTCCCATTCTGACATTCAGTTTGGAGTTCAGGAGATTGTCCTGACCAGGACCACACCCCTATATGTATTGAAGCAACTGCCATGTGATTGGTTGATAATAGATAATTGCATTAATGACAAATTGAAAGGGTGTTCCTAATAATCCTTTAGGTGAGTGTATGTGCATGAATGCTCTCTGACCCGGAAGAAGAGTGTAGGAGCAGGACAGGCAGGTCTGGTCCGAGGCGTTCTTCCAGCTCAGCCCCCATAAAGTGCTGCAGCACTGCTCCATCGGCATGAGAGAAGAGTTATGAACTCCAGGGAAGTCCTCACAACTCCACGTAGAGAAACACCGGCCACGCACGCCCACACCTGGACAGAGAGAAACGGAGAGTGAAAGAAGGACAATGGTCCTATGGTCACCATCTTTAGCTATTCTTCACCTCGTGAAAATTGATTTTAGGGCTGTTTAGATAGAAACTATTTCGCTTCTCATCAACACCAACACCTGTGCCTGGTAACCCACCTGATTATATTGACCTTGCGGCCTAAATGAAACAACCTCCCACCACCTAAGGGGGTGGAGCTAACAATCAAAACTACGAAACAAAATTGGCTCTTACACTCTCTGTAAAGCACCAGTTCCATTGGCAGCAAAACAGCCCACAGCATTATACTACCACCACCGTGCTTGACAATAGGCATGGTGTTCTTGGGGTCTCAACATTTTCTAACTCCCCTTGAACAGTCTCCCTTCATATTTGTGTTTTTCATTCTCTACTTCCACAAGTCTGTTTCACATTTTATTATTTCATGTGTGACAGTGTTTCTAAATGTTTTTTGTTGTTGTTTGCTTTACCGTCACTACAGGATTATGGATGCCAGACGGTTGCTGAAGTCAACTTGCTTCATTGTGTTCTTGTTCTTTACTGTATTAGTTCATATGTAAGTTCATATGTTGAGTTTGTGTAGTGCACGGATGTTAATATAGCGCTTCACTGATTACATTCCACGATACACTGTGATGATATTCTAATTAAGAATCTGAAGGGCTTATGAGTTCACTTTAGCTGGTTCCCGATATTTTTATGGTTTTGTTTATTTTATTCCTCTACACATGCCGTATAATTTGAGTGTTGTTCTTGGATACAAATATGCCAAAATATTTGTTTTAAAGACATTTAATAAACTGCAACAGTTATGTATTAAATTAGTTTTCTTGTCTTTGTTTTATTTGGGTGGAATTATATTAAATTATATGCAAAAGTAACTCTACCTGTATCTTTACCTGTACCTGTACCTGTACCTGAACCTAAGCCTTTACCTGTACCTTTACCAGTATCTGTATCAGTATCTCTACCTGTACCTGAACCTAAACCTTTACTTACATTTAACTGTACCTTTACATTGACCAAAACAGTGACTTAACTTTGAAATGTATCCTTTACATATACTTGTACGTGAACCGCCAGCTGCACCTGTACTTCTTTCTTGATAAGTCTAATCACATAATATAATTTTCCATGCAATTCTAAAGTCAATTTACTTTCTATGTTTCAAAAGCTATACAAAACTTCAGATTGGATATTTTCAATGATTAGTAGATAATTTCTATTTTGTTCAGTACACTACACTTACACATGTTTTTGACTTGTCACCAAATGATGCATTGAATAATTCTATATGTAAAACATTGTGCATGCATACTGTACATGGAACTGATCTGCTTTCTTGTCCTCACCCTCAGAGCAGCGTGGTCCTCCCCAACCCTCACAGCATGTCCTCACTGTCTTGTTCACCATCAGGTTCTCCGTCTCCGGGGGTCTGGAGGTCGACAGACACATCAGGTTCGAAATATTATTGCACCACAAAAGCTTCACTATGGGCCAGTACTGTAATGAAAAATGTCTAATGAATATATATATTGTGTAAATACTTGTGTGCTTATACTTTTGCCCTGACTTTAGATATTCAACCTTTGAGTGAGCATACAGTTGTAGTAAAAAATTGACATACACTTGTAAAGAACATAATGTCATGGCTCTCTTGAGTTTCCCGTTATTGGTGGAATTATTGTTCTTCTGTTCATTATTCAACTTCTTCTATTTCTTCCGTGCAACCTTTCAACTCCTTCCCACTTTCAGCTATTCAAACCGCTCAGTTCTTCGTTCTGTTTCTCACCATCCGGTAGGATTACCATCGGATAGGAGCACCATCGGGTAGGAGCACCATCGGGTAGGATTACCATCTGATAGGAGCACCATCGGGTAGGATTACCATCGGAAAGGAGAACCATCGGGTAGGATCACCATCGGATAGGAGCACCATCGGGTAGGAGCACCATCGAGTAGGAGCACCATCGGATAGGAGCACCATCGGGTAGGATTAGCATCGAGTAGGAGCACCATCGGATAGAGCACCATCGGGTAGGAGCACCATCGGACGGCAGCACCATCGGATAGGAGCACCATCGGACGGCAGCACCATTGGACGGCAGCCCCATCGGGTAGGAGCACTGTCCGATGATGCTTCTATCTGAAGGTGATGCCGATGGTGCTGCCGTCTGGCTCCATAGGCTCCGATACAAATCTGCCGACATATTTCTCAAGAAAACTAGAAGGTACACGTTTTGTAAACTGCCACAGGAGCCATATTTATTACCGGACAGACATAACAACCACCTCGTTGCGTTCGGTAGAGACTTGGGTCTCTCACAAACTTCCTATTTTTCAGATAGCTGTTATAGTTTTGTGCTAGAGGACACTTGTTTGAGGTGTGGTTTCTTGGTAAAATCTGTTTACTCTGCGCGGTGTGTGATCAGCCCACGAAAACAGCAGTTGCGCCGTCTCCATGACGACTACACAGCCTCGTTGCCATCACTCACTCTCCTTCCCCTACGTAGTCTGACAGACACACATACCTGGGGAGAACGTGACCCTAGCTAACACAGCGCTAGCATAGCGCTAACATGCCGCTAGCAAGCATTGCACAAGCAATAAAAGTACCAAACAGCTGACAAGTGGCCAAAACAGCCAGTGAAAATCTCTCATGTCTTTAGATAGCTAGCTAGGCTGTCTTTGATTGTCTTTGTGGCACTGAATCATGCAGACATAATACTACTGGTATTTCTACGGCTATTAACACTTCAACAACTACTAATTTTACTACTACAACTAGTAGTACTACTACAAAGGATACTATTACTATTACTACTACTATTATTTCTACTGCTATTAAAATGACTCCTAGTAGTTGTACTAAAATACTACTTCTTATTAGTAGTGACTCTGCAACTGACACGACTAGGGAAAAGTACTACTAGTATTGCAGTATTGTATTCTACAATTTAGCCATTCTATTACCACTTTTGATGTGTGTTTGTGGTCATTGTCCTGTTGGAACACCCAACTGCGCCCAAGACTCAACCTTCGGACTGATGATTTTAGGTTATCTTGAAGAATTTGAAGGTAATCCTCCTTCTTCATTATCCCATTTACTCTCTGTAGAGACCCTTTTTGCTTATCAAAAGTTAGGTCCTCTAGGTTGGTGTTTTGAGTTCGTTTTGACGCGTTAAAATATTCCTTGAGACATTTCCACTTCTTTGATTGTCCTTTATTTTGTTCTTTAATGACACCATACAATTATCTTCTTACATGCCTCTTCTACCCTGTCACGTTCACGTTCCTCGCTCTCGTTCCACACTTCACCTTCCACCTTCCACGGTCACGTCCACGTTCATGCTCTCCTCACGCTCACACTCTCCTCACACTCACGCGCACGGTCAAAAAACTATTTCGCTTCTCACCAACACCAACACCTGTGCCTGGTAACCCACCTGATTATATTGACCTTGCGGCCTAAATGAAACAACCTCCCACCACCTAAGGGGGTGGAGCTAACAATCAAAACTACGAAACAAAAATGGCTCTTACACTCTCTGTAAAGCACCAGTTCCATTGGCAGCAAAACAGCCCACAGCATAATACTACCACCACCGTGCTTGACAATAGGCATGGTGTTCTTGGGGTCTCACCTTTTCTCCTCCAAACATATTGCTGGGCATTGTGGCCAAACCGCTCGATTTTTGTTTCGTCTGACCACAGAACTTTCCTCCAGAAGGTCTCATCTTTGTCCATGTGATCAGCAGCAAACTTCAGTCGTGCCTTAAGGTGCCGCTTTTGGAGCAAGGGCTTCCTTCTTGCATGAGTCCATGGAGATGCAAAACATGCTTGACTGTGGACACTGACACTTGTGTTCCAGCAGCTTCTAATTCTTGGCAGATCTTCTTTTTGCTGGTTCTCGGTTGACTCTTCACCCTCCTGACCAGTTAAATCTCAGCAGCAGGTGATAGCTTGCGTTTTCTTCCTGATGATGGCAGTGACAAAACAGTGCCATGCACTTTATACTTACAAACTATTGTTTGGACTGTTGCTCTTGGGACCTGCAGCTGCTTTGAAATGGCTCCAAGTGACTTGCCTTGTTCAAGTCAATGATTCGCTTTTTCAGATCCATGCTGAGCTCCTTTGACTTTCCCATTGTAACATTTGCGGGTGTTTGTATCCAATGAACCCTATTTAAATGGCCTCAGAGAAGCCACCAGCTGTAGTCACTCAAAAGCACTCACAAGAAGTTAAGAGGCCATGCTATGAAGCTCATTTCATTGACACAACCTTCTAAGTCACCAAAATTGCTAATTCATGTTGCTGTATGTATATTTTTGATCCAGCAGATTTTTTAACTTTTTCTGTTAACCCATAATAAAGTCATAAAAGAACCACACTTCATGAATGTTTTTTGTGAAGTATCTGTTCCAATCACTCTATCAGAGACATATCTGACTTGTAAAAATATTGGGAAACTCAAGAGAGCCATGACATTATGTTCTTTACAAGTGTATGTAAACTTTTGACCACAGCTGTACATACATCTACGTATCTTACTGTTGCTGTATTTTATATTCTTATAAGATAGGACAGTTGCATAACTTTTTGTTTTACAGTCTATCATATGCTTGCATCGTGATGCATGCAGCTGACACACAGATCCTCTTCTTCTCATCTGTATAATAAAAGTCAAGATGGCCGAGTACACATGGCCCATCCTTGATCACTCTGATAACCACCCTGATAACGCTGTACGAATTGTAATCTACAGTGCACACTTATGCAACCTCCTTGTGACTTTGTACAACTACTCTTCTTGCAAGAATAGAATAGAAATAGAAAAGTTATGTTTGACGTGTTCTTCATTTTAGTTTATAAAGCCCCAATTGCGGGAAGAGTTATTATTTTTCCCGCCAATTGTGAGTGACTAATGTGTGTGTCTGCTTTGCGGTGCAGGATGTCAATTCTTATAAGATGCAAAGTTAATCCTCCCCAAAGTCCACAACAGCTTTTCATGGGACTGGCAACACTACCTAGACACAGTAAAGGAGCTGAAACAAAGTTGTCACGTCAAACTGGTGTGGTTGCAGTAGAGGCGATCATTGGACCATTGAAATATGCCAGTAATTAGCAATGTACAACTTGTTGCTACGAGCAGCTCTGCCCAATTTTGCCCATTTTGTCAAACCAAACCAAAATAAACAAGTTAATGGTTAATTAAATACTTGTAACTTTAATTTAAAAAACAAAAACAGCCCATCAGGCATCGTTTTGAGAAATAGTTTTTATAAAGGCATTAGCTCTCACACTGGATTTTTTATTTTCAACGAACAAATATTTCTTTTCCTTTCTATTCCCCTTCAATGATACGCACCACCACCTTACTAACCATCAGGAGTTACTGTTGGAACGACGCAGATCTTTGTTAATATTTCATCGTAAGATTGTAGTAAAAGAACGTTTTAACAAGCACATAGCACCCATTGTTTACTTTGCATTAAGAGATGAAGATGCGGGTCGACCGAGCGACATTCTCTCCACTGTTCACTTACTTGTACAGGAAACAGGAGGCCTTCGGACCCTGGTGTTTGTAGTACAGTGCAATGCCGTCGTCGCCCCCATGCTTGGCGCGCATCCTGTCCACATCGAGCCTCCAGGCCTGGGTGTTGTACTGATACACCTCAGCGCAGCTGACTTCAAGCTGCAGGCGCGGGGACAGCACTCGCTCCACTCTCTCCTCCATCGCGTGTTCACACCAATGTCTGGAACCCGCAGAACATGTAGAGTTCAATGTCCACTCTGATATTTCCTTTTAAACTGGAATGTTGTGACTAAAGCTACTTGCATGATGTTTAATTCAATGTCCTTAAATCTGCAGTCAAGATGGATTTTGCTATCTACTAACATGAAGATCTTAATTAGAAAAACACACAAAAAAAGATACAGATAAACCTAGCACTAATGCACGGTGCATTCTGTTACATTCTGTACAGTTCCATTCAAGTGGAAAATTCCTTTTCTCTATAATGTGTTTATAATATCATTCTTCAATAATAATCTATAATACCAATATTCTTCCTCCTTAATCTTTATGCACACTATTCCATGAAGACACTCTTATTCACGTATTTGAATTAACAAAGAGAGCACTGTCCAGATTTGGCTTAATCCAGCCTTGAGTTTTGTCAATTATGCTCACCCCATTCCCATCACTGTCTGCAGCCCAAGCAGAGTCAGTAGCAGGGTACCCATGGTCTTCTCCTGGATCTTTGTGCTTAAACTCCTGCAAAAAGAAGTCTTTGTTCGAACACTGTTTTTTCTAATCCTAATTTTATATTAAAACCATAATATACGTTTAAAATTTTCTAAATAAAATCAACTAAAGGGGCCGCTGAGGAACCCCTCACTGACATTTAAAAAAACAAAACGTTAGAAGTTAGAGGTTCGGAGACCAAAGAGTGGACTCCAAACAACAATGTGAGGATCGATATCAATTGTTCTGTGTTATCGTGAAGGATCAAACCGAACCATCTAAAAATACTAAATAAGAAAAGACATTTTTACATTTCCACCATCCAGCTACAAATAGCAAACGGTGCACTTACCTTTGAAGTGCTTTTGGGAAATGTTTGCCATAAAGGTCCTCAATCAATATTTATACGTATTTTCTTTCATTCATGTCATTATTTTTCAGTGTGTTTTTGTCCAACAGACCATCACACGCTCCTCAGTGATAGCTTGCATTCAGATTCAGGCTTTTAAATGCGGGGGATGAGTCGTGGGATGGACAGCGGCATCTCAACCTGCTGCCATTGGATGTAGGCGGCAAGGTCACAGCTGTAAGGGGAGGAATTGGCCACACCACCTTTGACAGACCCGTCTGCTGACCTCAGCCCCATTGAACATCACTGGGCAACACGGCCGATGGCGGGGGGCCGTGGAGCCTGGGCTACAGAATAAAGAGATATTTGTCAGAGCCTAATCCTGTAAAGAGAGGTGTTTTGGAAAGGATGCTGGGGCATTTCTTTAATGGAGCGTGTCAACAGACACTGGGACCAAAGCCTTTTAGAATCCCCAATATCCCAAGTCTGACCTCCTGCCCCTAGGCAGGCTCAAACACAGCTGTCACCACAGTATACCTAAGCGACTGGTGTCACAAGGGCTGTCTTTGGCGGTATACCAAGCAGAACAGCGAGTCCTGACTGACTTCCCGGAAAACTCTTCGTCACAGCCTTGGATACATTATGTTTCTTGATAAAGCAATGAGCTGTCTCACTTTGCTGGTTCACTGCTTTGTCATCACACGTAGGAGGAAGGCCGAGAGGCAGCGTTGCCAGGTGTGAGATATTTACAATATTTGTACAGTCCTTTGCTCTCTGTAGAAGCAATAATGCCAAAAGTGCCATACAATACGATTAATTAACCATTTGGTAGCTGCATCGTTTTAGTAGTAATTGTGGGCTATGATTTTGATGAACGTGATTCTCAAGAGAGAGCTGAGGTATTTATTAAACTAGATCCGTTTAGTGACTTTAATGTTTTTTATGCAGAATATGAGGGCTCTCTTTGGCAATTTAATTTTGTAATAATAAAAATTATAATGATGAACACAATAATGCAATAGAAAACTGCAGGAAAAGCAGGAAAAAAGAGTTTAACTCTGATAAAACAGTACAACAGATGAAACGAGAAAACAAATTGATATGTTAAATTTTAATAATAAAGCAGGAAAGCGATGACATCGAACACAAGTCAGTCGGTAAAAATAGGTTTTATGAATTTGATTCAAAAGAGATTACTGATTTGGCATGGCGTATCTCCTCATGCAGGTTGATCTAAAGCCGAGGAGCCCTGATGGCAAAAGCATGGTCCCCTATAGATTGTAGCCTCGACTATGGAACAGCCATAAGGGCCTCAGCTGAGGGTCTAAGGAGCGAGGGGTCAACATTTCATCCAATGATAGATGAACTAAAAAACACATACCCCACACATTGCTTTAAAACATACGTGGACATTTGTAGGCGTGTCAAAAGGTTGCAATTACACTAGGGAGAGGAGTGTGGGGGAGGTAGAGGAAGATTGGAGAAGCGGGTTACCATTAATCTTATATTCATACAGCAATAAATTATCTAGAATAGAGTAGAGCCAAGTGGTGCTTTGTGCAAATGGACAATGCTAATATTTAGCAGGTATGAGGTTTTTCATGTTCGCCATCTTAGGTGGAACATTTGCTGATTAGTACTAAACTGGAAGTACAACTGAGGCCGATCTTAATCATTCATTTCAAAAGGGTTTAGTCATAAATGAAAGTATTGTACAGATTAAATGCTGACCTGATAGAGGTGGTAAATGAAAAGCTTATCTCGTATTATACAAGCTTATCTTATATTATTATGACTTGTTAATTTCACGTACCCAAATAGCCTCTTGCTTCCATGTTCATTTTCTATGCAAGCATACAGTTAGAACAGATGAACAAGCACAATAAAAGGCCTTTTGAGTGTGAGGAATGGGTATTTAGGGAAGGCATTACAAAATCTGAAGGGAAAATGGTCATGCTCTAAAATTGAAGGACCATTCTCTTTAATGAAGAAATGACCAAAGGTATCCCATTTCATCCTGGGGGTGTCAAGAGGGTGGGGGGAATGCACTGGGAAGGTGCAGGTGATTGGATGCAGGAAGAATCAATCAGGGAGACGCAGACAATCATCCACAGATGTAAAAACACCATGCCAAGAAGTGAAGTCAACCCAGGGACATGTGAAGCAGGGGACTACAAAATACTGCAAGACATGAACCCACACTGTGATAAGGGGATGCATGAATGCGTACAAATGTATAGTAATCCATTGATTGCAAACGAGTGAATGAGGCTGAAATAAAAAAGTTAAGCATTTTTTTGTTACCATGTAACTGGATCAAACTCCTTGATAATTTTAGATGTGCTCCAACTCTTAGCAGAACTCATTTATATAAATCATAGCCAAATAATGCAATTTGTCTCTGCCTTTACAAAATGTGTAAAATGTATTAATGTTTCACACTGCATTCATCTTTTGTATATCAACTTGGGTTGCTGTATTTTTGTATTGTCATATGTAATGTACTGTATAAATTGACTTATTGTTAAAAGCTGTTATATAAATAACCCTGCCTGGCCTTATGTACCGGTTATTTCATCATGTCTACAGCCCGCTGTTGACCAATCAGCTTCCGTCGCTGCAGAGTACTGGGTTAAATATAAACCGCAGTCTATTGACTCGTTTCCATCATGAAGTTTTCCTCAATTGGTAAAGCAAGCTCACTGGACTGATCAACCTTGTTCTACAAATTGCGCGAAGGACAAATCAGGTAAAGTAGCTTGCTGGCCTTTTTTTTGTAAAACATGTCTGCAATTTTAAACTTAATAGAATAGACCATTCTTATGCATACAATGTAATTTTTTATTTTTTATGTTACTAAAAATGCTTTTTATATTAACTTTTTTTCTCCACCTCCTCCTCCGAAGTACAACAGAGCTGGTATACAAGTTGCATATTTTAAAAATACTTTCTTTTATAAAAGGATTTCCGTGGCAGAAACAGTAACATAACGAATATCCTTTCATATCATTATTGATCTTTAGCTTTTTCAGGGCCCTTTAAGTTAGGGCCCAGGTTGCGTTCATCGATATAATTTTTTTAAATTAACGCAGCTTATTTCATAAATTATGCAGCAGAAACTGGAGCTGCAGGGAGATTACCAGACAGCAGAACAAAGGGCAATGTCCAACAATGTTGTCTTTGCTCTGAGTGTCTTAGAGCAGACACTGATAGATCTTGTGGAGAAGTAACCTGATGTGATAAAGAAAATAGAAGAATTGCAATCCAACTGGGATGAGAAGAAAGTATTTATTTGAAATTCTACAGCAGAGAACGGACAACTGTTGGCTTTCAATTCTTATGACTTGGAAAAGTAGGAACAGCATTCCTGTTTCCGAAACTGCATTTAAGATGTGGTGCCTTTTCAAGGATGATAAATCATGCATGAATTAATTTAAATTACCAATTTGATTAATGCAGGATAATCTTTTTTCATTACTTTACAGCCATGAGACTTCTTTGTCTACTGCAGCTAGTGTGCTTGGCTAGTTGTAGTGGTTCCAGATCGAGAGACTGGGCTCATCATGGTGCTCCCATGTTTGCTGACCTCACCGTACGTGAGATGAAAGCTGTCCGGGCCTACCTGCATGGAATCCCAGAGCTGAAGCTCACCGCTGCTCGTAGCAAGACCCTAATGAAGAACAGCATCCTCCTGATGGAACTCCATTTGCCGAGGAAGCATGAAGCCCTGAAGGTTCTGGACCGTGGACATGCCAAACCCCCACGTCAAGCCCGGGTGATCATCCAGTTGGGGAACCAGACCAATCCTAACATTACTGAGTACATTGTAAGTCCTCTGCCATCTCCGAACTCCCACGAAGTCAAGACGTTCAAGGGAGGTAGACCTATCCGCTTTGAGTCTAGGCCTATTACCTCCGCAGAGTATTCCCATATAAATCACATCCTTGAGAAGATCACTAACAAAGCTCACAAACTCCTGCTTGAGACCACAGGGGGGTTTTCTTTCACTAACTGCTCTGACCGCTGCCTGACATTCTCAGACATAGCCCCCCGAGGCCTGGGTCCAGGTGAGAGGAGAACCTGGATCATGTTGCAGAAGTTTGTCGAGGGCTTTTTCATCCACCCAGTTGGATTTGAGGTACTGGTCAACCACCGGGACCTGGATCCAGAAAAGTGGACTGTCGAAAAGGTCTGGTACAACAGCATGTACTTTGACAGTCTTGAGGAGCTGGTAGAAAAGTATGAATCAGGAGAGGTGGAGAAGTTCAAACTGCCCAATCATGACGATAATGACCTCTACTCCACTTACATCCCACGGGGTCAAAGCAATACACCCACTAATATCAATGGGCCAAAGCTCGTTGAGCCTCAGGGACATCGCTATCACATTGACCACAATTTTGTTGAATATGCAGGGTGGTCTTTCGCCTACAGAGTCCGCTCATCAGCTGGGCTTCAAGTCTTTGACCTCCGTTTTAATGGAGAAAGAATTGCCTATGAGATCAGCCTCCAAGAAGCTATTGCCTTCTATTCTGGTGATACTCCCGCTGCCATGCAAACAAAGTATATTGACGCTGGCTGGGCAATGGGCACCTCTTCTTTCGAGCTAGCGCCTGGAATTGACTGTCCAGAAATTGCCACCTTTGTTGACCTGTATCACTACTTTGACACGGACAAACCTGTGCAGCATAAAAATGCTCTTTGCATTTTTGAGATGACCACTGCTATGCCTTTGAGAAGGCATTTCAACTCCAATTACAAAGGAGGGTACAACTTTTACGGGGGCCTGGAAAACACTGTGCTGGTGCTGCGGACAACCTCGACGGTTTACAACTATGATTACATCTGGGACTTCGTCTTCTACCAGAATGGGGTGGCGGAGGTAAAAGTCAGCGCTACCGGTTACATCCATGCCACTTTCTTTACACCTAATGGACTTCACTATGGTACCAAGGTGTATGACTATGTGCTGGGAAATCTGCACACGCACCTCATCCATTATAAAGTGGACCTGGATATTGCTGGTGAGTATTCTGGCACAATTACCTAAGTTTCAACATCTGTTTTAAAGCAGTTTTACAACACCAACATTTATTTTGAATATTCACCCTAACATACCGAGCAACACGGTGGTATGGTGGTTAGCACTATCGCCTCACAGCTAGAAGGCCCTGGGTTCAAAGATTGGTGCCAGTAGAGGGTGTGCCCTGTCACTCGACCAAGGCAACCTGGGATAAGTGGTTTATAAAATGACTGACTGATCCTAATGTACCTTAACCATGATGTATGTATGATAACCACATTCCTTTTCCATATCGCAGTGGCCATGCACAGATATTGTAGAAAGGGATTACTGTAAATAATGCCTCCGATAGTATTTGGAAACGTAACTCGCTGTTATGTAGAGTGCTAATATTGATGTTTTTCCCGACGAGATTGGGAAAACTCACAGAAAACTCTGTACATGCGATGGATGGACAGGCTGCATAAACACATACATAAACTCTGAAGGTTGTGAAAATAAATGATAAAAAGGTTACACAGAAACTTTTATTCTCTTTTATTGGTGCACACAAGATAACAGTGTTTTCTGGACTTTACCCCTTGATAAAGAAAAGAATCAAAGCCTAACTTGACAAGCCTGTGTAGCTTTTCTCTGTGTGATTGTGGCTATCTGTGATCTGGCCTATACGCTGTATAAAAGTCAATCCCCATACATGAACGAAGACCTCTCATGCAAAAGCAAATGTCTTGTATGATTATACATATACTATGACTCTCAGAAAACTGCTTACACCTTGAGATTTAATTTATCCTTATAAATCTTTGCCTTCTCTGTGACTCAGGTCGAGAGAACAGCTTTGAGACATTGGATCTGAAGTATGTCAACTTTACAAATCCGTGGAGCCCAGAGAATTTCGTCGTCCAGTCCCAACTCCAGCGGACAGAGCGCAAGACCGAGCGATCAGCCACTTTTTCCTTTGGCAAAAAGTTCCCCCGCTATGTGAACTTCTACAACCCCAATGAGAAAAACAAATGGGGAGACAAGAGGGGTTACCGCATTCAGTTTAACTCACATGCCCACAGTGTCCTCCCAAGAGGCTGGAGAGAGGAAAAAGGCATCAGTTGGTCAAGGTAATCAAATATGTCCCCTTTGGTTCGTAGAAAGAAACATGAAGTGTAGAGTTGAATATCCGCACACATCTATTTGTAATGATTGACCCAATGGAGTGGGGCTAAATACGTTTTTTTTCATTATTTTTGAAATTAATAATTTAAGTGGCTGAGGTGTTGGCAGCATTGTTACATAAAAGTGATTACTGTTCCACCACAGGTATCCTCTGGCTGTGACTCGTCACAAAGATAGTGAAGCCACCAGTAGCAGCATTTTCACCCAGAATGATCCCTGGGAACCAGTCGTGTCTTTTGAGGACTACATCCGCAACAATGAAGACATAGTTAACCAGGTACACGCGTGGAATCCAAAATGCACATGAAAGTGATGATTTCTTTGGAGTTTTTTTAATCTGGTATGTTAATAACGGCGGCACGGTGGCGTGGTGGTTAGCACTGTCGCCTCACAGCAACACAGCAACTCCGTCCAGTGGCCTTTCTGTGTGGAGTCTGCATACACTGGGTATCAGGTTAATTGGGGACTCCAAAATTGCCCGTGGATGTGAGTGTGAATGGTTGTATGTCTCTGTGTTAGTCCTGCGAGTGGCTGGCAACCAGTCCAGGATGTACCCTGTCTATCGCCTGAAGTTGGCTGGGATGGACTCCAGCCCCCCTGCGACCCTGCGTGCAGGATAAGCAAAATGGATGAAAATGGATGGATGGATGGATGTGTAAATAACAATTAAAAATGGTACATATAGTCTCCTTTTTACGGGTGTAAGAATTTAAAATTCACTAATGGACAGCGTCCTTTGTGCTGTTTTAAACGGTCTCTAATAAATGTAGTTTACATTTTGGGGGTGGGGGTGTTTATCTGAGAAGTTTAGGTTTCCTTCACGTCATCAGTTCTGGTCACTTACTATCATAATGACTCACCTATGCTGACCTTTTCTTCTGTTTGCACTTTTAAGTGGATAAAAAACCCTGCGTGATGTTTCTAAATAAAAATCCAAAGTAATGTTTGCTCTGGTGTGTGCAGGACCTGGTAGCCTGGGTGACGGTGGGCTTCCTGCATGTGCCTCACTCAGAAGACATTCCCAACACGGCGACGCCCGGTAACGCAGTAGGCTTCTTCCTTCGGCCATTCAACTTCTTTGACGAAGACCCTTCCGTGGCATCCAGAAGCACTGTCATTGTGCGTCCAGGATTGGACGGCAAACCCAAAGTCCAGAAATGGACAGCTGAGGTCATAGATTACTGTGTGCCAGACAAGCCATTCTCTTACAATGGCACATATGCAGGAGTCTAAAGAGTATTTTTTTGGAGAGGGGGAAGGGGAGGGGGGGGATGGTTCAGAAAGAGTTTTTTCATCTATAATATCATCATCTCAGCATAATCACACTTGAAGTATATAGTACACAGATGTATTCAATGTCACAACCTCTTATGGGTTTTAAAGATGTAAGGATATCTATGTAACATAAAAATAACCAAGAACATTTTAAAAAGGGAAAAAACATAGTCATACCAAAGAAATCTGTTTTCATGTTCAATTATTTAGCTGCAAACATTTCTAAATCTCATAAATGCACATATCCAGTTGCATTCAGTATCATTACACATGAAACAGTAAATCCCATGTGTACAAAACATACAGATTTCAAGTGTATCTTAATGTTAATGCACCAAACTCAAAGGGGGAGTGGGTCACCAGGGGCCTTGAGGGCTCCTCTAATCCCATGTTTGGTCTCCATGGCTGTGTTTTAGTAGCAGCAAGCATCCAGGATGCAGGATGCTCAGTATCCGCCCTGCTTGTGGTCAAATGCAGCTCCCTCAGCAGGCTCCTCCTGCCTCCACGGGGGGAATGTTTTCCATAGAGAGACAACAGGCCTTACACAGCAAACAGCCTGGTTCCGGATCCTTCCGTGCAAACAGTCCAGGATACCACCTGGCCCCGTCGCCTGGAAACCTAACATTAACAACATACAATGTGACACAATGTCCAGAAGAATCAGCATCATGTGACAGTTTTGTCTCATATGTATGCATTCTTGACATAGCAGTGGCAACCAAATAATGAATAAAACAGATGAACTGGTTTTAATCATAATGTGTGTTTTTGATTGAAACCTTTATTTAACAAACAATTATTAATAAGTACAGGTCCATCTTAGACCCCAAACAAAAACCCAAAAAGGAGGTGAATTTTGCATGGGCTGGTTTTGTTTGACGGGTAAACAAGAAATTCTTAAGTAACGTGAAAGGAATCCAGACACTGTCGTCAGGACTTTTCCAATTAAAAAAAACTTTTTTATAAATGTGTGCCCATGTTTTACAATATACATAGTAAAAGTGCGATAGCATCAGAGCTATGCACTTATGAGGGAATGGACAACATTGGGAGAGAGGACAAAATGTGAATTGGGTAACAAGCATTCCTATAGTTATTCCCATGGCAACTATGGGCTTGATGTCACAACAGACAAGCTATAGACAAACAGTGAAAACACGGTTCATCCATTCTCAATGTCTTGCGTGTACAAAAGTATCCAAATAACTGTGTGAGATTGTATTGCACTCACACTGCAGTGAACTCATATAATTCCTGTGTTTCCCTCTAATCTTCTGGTGACTTCTTATTGCAGTCAAAAAGTGCTGAAAAAATATTGTTGGAAGAAGCGCAAAATCTAAAAATGAATAGCATGAATAGAACATATGTGTTTTACAAGATGGCAAAACATACACTAAGTCATGGTATTCGGATAACAAAAGTAGGGAAAGCTTTAAAGAACCCCAAACACAATCAAAGACAAATATTGTAAAATACTTCATATTTCTTCTCAACAAATACCTCTAGTGCAGTCTGTCGAGGATGAAAACCTGTTTGGGTGACTGGATTTGAAAGTCTAGTTAGTAAAATAGATGGGGCTGTGCTGCCATCTAGTGGTTTCTTTAAAGGTGTCTATTTGTAGACCGCAAGTGTACAATGGAAACTATGTCACCCAGTCTTTATTGCCTTTGGGGGACCATAGAGACAGATATTAATCTCTAAACAACATTATTGAAATCTCTGAAAATAATTTCGAATTGTTATAATCGTTATAATATTTTAGTCAGTAGTAATGAAAAACTATAGATAAAATTTAAAAAGCTATTCAATTAATCAAAGATATGTTCATATTTCTTTTTGACATTTATAAATAAACAATGATGACTACTGCGTAAATTGATGTTGTCCAAAGTCAAGTCCATTTGACCATGTGACAAGATGACTGATAATGCTAAGCACAGCTGCAAGGCGAGCAAGCAAGTTGCAAAAAGTTATGTAAGGGCCCTTGAAAATAGTGTGTAGCGGGGTCCCTCGGTATCACCTGACCCAACTGCCCAGAGCAGTGTACTAAAAAAATATCATCCAGTTGCAACTATCTTTTAAGAATATCACCACATTGTGACGGTGGATTTTTAGTACTTGACTTTATATTTTTGCTATGTTGTTTTAATTTAGAGACCAAACGTGTCGGCCTGCATTTTAGTGCCTCCCTTCCAACGCCTAACTAGTTCATGAGGTCACACGTAACCTATGAAGATTATGACATGTGAGCATGGCAGTCTTCAAAGCATTTTGCTGATTCAGCCTAACCCAAAGAAAGCGACAGAATTCAGCCCCTCACACCGGCTCCTGATGTAGTGTCCTTCCTCCCTTGCTTCCCGCCTTTCTTTCTTAGTTCATATTTTCCTCTCTTTTTGGAGTTGTGTGACTTTGCTCCGATCATCCATCCGCTTTCATCAATAGATGATTAACCCCCCCTTTAATTAAAGCCTTTGTGTGACTTGGCTGTGGAAATGTCACATGTATCTAAATGAGATATTAACACTACATCCTGTTCAAGATGGTCAGCTCTGAATATTATGTGATAATGACTCAGCCAAACACAAGATTTTTTTCCAGTGCATGATAGAAAGATGTGACGATTAACACATTTGTACTCGGGGTATTATTGGATAAGATGTCCTGCTTATTGGATAAAGCTCTGACCTTTATTTTCTGCCTTCCAATTCACGCCCCATTAACCATAACATGGTTCTTCTACAATGTCATGTTGAAAATGTTCCAAAAGAGATAGCGGCATAAGCGACTCTAAATCCACAACTTTTTTTCTTCTCAGGAATCAGGAATCAGGAATCAGGAAACATTTATTGGCCAAAATATGTCAAACATACAAGGAATTTGTCTTGGCGGTTAGTGCGCGACAGTAGACAAACAAGACAACAGTGCACAGGTAATAAAATAAAGTGGAATGAAATGCTAATGCAATGGGTTAGTAAGAATAAGGCTAAGGCTATGGGTTAGTAAAAAAACAAGGGAATAAAGTTTAAACAAATTTTAAATATTAAAAAGTTAAAAAGAAAAGTACTAAGCATAAAGTGCACTAACAAACAAGTAACAGACAAGGGACAAAGTGACAAGTGACAAAGTGATGAATTGCAGTGAATTGCAGTATGGTATGATTCCTTATGACATATCGTTTAGGTCTGTTTTTTACATTAAAAATCAATGTTTAATAATGGATCAAAAAATAATAAAGGGTGTGTTGTGGTGACAAACCTCCCTACTCGGCAGTTCCCCTCAGCGCCACAGAGGATTTATCATTAATATCTACTGTTACACTGTAGCATCACTCATTTCGTTTTGAAACCGAGCAGAACCAACTTTGAACAGAGTATCGTGTAGCCTACTCATCAGGAACAAATATATGAATGCTTCGCACCGTTCAAAAAAGTAGTCTTGGCTACATTATCTCCCAATCCGTTTTCGCGAAAAAGCGAAAGGAGAGAAGAAAATACATGTGAAAAGTTTTTTTTGCCAAAGTTGACATTTTTTAACTATCAACCATCGACACTGTCTTGCGAACACCAGAGATTCTCCCCTCGCCATCACCGTTGTCCTGCTATCAACGCGTGAATTCAGACAGACAGGCGCCCCGCCGCTGAGACTGAACGCCTGTAAGTTAGTTGGTGTCCGACGTTTGTGTTAAACAGACTAAAAAGTCTCTGCACAGTAAATCCCATGTGTACTTCGTGCCGGACCACTTCGCTTTAACAGGGACACATGCTACTGAACATAGTTCAGTACATTGTTGATTGATGTGTTTATGATGCACCCTGACAAAAGAAACTGGTACCTGCTTCGATTTTTAAATGTTAACCTGCCTGTTTAAATGTTACGATCGACGGTGACACCCAACCCCTTTTTGCTCCCCGGGCAAAAATGTAAAAAGCCATGGGTTAAAAATACAATGTAAGTCGCTTTGGATAAAAAGCGTCAGTTATATGTGTCAGGATGCGGGGAAGGCAGGACTCAAACGCAGACTTTGAGAAAACAAAAGACTTTAATAGTCAAAAAGCAAAAAATAAAAAGGCCACGGGGCAAATAACGCACACAGGAACCAGGGCAAAAAGGCAGGCAGGAACTGGGAATATCCAACAATCAACAATAACGCGATCAGTGACAAGAGACACGGCTTAAATACACTAGGGAGGTGCAGGTGATTGGACACAGGTGGAAAAAATCAGACAATCATAGGGGATGACAGGACAAGGCAGGAAATGAAGTTACCCAGGGAGACAAGAGGCAGAGAACTACAAAATAAGACAGGAAATAAACCACACCGTGACAATATGACCTGTATTGTAATGCTCATAGAGAGTAAACGTTAGTGCAGATGGCTTTGGTTTTATATTTTGATTCGGTTACATTCATGTTCAAATTGAGATTAACAAGAAATATTTTAACTGCTACTGTGTACTGTTTTTTGAAAGCAACTTATTTGTTTAAAGTGTTTGCCCAAATAGAAGTGTGCTATACACGCAAATTACAATAACATAACAATGTACTGTTCAAAATCATGCCATTAATTATTAAGATTAAAATTAAAAATCCTTTATTGATCCCAGTGGGGAAATTTCCTGATACATTTTCCTGCACGACATATAAACAACATAGAGGGAGCACTCTTTCAGAGGTTGTATTCATTCATCAGGAGGGAAATAAACAGAAACATGCCATAATAATAACAACTAAAAATGGGTGGAAGTGCATGTTCCTGCATGTGTCTGCATGTGCATGCATCTAAAGGGGTGCATGGTGGCGTGTTACCCTGTTGGTATGCCAACCATTCCATTCCTCTTTGTCCCCCCTCTTAAAATAGCTGCCACCATCCCCAGCAGCAGCTGATACAAAACCAAAAGCAGACAAAACCGAGAGATGAGGGATAGAGAAAGAGCAAAAGGATCACGATCACCTCACACGTCCCCACGTATGTACAGGGTCTCATATCGAAAATAGATGACATGCAAAAGTAAAAAATCATTTCAGGTTGGTCAGATTTGGTTGGTGTCAGTGAAACATGTTCACTGAGTGTGAGAAATGAATGTATTTGAAGTCATCATCCCTCCTTCTACACAATGGCCATTACATGTATCCGGTCCCCACAGGCTGGAGACTGGCCTAAAGGGAAAGAGTAGGAGGCACAAACGATTACAGGAGGGAGGGAGGGAAGGCACTAGTGGATTTGGGAGTATTTTCAGAACCCAGACTGAGGGTTGTTTAGATCCAGTGTCTCGAGACGCACAGCCTCTCCCTTAAAGCCTAGTATGATTTTCAGTGACTAATATTAGAAATATTGTTGCAGCCACACCCTCTCAGCTACACTGTTATTAATATACTCTTTTAAGCCCATCAGTGTTGTGACCAGTGCGGGCTGGACAAAAGAGGGCAATGGGGCGTTGCCCCACCTGAGCGTCGCTTATTGATCCCTAAAACAAAATAAAAGATTTTAAATTAATAAAATGTGATTTTTTGTCAAAAAAGTAAAATATTTGTTACAAATGTACCCAGTAATATCCATATAATACTACGCACGTCCTGTCTTCATGCACGTTTTATCTGCGCTAGGGCCAATCTCAAGATTGCCCGCAGAAGGAGGGTCAAAGAAGCACTTAAATAAAACAATGTTACATACAATTTAGCCAATCAGCAAGCAGATGAGACGACTGACATATGTAGAGCACATTTTATATCATACTGATATATATATATATATATATATATACATATTATACTGAATTGCTTGTGAAGGGGACAAAAATAAGAGCCGGAGCTCCGGCTCCTTCCCTCCCAGAGAGGTGATATTCCACGAGCCAGCATCTGCCGCCCAGGTCTGGTCCGTCTAAACCCCCAACTGTCACTGCCATCCTTGTAGCAGCG